GGGGGGGGATTCGCAAAAGCGAGTGATTAGTTGTCGCGAACCAACAGTTTCCGTTTGTCTGGAGCTTGACTTTCGCCCCGTCATCCTTTAAAATTAATCTGTTTCAAGGTGGAAGATTGTTAATCCGAAGCCAAGCTGGAACCATCAGCCATTGTCGATCGTGCTAACCAAAGATGGCTTAGCGGCCCGAGAATGGCGGCTTTTTTCACATCAACAGTGGTGAAAGTGATTGCGAATGTGAAGATGGCTTCCTCTGAATTGCACGTTCTCATGTTTCATTTGGCCTGACTTTGAGATTGGGTGTTGATCTGCCTCGATTGCAGAGAATCATTTTATACTGCGATTGCTGAAAGGATTTCAATGTTCACCTTGGCAACTGCATGATTCACGAGTGCGCTTTGGTCTATTTTATATTCCTTCATTTCATTTAAGGAACATGTTTATGCTTGTATGCAATAGTCAGATTATATTCCCATATGGAGGTTCATGTCTTGTTAACTTCTGCGGTCTGTAGACAACAATATCTGATCTTGTTCAGATATCTCCTGAAGACTTTTCAAAGTTCAGTGCTATCGCAATCGAAGACAATATCAATGAAAAATATGCCAATAAGGTACAATCACTGCTATCAATATTTCTACTAAGAGTGCAAAGCTGACCGATGCCGGTTGACCTTTTAGGTAATTCAGAATGTTGGGCTCTGCATGGGCTTCTATGATATGCTGGAATCATCGGATGGCTTGATTGGACATGGGACAGGACTTGTTAATGTCAATGGTACGTTGATGTGTCTACATATCCATGCCGATTGGGTTACTGATTTCGACCTTCAAGTTAAATTTCGGTTGATTGTTTTTCGGCCCTTTAAGGGTGAGGTTATTCTTGGGAAAATTACAAGTGGTACAGAACAAGGCATAAAGAGTATGCACTTTTCAAAGTCTGTTCAATCTTCGAGGAACCTACTGATACTCTGCAAGTTGGCCTCGAATTCTTCAGTGATATCCTCATCCCCCCTAGTCTTCTACTCGACGGAGCAAGATTGTGAGTAACTTTGTGTTTAATTAACCCGGCCGCTGGAAGTTAACAGTTTGATGCAGCGATTACACAGACCAAGTGTGGGTCTGGGACAACGGCGAAGGCTCCACGTTCTATTTCGATATCGGTGAAACGGTGCGATTTCGAGTAGAGGCGGAAGAATGGCACGATCAGATCCCGAATGCTCCAGACACGCCAGACACCTCGACCGTAGGAGAGAGAAAGGCCCCTTATTCGATTATCGTGAGTTCCTAACTTCTCGATAAAGTCTTCCTGCTTCAGCCGGTCTAATTCTTGCAAACAGGGTTCAATGCAGATTGCAGGCCTTGGGCTTGTCGCTTGGTGGTAGACCCTCAATCAAAACGGTTGGAAAGCCGAAAAAAAAAGTAGAACTCAGGCCGAGGCGCAACTTCCTCGTGGAACTTGATGGAGCAGCAATCTTCCTGCAACCAGCTTCGATTCAATAACTCCTGTTCTTCCGAGTTTGAAAGTGAACGTTTCGATCCCTTGGCACAAACGCCGGCAGGGCGTCGTGCTCCCCTACGCTAAGCTCTCGACATCAGCCTTTCCAAGCTTCCCAGAGTGGAGTACAACTTGTGGTGTCACAAATCGCATCCGGAGAGCGTTTCGCAGCGTTACCTCGCGGGGTAAATTACGCCCATGATAGGCTAAGTAACTGGACAGGCCTTTCGAGAGGCTCTTCGGTGCCGGACGCACGAGTCGTGGATGGCGGACGCCGGGGAACCTGACAGCAACGAGGGGCACGATCCCGGCATCCAGACATCTGATATCCCTGTCCTAGCGTGGGGACATGATGCGTGAATGAAGATCATGGAACATCATGGCGGAGAAGACCCCTTGATCATGCGGCTTCAGCTCTTAAAGGCGTGGGATGCTTCAACCACGAACATATTGACCTCCTCTCTCTCTCTCGAGGTCTTCCCATTTGGAGATTCTCGATGCTCTCTCCTCGCTCGACCTCGTAATATTACGTAAAGTGCAAATTCATGACAGAACAAATGACATCATTCTTGACAAATCCGCCGCAATTTTCATCGGATTAATAATGGGTTGGATGAGTAAGCCAAATACTCGGGGTTCCAGCCAGTCAAAACGGGCCCCTGGAGACGCCAATTGGTGGACTTTCGCGGTCGGTCTCGATTCAGCTTGGCGGCTGTCTGTTGGTAACGGAAATACGGGCTCGTACCACGATGGTCTTTCATGACCGCTAGGAAGGAGTGAGTTCAACGAAGGCGTTAGAGGGGAAAATTGTTCTATTTAACTCCAGCTCTTCCGCTGAACTATGTGGTCCGAGATGGGACTTTTCTCTAACTCCGCTCCTCCATCCCTTATTACTTTTTTTTACTGGTATCTCCTCCCGCTGTTTTGCGACGAAAATCAACATGGATGACACCATCAGCCCGTCTGTTCTGCCGGTGCGTGGCCCGGCACACCACGAGCCTGTGGAAACCCCGCCACGAGCACCATCGCCAGTCCATCGCTTTGGAACTCTAGCTGTTCACGCTGGTTCGCCTATCGAACCTACAACTGGAGCTGTGATTTCGCCGGTATGAATCTGACGTCCAGTTCCTTCGTCCTCAGGGGTGCTACTATAGTTTGATCGGAACTGACTTTCTTCGCCCTTGCCCCGCAGATCTCCCTGTCCACCACCTTCGCCCAAACCGGAGTTGGAAAGCCTATGGGAGAATACGAGTACACCAGAAGCGCAAACCCGAATCGGTGCGTCAAACCAATCAGTTGCCGTTTGATTCTCGCCCGTGGACGACTGCTAACATCCCGTCGGGCATTTGAAGTGACCAGTTTGAGAAAGCTGTTGCAGCGTTAGAGCACGCCCGGTATGCGTTAGCCTTCTCCTCAGGGTCGGCTGCCACGGCGAACATCCTTCAGTCACTTGCGTCGGGGTCCCATGTCGTTTCTGTGTCCGATGTCTATGGTGGTACCCATCGCTATTTCACCAAGGTTGCCGCCGCGCATGGAATTGAAGTCACATTCTCGCCTTGCATCGAACTCCATATTGAGACCTTGATTCGTCCTGATGAGACCCGATTGATCTGGATTGAAACTCCTTCCAACCCAACCCTGGGATTAGTTGATATCCGCAAAGTAGCGACTATCGCGCACCAACATGGCATCTTGGTGGTGGTTGACAACACCTTCTTGAGCCCATACATCCAGAACCCTCTTGACCATGGAGCAGATATCGTTATGCACTCCGTCACAAAGTATATCAATGGTCATTCTGTAAGTTCTACTTTTCTTGAAAGAAGCGTTGAACGTTGTGGTGCTAATATCGATTAGGATGTGTTGATGGGAGTAGCAGCTTTCAATTCCGATGATCTTAAAAATAGATTAACATTCTTGCAAAACGCCATCGGAGCCGTTCCTTCTCCCTTTGATTGCTGGTTAGCCCACCGTGGGTTGAAAACCCTTCATTTGCGAGCGCGCGAGGCAACCAAGAATGCAACTACTGTCGCCCATGCCCTCGAATCTTCCCCGCATGTGATTGCGGTCAACTACCCCGGCATTAAGTCCCATCCTCACCATGCAATTGCGTTGAAACAGCACCGTGATGGCATGGGTGGCGGCATGCTCAGTTTCCGCATCAAGGGCGGACAAGAAGCTGCCGAGAGATTTTGCCAAGCTACTCAAATCTTCGTTCTTGCCGAGAGCTTGGGCGGAGTGGAGAGCTTGGTGGAAGTGCCAGGGAGCATGACGCACGCCGGTATCCCCAAAGAGCAACGTGAAGTTGCCGGTGTTTTCGACGACTTGGTTCGCCTCAGTTGCGGTGTTGAGGACTCCGAGGACCTGAAAGCGGACGTGCTCCAGGCCCTCGAAAAAGCGATTGTTTTGCCCAAACTAAATAAACTCAACGGTGTTGCCAACGGGGTAGCATCCTAAACTTATGACGTGGTCTTTGCCATTCTTTTTTGATATAGAAGAAAAAAGGATTTGTTGGTATGACCTGCCACAGCTGCTGCGCAGCTGTTTGCATTAATAGACTCTGTTGTTATTCTTGGTGGTCCATCTCCAAGTGCCTCTTTGGCCTGATGATGATTAATGGTACGACTACTACACGGCTTTCTCGTTTCCCCTCGATACCGATTTGCTTGACGTTAGAACTACATGTCCATACCATTTACTTTCATTGAAAACCCATGATCGATTTGTATACATGGCACTTAAGGAGCTCATGTCTCCAGTGCAAGTTGACCGAGACAATTCTGGTTTAGAATGATTGCATGTGAAGATCAATTAAAGATTATAGCTGTTTGGTATTTGCAAGAAGTGGGTGTAAAGCAGTACTTCACCTTTCTCGTGTTCAACTATGTATAGGATGAGTTTACTTTCTACGGAGTAACTGATCATATTCAGGTCTGGCCCCCCAAATTCAATCTTATCTTATCAGCGCAAGGCATAAAACCCCCACCTTTGACCACCAGCATTTCGAAAATATCGGAAGACGACACAGCGAGTAGCGATGAGTGCGGCGTTTGCATTTGGTTTTGGCGGCGATGATATTGGCATCGACGAGGATGGCAACGAGTCTGGCCTGACTGATGAACATCAGCGTGTCGCTCAAACTAAACGTGAAACCCCGGGTCAACCCGATCAAGAAATTCAAGAAGCTCAGAAGATTGGGCTGGATGAGATAGTATGTACGCTATTTCCTTTGCTGCTATTCCGTCTTTGCTATGCCACGCGCTATTGCTCATTTATTTACTGCACATTTCCGCCCTGAACGGACGTCAAAAATCGATTCAAATTGCATAATCGCATCTTGATATCACACCTGAATTCGTCTTCTAAAACCAGTTATTCCACAGAACAACTCTTTCAGCATATAGCCCTTAGTGTCGACAACGCTTAGATGGCCGCGCTCGCTAACTCGAACGACCTTCGCTAGTTCTCGTCACTCCCCTCTCAAATTTCATTCAACAATCTCTCGATATCCGATCCAAGTCTACGGCCATCGACCATCCGCATTCCTCGCCGCGATGTCTTCGATATTCGGGCACAGTTAATGGCCGAGGATGACTCGGAGGAAAATGCGAACGAAAGGTTGATAAGTGGCCTGGAAACAGGCGATATCACGCCTGCTGTTTATGAAGGCGGGTTCAAGACGTGGGAGAGTGCAATTGATCTCTCCACCACGGCAATTACAAAGTATGGTTCAAGTTTAGAAAATGGGACACACGATTTGGAATTCATAGAGGTAAGTGGAGCAAGGCATCGCGACGTAAATTCTGGTCATCATTTGACATCTGTTCGACAGTTAGGTGCGGGGACAGCTATACCCTCTCTCGTTTTCTTACGCCTATTCCTTCGGAACCAGCGGTCTGCCGATGGCACCACCCAGCCACCAAAAAGAAAGATCAATTTCACCTTTGCAGACTATAATGCTGCTGTGTTGAAACTTGTCACTTTCCCAAATATCCTACTTACTTGGTATACGTGCTGCAAAAATCCCACAGCAGAGGCCCTATCAGAGCTTGAAATCGACTCCAGCCTCTTAGATTCTTTCCGCCACGACCTCTCGACCCGCGGAATAACCCTCTCATTCATTTCGGGTGGCTGGTCGCCCTGTTTTGTCGATCTTGTAGCCTCCGAGTCAAGCCCTACAAACCAGATCAACACTCAAGAAACCTTCATACTCGCTAGTGAAACAATCTATTCTCCCGCATCAATCCGTCCATTCGCAGAAACCGTGACTGCATTGATGCGTCGTAAAACAGGATTTGGATCAGACAGTGCCCAAGACAAAGCGACGGCGAGAGCTCTCGTGGCAGCCAAAAAAGTGTACTTTGGAGTGGGAGGAGGTGTGGACGAATTTCTAGAAACATTAAAAGGAGTCGCAGGCGAAAATTTGCAGGTGCGACAGCTGAACGATATTGGAGACCAAGGTGTGGTGCGAGTGGTCCTTGAGATTACGGTTTGAGGAAAAAAAAAAGCGCTGGGATATTCTAGATTTTAAGATGCCGTCTCGTCTGCAATCGGGCCGCAGAAATCGGGTCCCACAAACATACATGTCCGCATGCACAAAGACATGGGCAAAAATTTTATTACCCGCCACATTTATCGTCGCGTTGTTGAACCTATAGGGAACTTGCAAGTGGCATGATCTTCGGGGCAATACCCAACGCGCCTAGCAAGATATGCAGGGATCTATCTTGCATAACAATTTGAGTCAGATCGTCTGGCCCAGAATCATTGAACCGCAGTGCTATGAAACCAGCGGTCGAAAGGTATGGGAAGGCGTTGTATGCAAATGTGCAACACTTCCAATAAGTTCAGGGCGGCAACTAGGATTAAAAACCAGAATGAAATATATTTCTCGTCAGAGTCTGAGGGCGAAACAGGTAATATTTACAATGCAGGAATCTTATTCAGCTTTGGATTCAAAAGTATCTGCCATCATCATATATTGACTGGACCTTTCCATTCTCCATCCTGGCCAATCTATCTTCTTCCTGGGCCTTCTGTCTCTTCTGATAGTGCGAAATAACGGCTCGTAAATCCCCGGAAGAATTGCCCGCGGGCATGTTGATCGGCGAACCTGCGTTAAACATCCTAGATTTGAAAATATTAATGTAAAGCTCTAAACACGAAGCGGATCATATTTTGAAGCCCCAGCGACTGCGGCAATATAATCAAAGCAAATACAACAGTATAACAGGGCGGGGATATCTTACTCCGGGTACTTGAGATCAATCGTCAACAGAGGGTTTTGGCTATGAAACAGATGGCGGTCCGAGGCGGCCTTCTCCACCGCTAAGGTATGGAGAGCATTTCGTTTCGCCCAGAGGTTCTCGCTAGGTGTGTATTCTTCGATGAGGCGGGTGATCCAGGGCGCATTTTTCGAGTCTGACGTGCTATATTTGTAGAGGGCAAGGCCAGCGGGGATACTGGCAATGGCGATGTAGAAGCCGCGCTGCAGGCAGCAAGAAATCAAGCAAGTCAGCCGCGTGGTCGACCAATGCACTGGGTATACCTCTTGCAGGGAAGAGTAAAGTGCCCAAGCCAGTAAAATATTTAGGCACATCATGGCCTCAGCAAGGTCGAGACCGGGGGAGAACGTACGCCGAAAGATTCGTTCACTGGCTCGGCATGATGGGCCTCGCTATGGGCATACCGGCGCGGCTGATGACGTCGAAGAAAGGCCCGCGCCGGAGCCGCTGACCTCCTGGCGAGGAACATCATTCCAATTGTTCTTCGGCAGGACTCGATTGGGCTGGCACGTTAAGGCGTTGCTGGGGAAGGCGACTCTTCGTCCTAAGGCGCCGACAACAAGAGCACGACGTGAGGTCAGTCGCAATGTATTTTTGGGGGTGAAGCTGGGGCTTGGCGGAGGGTTAGGTAAGGCGGCGATTGGGCACGTGATGACGTAGGCCGGATTGGGATTAGGGCTGGGCACAAACAACCACCAACCTCCTCAACGGCCAACGTCGAATCATCCAGCAGGCGACGACGGGGATGGCGAGCAGGGTGCGTGGTGCCGGGAGGCGGAGGGGAGGATTAGACGCCTTACTTTTGTGCTGTCTTTGGCCTTGGGTCTCCCGGGCTCACAGGTACACGACCGGGCCCCCAAGGCACGAGACTTGATGGGGCGTGCAGGCTGCAGCATCACTTTTTTTTGATGAGTTTCGCATTGCTTTCTCCCCAACGACGAAACCTATTATTGGATCCCGTCGATTTACTTTGCTCAAAGCAGCCCATTTGATTTGCCGGCATTGAAGGCTTGTGCGAGGTTTCGCGTGCCCCTCCTCCCGCCGATGCTGGCTTACAACTCACCCACTGACAAGGGGATATGTGTTCCAAATGGATACTAACCGCCCCAGTAGCTGCAGATACTGACTGCTGGCAGGGCAGCCAACTCGCCACAAGATCTTTGTGTGTTAATTGTATGCACCGCTTGTACTTTGTTTCCTGACTAATGCAACGCCCAATCGCCGGGAGCGAATATCGAGCCACCTTGGGAACCCTGGATTGATGCCCAATCTGCGCCCGGGAACAAAGGCGATTGGGCCGTACTCTCAAACATGCTGCAGAACCGCTTTCCCTTGGAAATCGGGACTCAAGACTGTATCAGTTCTTGCAGCTAGTTCGATTGACGTGTGAACTCACATTTCCACTAATCAGGCAAAGGAAGCGAAAAAGAATAGTGCAATGGTGAAGCCAAATTGGGTCGGGTGCGTCCTAGCCCCGTCAAACTCGCTCTTCCGACGGACTATTTATTTTTTTTCTCTCAACCGTACTATTCGATTCATAGTACTTCAATTCAAAAGGAGCAGTCTATTACTTGCTCTCGTTTCCCACCCTCCGATTCCTTTTTTGCTCCCAACGAAACACTGTGTTTTCTCTCGCCCATGCAGCTTGCATTGGCCTGGTCTTGAGTGCCTAATCTTCTTGTACACCCTGTATTATTCTGTCTCTTCTCGTTCTACAATTTGATTGCTCCACGGTACACCACCGGCCTGAGTATCGTTTGTCGAATAATTGTTTGCGACCCCCGTCACTCCCGTCTGAATTTGAACTTATTCTCCAAATCTTTGGTAGCCCTTTCTTGCGTGTCTCCCCTCAAGCGTCGAGGTGCTAGGATCCCGATTGCCAGTGTGCCCACCCGCTTCTTTTCGCCAGCCGCCGCAAAGCTTTTCTTCCCAACGCTTTGGCCTTCGCTACAGTTGCCTGTCGCCAAAAACTCTACATATTAGAAACACTTTGCTTCCTTGTTTTCACTGGGAACACGTTTCACAAATCTGATTACAACTCCTGAGAATTCAAGTATTTCAATCGCATCTCCCACAATGGCCCCAAAAAAGGCCAAAAAGCAGAAGGATAATAAAGAGAAGCCCGACAAAGGAAATCAAGGCAAAAAGAATTCGAAGAAACAAAAGAAAGACGGGAGACAAGAAGAACATCAAGAGCAGCATCAAGACGACGAACAACAGCAGCAGAAGCAGGAGGAAGAATTGCAGTCACCACAACCACTTGATCAGCCTCAGGATCAAGCTCAAGAGCAAGATTCTACACCCGCCGAAGGAGAACCAGCCGAAGTAATTCACACATCTCCACTTGCATCACCGAAAGTCGACCCCCTGGAGTCTCCCGCAATAGAGACTTTACCGCATTTACCCGAGCCCATCGCAACTACACCTCTTGCAACTACTGTGAATTTTGCCGGGGAGGACTCCCCGTCTCCAGAGACTGCTCCGAATCAAGCTCAACCCGAAAATCATTTCAGTGAAAACGAAGACCGCGAAGAGCCCGCTAATACTACTCTGAACGAAGTCGAGCCGGAGGCTGCAATAGAACCCGAAAACCAACCCGAACAGCCAGTTGAGGACGACTCTGAGCAGAAAGCACCCGAGCATAAAATAGAAGTGGAAGAAGAATTTCCTCCAACTCCAAGAGTTACAACCCCAACTCCGAACCAGGTAGAAGCTGAGACGGAATCGCTATCTCTCATCCCGAGAGCCCTCAGCCCAACATTGAACAACACAGAAGCGGAGCCAGAATCTCTATCTCCGAGTCCAAAAGTTGCAACTCCGACTTTGAACGAGGTAGAAGCTGACATAGAACCTCAACCTCCCGCCCCGAGAACCCCGACTCCGATTGTAGATAAAGCCCCGTCCCTACCTGAGGAAGCCGATCAAGATCCTGTCAATGTATTCGATAGCTTTCATAAATCTAGAGAATCAGTACCGACCCCGACAGAAATAGCACCCAAAACTCAACGACTACCACCCGCAGCAGAACCACGCTCCGCTTCACCAGCATTGCCTTCAGCAAAGCCAAAAACCAGTTCTCCGCCTGTATACGGGTATCCGCAGTCTAGATCACCTGCACCCGTCCATTCCCCACATTACGCTTACAGTGTCCCATATACACACCCTTACGCGCCAACGCCGGTTTACCCCAACGGATCATTCCACGACGTTCATTCCGGAGGAGCAATGGCCGTATCAGTCGCACCTCATTGTTCCCCAGCTGTACGCCCCTCCGCCATGGACGGGTACCATTCTAGGATCGCGAGTCGCGGATCTTTCAGCCGTGGGCATGCGGATTATCCATATAACGGGTCGTATCACCAACCAAAGCAGCGAGGGTCTACGCCAACGCAACAACGACCCGCTGAGAATGGCAACTCCGAATCGCTTCACGTTGAAGGTGACACTATCAAACTTCTTCAACGGATCCAAAACGTCATTCCCGACATCAATCGACTTGTTACCAGTTACCGTGATACACAAAACCAATTATCCGCTCATGTCGCTCAAAGCAGACAGATAGAGGAGCAACACGAACGGTCCTTGATGGAAAAAGAGTTTTATATCGATGCTCTCCAGGCCCAAATACAAAAGACAGCCAAGGAAAACGCCGCTGAAGTCGCGAAGTTGAGGAACAGAATTTCTGAACTCAGAATGGAGCTTGGTGGCTTGCAGGAGCAGCATCGCGATGTCGAGGATAGTTTGGAAGAACTAAAGAAGGCGAATGATGAGCTCACTTTGGCACGAGCCGACCTAGAACAGGAAATTAGCAACCTCCAGCGGACGATCCAAGAACAAGCAGCCACCCACGCGCAAGAATTGCAGCGACAAGAGCAGCTGAGAGAGGTGGCCCTTGCCACTCAAAAGGAGGAGCTTGAAGGTTACTTCCAGGAAATCAAAAATGAGGACGACCGGCTTGCTGCCGAGCAGCTCCAAGCCCGCGAGCAGGAATTGTATGACGAACGAGACAAGCTCAACGCAAATTGGGAACAGCGATTGCAGGACCTCGAACAATCCAAAACCGAAATGGCAGCCGATTATGACGGCAAATTACAGTCCAAACAGGGCGAGTTGGATACAAAGCAGGGTGAATTAGAATCAAAGCAAGCCGAATTGGACGCAAAGCAAGCCGAGCTCGAAGCTAAGCAAGGCGAACTCGATGCGAAGCAGGAGGAGCTAAATACAGCAAAATCCGACCTAGAAGCGAAGCAAGCTGAACTCAAGGCAAAGCAGGGTGAACTGGAAGCGAAGCAAGCAGAGGTTGACGCGAAGCAAGAAGAGATCAGTGGCTTAAAGTCGGAATTGGAGTCAAAAATCGCTGAATTGGAAGGCAAGCAGCACGAACTCGAAGGCAAACAGGCTGAACTTGATTCCAAGCAAACCGAACTACAGTCGATTCAAGCGGCACTGGAAGATGTTAAAACCGAACTTGAGGAAAAGAAAGCAGAACTGGAGTCCAAGCAGGCTGAACTGGAAGCTAAGCAAAACGAGCTTACCGCCAAGCAGGCTGAACTTGACGATGTGAAAGAACAACATGCCGCCGAATTGGCCACCTTGCGAGCCGCTCTTGAAGAGCAGACGAATGCAGCCAAAGCAAGCGAGGAGAAGATCGCCGCGATGACTACCGAGCAGCAGCAAAAAGAAGAAGAATGGCAAAAGGATCGCGAAGATTTTGAGGCGCAGCTTCGCCAGAAAGCGGGAGAATTGGAAGAGGTTCTTAAGGAAAAGGAGGCACTCGCTCTGGACGGAAAGACTAGGGAAGAGCAGCTTCAGAACATCGTAGAGGAGATGCGACAGACGCATGATAATTTGAATAAGGATCGTGAGAGGCTCAAGAAGACATTGCATAGTTTGGGTGAGGCGACGGATATGAAGATTAAAGGGGATGCTTTCTTGTAAGTCTCTTGGTGCGTTACCTTTTTATAGACAGCTCATATTTTCCTTGGTTATTTGTATTTGAAAAGTTCTTAGTCTGCCATTTGAGGTTCGAATAATATTTGAAGAGTCCTTCGGTATTTTCAAACCTTCATCTCTGTCCTCCAAGCATATGTTGTTACTTGAAGGCCATGTTTCTAATCCTACTTTTTGTTAGCATTGACTGCTTCGGCGACCTCTCCCGCCTCATCGTTGAACTGTCGAAAGAGTATTTCACATATATTCCCATCGAGCCGCCGGGCGATATTCTAGCGAAGATTCCTTCGGATCTTCCCCAATTTCTCGACAACACTCCAGCATCCCGCGAACTCCGGGCTGCTTACGTCCAACATGTGGTTTCCAAAACCCTCACGTATAGAATCTTCCAACCGTTCCTGTTTACCCTAGGTCGCCGATATGACAAAGCGGACACCTTTTTCCAGATGTTATCGATTGACATCCGCCGCAAATCCGTTCGCCGTGAAGCATTTTGGAGACAGCAAACGTTGAGAGCTGCTTACACCACTTCTGACGCTAAACAGTCGATTAATGTGGTGGCCGCAGTCATTGTTGACGAGATTGTTGACCACATCCGCCACTTCACCGACCCGAAACATCTTGATTCCCTTCTCACCAGCGTCCGAAAGATTGTCAAGTTGGCGGCAGAGACGTGGCGCCTGGCTCGTGTCGAAAGAGAGCTGATTGTGGCCTCCATGCCTTCGGCGCAAGACGACCAAACCGCCAATGAGCTCTGGGACGAATTTGTCTACGACCCAGCGTCGCCTTCACCGACAAGAGAGTCAACTGGCGCAAGGACCCCTCTCCTCCGGATGCTTCCACATATCCAGCGGGAACCAGCGCACGAAGATTTCCTCCAGCCCGAGGAAGCGGAGAAGGCCAACTTATGTGTCTATCTTCCCGGGGTAATACTGTATACTGACTCGCCGTGCGTTATGGCGAGAAAGGAAGAGCTTGCTAAGAAGACCGTTGAAGCGCCAACCCCTGCAGACGGGCCGGTGGAAACGAACGGTGCTCATAGCCAACCCAACGGTACAGCCACATGCGAAGACGCTCCGGAGGAGAAGGCAGAAGCTTGAAGTGCCGTCACTGATCGACGAGTTTGAACCTCCACGCACCACACGTTTGAACTGCAAGGATGTTTTAATTTGAATTGTTTTTATGCCATAGCGGTGCATAGCCACGGGGATCAACTGGGATGTAAGGTTATTGGAAGGGATATGCATAAGGAGATTGAACCATCATCGATGTACGATTTGTTCTTGCATATTGGTGTTGGCACGGGGTCCATTCATTTTCACATTTTTCCTTTCTACGAGCTTTTGGTTGTGTTTTTGTCGTGCTTTTACTTATCTGACCCTATACGCTCCTTTCGGGTTTCCTTGTGTCTTTGTTTCTCTCTCTGCTGATAGTACTTGTTCTTCTCTTTAATTAATGTGGACTTCAATGTAGGGAATAGTGCCAGAATATGCTTCTTCTCTTCGGTTGACAGTTTTGGATAGTACGCTTGCCGGGAAAATAATTTAAAAAGGAATTGGTTTCCCCCAGCCCTGCTGCCATATACTCAGCAGTCTTTGTCCTCTCCAAGAATGAGACAGAAGGGAGGCTGGACAGCACTGATAGTCAACTGATGAATTCGCTTGCTTGTCCGGTCCTGCAGCGATCTGGTGCCTGGAGCTAGGGCTGCATGCCGCCCTCAGCGCCGCAATTCACGAGGGAAAATGCGGCACCAGGGAGTTCAGATAGAAAAATAAAGTTGTTGTTTATCATTCACTTGTTGGATGAGTTGCAAGAATCATCGAGCACAGCCACAGGCAGCATGTCTCGCTCGAGGCGGATTCCGCCTAAATGACAACAATGCGATGACATGGCGACAGGAACCATGGATCAGAGAGGGTTGTTTCATTTATTCCAGGTAACTAGAACGGCCGGTGTTTCCTAATGGAAAACACAATCTGCCTTGGACGCGCTGTCTCGCTGCTGCTGCTCAGATCCGCCCCGTGAGGCGCCCAGCGAATCAGACCTGGACATGGTGGGCGGATTGGCCAGCAGCCTTTCGCGGGTGCCCGAAGCCTGTGTTCGACGCTAACTAGGTAGTTAAATAGTTGGTTGGAGGGAGCGTGGGTTCGGTTCGGGGGCGGGAAGCGGATCCTGAACTGGGGATGCGCGAGAGGCGATGTGGCTGGTCTGGGGGAACGAGGGAGATCGAAGCCAGCAAGTAGCTCGTAAATAGTTAATGAAGAACAAAACGAACCCTTACTGTAGTTAATAGTTAACTCACTTGCTGTCGTGCAAGAAGCGCATCGCAGGCATCAGCCGCACTCCCACTGCGCCATGCCCGATCCAGCGCTAGTTCTGCGGCTTCGTATTTGACTGCACCTCATCTTTGCTGTCTCTCAGTCTCTTCCATCTCTCTCTCTCTCTCGCTCGTTGTCCGTCAGTCTCGTCTTGTTGCTCTCCCGTCTCGCCCACTGCTGGCCCGCTACTCCGACTCCTTTCTCAGTCGGGATCCGTCGAGACGCTGTCAAACCACTCCCCGCCTCCTGATTCTCTCACAGACTGGCATTGACTTCATCCGTCTGTTCATCGCAATTCCCGCTCCAATTCCTCGTCGTTCTTCGCATCGCCCTGCCGCAGCAGTCACCCGTTTGCTGAGAATCCATGAGCCATTCCACCGCTTACTTTATCGCCTTTCTGTCTGGCCCAGTTGGCATGGCTATTTGCGCCCGGTGCACGACGTCGTTGAATACTCGGAATACCCCATTCTAGAGATACATGCCATACTCCTGATCTGCGTCTCTCGCAACAGTTTCATTCTACCTGGCAGTGCGTGCGCGCGCTCTCCAACATCTCTAAAGCATGTCTCGGGTACGGGAAACAGAAAACACCTCCGCACCGTTCGCGGCGTTCAAGACCAACTATTTTGACGACCCCTTCCTCTCCCACCCTCCAAGCAACGAGGAACGGTTGATTCCGATTGAAACTCACAATTTATTCACTGGCTCTCCCCATGCCCAGCAGCATTCTCCCGGAACCCACCCTTTTACCAGTCCTGCCAATGGCCCCAGTCCGCACGATGCATTCTCCCACGCTGGCAATCCCAGCGGCCCATCCTCCCCTCCATTTATGAGCCCAGGAAGTACTTTGGAAAACGGTCAAAGTGACTTTAGCACTTTTTCATCACCAGCTCCCGAAAACCACAATTCGCCCACAGACTTTAGCTATTTAGAACAGCTCTACATCAACCCTGAAGCGTTCGATCCCCCTTCACCTCCACACAAACCAGCAGACAATGACAATGGGTGTGCAAAAGGATACTCTGGGACAACTCAGCTGCTGAGTCCAGTGTTAACTAATACTCCTAGCCCTTCCGCAATATCCAACACGCACCCCGGAGAGCATCCAGTGCGTCACGACCAGCACGATGCCAACATCTCCCCTACGTCCATCACACATGAAGGACGGAAAGAAGTGCCTACCCTCCGACTCCCAACTCTAGCAACCACTCCTTACAGCAATGCCGTTGAAGTAAAGACCTCGAATTACCCGGAATTGCCGCCGAGCCCCGTTGTCAAAATCTCGAGTTATAGTCGAGGTGATTCCCCTTCTCGAGACGAAGTCGGGTTAAACAAATCGAAACGGAAGAGTATTTCTTCTGTCCATCTTGCGCCAGGAGCCGATGCATCTGATGAGCCCGACGACGGAGATGAGCATGACGATAAGATCGATGACTGCGAAGCAAAGGCCAGGGCTATGCCGTCATCTCCAACTTTGCGTGCCGCTGACGGAAGTTGGGTCCGCAATCCGGCCACTGGCCTTGGCGGCTTGGACCCATCATCTAGAACTGAAGACCTTGTGCCCAGTTTGAAGGAGATCACAGCGCAACAGGAATTAGAGGTAAAAATCGCGGACGTGGAGCGCTGGCTGTCCTTCAGCGAAGCAAACAGCGAAGTCGAGGATAATACCTTGATCGGGTACCAATCACAGAAAAAATGGCGATTTCCTGGGAGACGCAGAACTAAGAGTACTGGAGATTCTCCGCTCAGTCCTCGCAATCCAAACGCTAACGGTCAACAAGCGACCCACGATACCATTCCTGGGCCCGGTGTCCTTGTGATCGAGGAGAGCGAAGAAGACGAGGATGATTCTCACTCATCTGACAGCTCGCTTCCGCGACCACCAGACGATGTTGATTCCGGCTCTCAATTAGGTTTCAAGGAAGACGACTTCCCACCCACGGACACTATCAGCCTCTCGAGCGAGGTGCCGCTCCCGCGCCAGTTTATTCGGTCCAGACCTTGGCAGGACCAACCAAGGAACCAGAGGTTTGGGGACATGAAGGAGCAGCCGCCCACATCTAGTGCTGCGATCTATCGATTTCTGAGACAGGCGGACAATACTGACACGGCCTCACGGAGAGCAACGTGGGGGACGCGGGAAGTTACTGAAGCTGATGTCGAGAGCCTTCGTTTTGAGTCCATGCGGATCAACGATGATGGAATGAAAGAGAAATTTAGCCCACGCACTCTTTTCGGGCACGCGAGTAAACTCATCCCGCGGCGGAGCCACAGCGGCGCAAAGCGAAAACACAGCATATTAACTCACCAAACCCAGCCGAGTGTGGAATCCTTGGAAACCGGAAAGAGTGGCCCCAGCAGCTCGGCACTGCCGCAACGCAAGCCGAGTTTTACGAGACGGTCGAAGACGCCGTCAAATACCAGCGGTGCATTCTTGGAAATGGGAAGACAGATCGCGTCCGTTGGTGTTACTAGTCCTATCGAGGTTCAACCTACCAAACCTCTTGCGCCATGGAGCAGTTTTATGAGACGTAGCCGCAGTAGAAGCGAGGTGCCAAAAGGCCTACAGATCACCAACTCGAAAGTGACGCAACCTGTGCCTGGTACTATGTTAGCGGCGCCGTTATACGATCAGAATCAGACGGCGGTGACTTCACTAGCCCATTCGCCTCTGAATGGGAACGATACTGACGAGAATGACCATAATCATGATGAGGACGAAGAAGATCTGGCAGGTGATAGAGGAGTCTTTATGGACTTTTCCATCCGTGGAGATCTGATTGTGCCTACACTCGAAGGGTTCAAATCTCATGTCGAGCAGTTGAATCCCCGGCTACAGCCAGCTCTAGTGCAACGGATCGCCCAGGAACAAATGCGACGATATAAGAAACTCGTTGAACTCAAGCTGAAGCATGCCCAGGCGGTACACCGACGGACCTGTCCCTCTAGAGAACATTGTTTCGCTCAGGGGGGTGATGCCACCATTCTGCTGCCGAAAACTGGGGCTAAGGACGTGGAAGCTGCCGCCATTGGGACTAGCCACATCGATCCGAACGGTGGATCGGGTGAGAATGCCGTGACAGATGCCATGTTTCCGTCAGGCGTGCCGTTACCGCCAACTAGGCGGCTCCCCGCCAAATTCGAGTGTTCACTGTGCTTTGAGGTCAAGAAGTTCCAGAAACCTTCCGATTGGACGAAACACGTGCACGAGGACATTCAGCCATTCACTTGCACCTTTCCTGAATGCCCGGAGCCCAAATCATTCAAGCGCAAAGCGGACTGGGTGAGACACGAGAATGAGAGACATCGTCATCTCGAGTGGTGGGCGTGTAATATGCTGGACTGCACTCACGTATGCTATCGCAAAGACAACTTTGTGCAACATCTTGTCCGAGAGCATAAAATGCCAGAACCGAGGGTGAACCGTGGTAAAGGCCGAGGAGGACCAATCGAGAACGCATCGCCAAATCAAATGGGTGACGATACCCAGGGGCAAGAAGTGGAAAAGACAGTCTGGGATTTGGTTGAGAGTTGTCGGCAGGTCACCACAAAGCAGCCTACTGAAGAAGCTTGCCGGTTTTGTGGCAATGTGTGCAACAGCTGGAAGAAGTTGACAGTCCATCTGGCGAAGCATATGGAACAGATCGCGATGCCAGTGCTCCAGTTGGTGGAAGAGCGAGCCGTTTTGGCGGGCAATATCCCCGTTGAAGGCGGCAGCTTGACTCCAGCGCCGAGCAGTTTCCCAAAGCCTCTAACGCGAGAGCAAAGCACGCTGTCGACTCGCAGCAAAACCAAAAACAGCGCTCAAGGGCTCGTGTATGGAACGGCGGCGCTTCTACCAGAAGCCTTTGCAGTGAAACGCCCTACTGTTTCTGCCAAAAAGCTACAAATGCATAATGCGCTTATGGGGTCGCAACAATACTCAATGTCGTCCAATCAGTATGCCGTTCAGCAACCGTACTCGCAGGGCAACTCTCCGGTCTTGCAGGGGCCGCGGCACTCCCCTCTAGCGCAGAGACAGTATGGCGGAGGAAACGGGGCAACGTACCCGCCACCGTTCAACGCACCGATCCGCCAGCCGGGAGCAATTGAGACTCCCAACACTGGCGAAATACCATACACTTTGGACGTGGACTTGTCAGCGGCAACGGATCCCTTGACGGGGTTTGGTGGTGGGCCATTATATGCATCGCCGGTGGAGCATTACTCGTACACAACGAGTCCAACAGGTATGGGTTATCATATGGAGGCCTCAGGATCGGGCCAGGGATATGGGTATATAAACATTGCCGACGAACAACGGCAATATGGTAACCAATGAGATATGGACGTACTGATTTCGGTTTCAATTCGATGTATCTTGGTGTTTTGCGTTCAATTGGTTCATGGAATAACGGCAATAATCTCATGAGAAAGCAGTTTTTCCCGATGTATGTTTTGGGGGATTTTTTTGGGCTTCGAGTGTTGGAAGATAAATACCCATTCATTTTGATGGTTGTTTTGAGGTTCATGCAATGAATATCCACGCCAATGACGTACAAACCGTTTTGGCGGAGTTTAATTATCCTGATGATTGTAGCTCCAGACATGGAGACACCTATTGAATGCACCGATTTTTGATCGAGATACTCCGTACTCCGTCCAGGCGTCGGCATGGACTAGACCGCTAGGCCGATAGTGGTGGCATTGGCACCGTGTATTAATAGCCTGCGACGGTTCAAACCCGTTGCCTTGCGAGAAGAAAAATAAGTTGATGAGGAGAACGTGTTGCGTCGAAGCGTGATATTTCTCCTCCTGCGAGCCGCAAGCGCACACCAAGTCGGAGGGCCGCGATCGGAAGTTGAAGGCCGCGCTGGGAGGCCGGAATCCCAAATTGGAGGCCGGGCTCGAGAGTGAGGCGAGCGTCACGAGCAGGGGGGTAGAACGCCTGATGGCCATCAGCGTTGGAATGGAGAGCAGCGGAGTGGCGAGACCCGATGAAACGAGGGTTGATATCTCGCTCAGCCTATCCTGCGTGCAAATCTGTATATATTGACGGCCGTGTCTCTGCTGTGGCCCAATATTCCCCGAATTCTGCTTGTTCGAGATGCGCTTTATTTGGTTGCCTTGAATCTCACGTCAAGCGGTGAACAGAACGACGTTGACTCGGGATCCAAGCACAACCTCCACTCCCATCCAGCTCTCTCTCCCTCTCTCTCTCTCTATCATCCTTTGAAACAACCTGGTCTGTTCGTGTTGATCAGTGCTTCCGACTCAAGTCTCCGTATCTTCCCCCTCTCTGCAGCGGGCTTCGCACAGCCTGCTCCTCAGTCGTGCGCTTCTCAACCCTGCAGGCCGCTAGTTAGTTCGTTATCTGCTCGAACCTGTTGCGAATTGCTTTTTCCCCTTTTTGTTTAATTCCTCATTCTGATCTGTCACCACCCTGTCCCTTCGACGCAGACTGCCCTCTTTTCTCTCTCCTGCTTCCCGTTTGTCCCACGCTCCCTCCTTGCTTCCTGCATGATCTCGACGCCGTCATACCGTCCTTGACTGCGCCGACTCTCTCCACCCGGCTCCCCTCCCTCCGGTTCTTCTCCGGCTGCTGTCAATCTCCCCTGTGTTTGCTTTTTCTCCGCCGCTGATCAGCGCAAAAATGCAAACTGAGAGCCATCCTTGTTTCATCCTCCCTTGCTCCATGATCTAGACCCTCGCCAGCATCCGCGGATGGAGTGATTCCCTAGGAACCCAAAAGAAACAAGACACGGGCCTGACACCTTGGGCCGTTGCCCTGGGCCCAAACGCAATCCCAGCGGCGCTGTCTCTGCCGCCAGAAGGGAGTCGATCATGGCCCAGAATCAGGGCTCTCGACGACAGCAAGGCCGGTCCGATTACAGCAACCTTCATCCTGCCAGGTCCTCCTACAGTTTGGTATGTGAATGCTGCTTTTTGGTCAACTTTATCCCTGCTTTCATCTGGTCTTTTTTTTTTCTTTCTTTACTTTCGTCTAATGTGCTTCTTCGATATCGTCCGTTATTAGTCCCAACTCCCACCGCATGGCAACGCCTATGGCAGCCAGCCTGGCCGTCTGAGCGAAGATCTGCTGTGTATAAATGGCCCTCCCACGCCCATGGCGTTGACTCATGCCCACGACAGCCCGACAGCAGACCTTCTAGCCCCGCCGTCGACGAACGTCTACTTTGCGAATCTCGGAGGGTCCACAGGCAGTTTTCAGCAGCCTGCTCCCTCTGCTCCGCCCTGGCCAAACTATTCTCCCTCTTTGGATCCTCCGTCCGTACCTTATCCCCCCGTGACCCCTCAGCAATTCTCAGCTATACCACCCTCTCGACGCGATGTTTGGGACCCCGTTGGTGTCACAGGCCTTCCTGCTGGCAACAACATGTCTTTGAGCCAGCAGCACCCCGCAAAACGTCAACGAACTGTAAGAGACGGCGAGACTTTGTCAGACATTGGAGCTCACATGCACCATTATCTGTTTTCAGACTCGGGTTATGCCACGAGAAGTGTTGGCACAAGATCCGTTGCAGGCCCGTACCTCATGGAAAACAAATTCCAGACAACGCAGCCACTGGACGATGTCGCCTCTCCTTCCTCTTATTCTCAGCCTGACACTTACCTCCCAATCGTTCGTCCTTTTCCTCCCTCCCCTTACCCTCCCACCATCCCAACCGTTGCCCCATCACCTGCCCCTCCGGTTGCTCAAGGACTACCGGGCGACAGGAAGCCGCCTCGACCAAAACGACGGCCGCCAAAGTCTGTGCACTGTGACCTCCCTGACTGTAATTGGACTGGAAAAACACAATGCGATCTAAAGTAAGTGGCCAGTTTTCCTGATCCTTTCCCTAGCCGTCATGCTAAACTAGCCAATTTCCTACACGCAGGAAACATATGGATCGTCACGAGAAACGATTCAAATGTGACATTGCCGACTGTAGACGAAGAGAAGGTTTTGCCACCCCGAACGATCTGGATAGGCACAGGAAATCTGTTCACGGGATCCTACCAAAGCACGGGAGCGTCAAGGTGTTCAAGTGTTTTGTACGGGGTTGCTCAAAGCGCGATAAGATCTGGCCTCGCCCAGATAATTTCCGACAGCATCTGACTCGCGTGCACAAAGGGTGTAATGTTAAGGAAATGGTTCGCTTGTAGGTAATCCATGGCCCGGTCATCATGATTACGTTAACACCAAATTCCAGGTCTGACGAGTGGTTTGAATCTGGGAAGGATTTGATACTCGCCGAGTACCTCAAAAACCCCGATGAGGGCTCGACCTTGACTAGCCAAGGCGATATTGACTCTCAGTCACACATTAACGGCGCGGACCTAGCCCGAGATGGCAATCTTTCTTCGGCTGGCTACCAGTTTACTCAGACTGCTTCGATACATTCGGGCTCGCTGCTGCATCAGTCTTTTCGACATACTGCGCCAACGTCGGGCCCCCATTCCATTCATGCACCTGAGTTATCAGAGGGTCCACAACCGGATGACCGTCAGGCTCATGGATTCCTGGAGCAAAGTGCTGCGTCGAAAGATGGCCAAATCTCATTGGAATACTCTGTTGCGCATGACAACTCAGGTACCGGTGCTCAGTTTCATTCCCATAGTGACCAGCCAGGCTCGCCATCCACAGAGGTGCTCGCTGAATCAGCAGCTGGCATTTTCAAAGCGCTGGACAATGAAATGAAGAAAGCGCAATTGCGAACCCGACAGACCATGCAAAACAGCAATGGGAATCAGAATAAGGATACCTCTCAAACACCATCATTCCTTGATGTGCTTGCGGCTTCTGGAGAGAAAGAAAGGGAGTTTTTCTATATGCAGTTAGCATCAAAGAATATGTCTTTCGAGGCCACTGTGCCAGAGCCTCCCAGCTTGACTCAAACGAGTGAATCTCGAAGTACTGACAACAGAACAATAAAGTGTCCTGACTGCCCAACTATTGTGCGACGTTTATGCGATCTGAGGTACGTTCTTCGATCTCCTTAATTGCTAGGTCCCGCATCATATTGATACCTTGCGTAGAAAGCATAGGAAGCGTCATACTCGACCATATGGTTGTACTTTCACAGATTGCGATAAAAGGTTTGGAAGTAAGAGCGATTGGAAAAGGCACGAAAATTCAAAACATTTCCAGCTTGAAAGCTGGCGCTGCCATGAACCAGAGATCGAACAGGCATTCAAGAACACTGGATCTTTGGATACCCGTGAATGCGCTCGTCAATTTTTCCGTTCAGAACAGTTTGCCAACCACCTACGCAAAGACCATGAACTCGGTGAGAGCAGGATAAGAACCTGCTTGCGTATAAACAAAATAGGCAGAAATGGCCAAGGCCAGTTCTGGTGTGGGTTCTGTCGTAAACTGGTACAATTGAAAAGCGAGGGCCTGGATGCTTTTCAGGATAGGTTTAACCACATTGACGCCGAGCACTTTAAGAAAGGCCAAAATATTGAAGATTGGCTTCCCCCGTCTGGCCACTTGACAAAGGGAGAGCAGAAACTCAAGGATTCCTCGTCAATTATGGATAGAACCTCAGAATCGAGTAGCGATATCTCCCTGGCTATTGACGAAGCCAATACAAATGTTGATGAGAGGACCGTTGCTATACCAGAAAATGAATCTCGGGCCCCTGCTCCACCCGCTCCTCGGCCAAGATTGCAGAATGCCGCCCAGGTTTCTGCATCAACCGTGCGTCCATCTCGTGTGTCGTCTCAGGCTTCCGGGTTCGCACCTCACCAGGGGTTTGGCGTTCGTGTACCTGGAGCCGGTGGTTTCCACGGCCAAATGTATCCAACGGCTTCCTTCCAACCCATTTCCTCCCAAGCACGTTCATCCACGCAAAGCTCCCGTTCAGCCCAACGGCAGATCATCGCAGATTCGCTGATGTCGTTTGCGCCTCCTGTTCAACAATTTGACCCCCGTGAAGATCACGAGCAGTGCGTTACTTGCGTAAGCTTCTCCTTCCACACTGATGATCGTTGCACTCTTCTCTTTTCGAGGGCTGACATGTTATTCGCCCGCGAATCTAGTGCCACTGCAGGCTCCCGAGTACATATACATTGGCGCTTGAAAGCTATTGTACCGTGTGCATGCATCCTCCTTGTCCACAGTGCCTCTTCGGCAAACTGAACGAATGATGCCCTGACCAGCTTAATGCGCCTTACATTGGTATCCTGGCGGGTTATCATTTCGATAACTCGCCCATACGATTTTCTTTTCTCCTTCCCCTTTCTGACTTTTGGATCCAAGCGTTTTTGGTTAGAGTTGCATCATGGACCTTTGGATACCCTGGGCTTATGGTTTTGTTAGAATGGTCTTCATGTGGCGTTATTTAAGACTGGAGACGGTTGCTCCCCTGGCTATTTTGCGTTTTTTTGTGAAAAGGGAGTTCATCTGTCTGATATATATATCAACTTTTCGGTCCAATCATTGTTTCGTTCAACTATCAACGCGGTCAACAGAACCCAACTTTGCGATTTTTGATTCTTAAAATGCAGGAGGCTATCTGTTGTTTGGAGTTTTGCATATGAATGTACGTGCTGAGTACTTCATGTTAGATTTACCGGCCTTGGGGTACGTTTTGGCATAAGCATTTCCTTTTTGAGGGATTCGTTTGTTTCTATTGTTAATTGGATATACTTTGGAGGAAACTAGGCCCACAATAAATAATGTCTGCTATTCTGATTCTCCTGCGGTTCCTGGGATTATATCATAGTGATGGCAGTTATCTACCTACAGCTTCGATGCCTCCGGCTCTCCAATTATATCCAAAAATGCTCTATGGACCTCCTCCGTTAAGTCGCTTGCCTGCATACTCCGCCCTTTGGCGAGATATGCTCGCCGTGAGCATTCTCTTGTGATGGCACTTCCTGCCCATGCAGCAAGCAAAAGCGTGGTCTTTGGGCTCAATTTCTTCTTCATTTTCTGAGCGTCATCGTGCAACTCGGATTCAACCTCGTCCCTACTCTCCGCTTCCTGGTGTTTGGAAGAGGCTTCCTCGCCCGTATCCCACAAACCCTCATGATACGCCTTCCTCCAGGCCAAAAATGTGCCCAGAGACCCTGTCAGTGTATCTCCCTGTCCACCACTCCTTTTCCTCCCGCCCTCGACATCCGAAATCAGGGATGTTACACCGTTCGAAATCACATCATGCATACCCTTTTGAATAATCATCACCCCGTCCAGCGCACGTGACAGTCGCTCACACGCTTCACTCTGGCCTTGCTTCCTATCCCCGTCATCATCACTTCGTCTCCCCTTCTCTGCCATGGACACATCCACTCCCAGCGCTTCCGCCAATCGTCCAAATTCAACTACATTCGGCGTTAGAATGCATCCATCATATCCCTTCACCAGAGCCGGATCACTCTGAACCAGCATGAGCGCATCCGCATCAAGCACCATGGGTATGTGCTTGGCGCGAGCTTCCTTCATGACTTCGACAACGATCTTTTGAGTCATGGGGTCGCGGCCCAAACCGGGGCCGATGACCAGGACGTGAATCCGAGGCAGGAATGAGATGATGGGCTCCGCGTGGTGGCGGGGATCGGGGGTGGAGCTGGTTTTGGCGAGGGATTTGGTGCTTTGGAGGATGGGGTGAACCATGAGGTTGGGGGAGTAGGATTTGATTACCTAGATTATTTTGGTTTTCTTTAGCTGTGGCGAACTGAAGGAGTTGCCGTTTTCTGCATTGCATACCGTTGCTGCAGAAGGCTCGCAGATTACATGGCTCTATTGAAAAGAGGCAAAGCTGTTAGTTAGCGATTGGGCGAGATTGAGACAGCTCATTAAACATCGTACGCCATTTCTGCTTGACAGGTCTCACCATATCACATCCTGTCATCTTAGTTAACACTCTGATGGTGGTGACTTTGTTTTAGTTTCAAAGCAGCCCGGGGCCTATTACGTACCTAATTTGGCAGATGCCATTGCAGAAAAGTATGGAGCCCCCGTATAGCTGCAATTAAAAGGACATCAATCAGTCAATGTCAATATATTTGGTATTTAGCAACGGTTATGGATATTGAACTCGTATCCGTTCATGGCGTTACTGCCAGTGCTTGAACTACTGAGCAAAGTCATATTGAAACGGGACTGGGCATTATCGTTGACTCCCCCAGATGAACGTAAGAAGCTCGGAGTAACAAGCACCTCGGATTGATATCGATTTAATATCCGGCAAGGTGTGTGGTATACCGGTATTTGGGCCACTGCCCACAACACCACAAGCCATTTTACGCAAAAGTGCATAGTATCAAAGGGGGCAACTTGATTGCACATACTCTATGCTCCCCCCAATCACGGCCACACGGCCAAGTTGCCCTGTCGCGGCAGTTAGCTCGAGGTTCTACACTGGGAGTTTCGCGCACGCAAAAGGAATACGGGAATTTCAAAAGGATGGCAATAGATGTTTCAATACCTTTGTGAAACTTCTCCAACATTGGAGGCACTAATCTCTTCACCTTTTCAAGGAGGTTTCGCGTCGGTGCTGACATGTTGGGTGCAGTATCTACAGTCGGAGGTTCTGGCATGGATGAAAAAGTGCGATTCCCCGTCCCAATATTGGCGAGGTCGATGATTCAATGCTAGAGGGTTTAATGGGACGTAGGTACCTGGGGAGATGCACAGGAGTCGTGGTCAGGGTTGATGTTTGCAGGTGAAGCTAAAGCACTATAACTCCTCCTAAATACACCATCGCAGGGATGATGTCACAGCTGGGGCAGCTGGGCTTGGAAACATGATCAAACACCCGCCTGTTACGACCATCCATATAGACATTTTTGAGTCTCATGATATAGAGTATGTAGGGTTAGCTGCGAAACGGCAAGTTATTTAACCGCCCAACCCATCTCGCTATGCAACAATAAGAATAAGCATCAAAATAAACCCTGCGCTATGCAACATCAAAAAAAAGACCATTCAATGAATGAAATAGGAAATTTAAACTGGCTGCGTCTATTTCATGCCGCTTGATGCCTTGAACCGCCTCCTAATTCCTAAGCGGTATTGCTTCGCCATTTTCATTATTTTCTCAGTGGAACAGCATCGGAAAAGCTGACGTTCAAGGGAACAGCCTGTATGGAACGTGGTAAGATAACACAGTAAGATCACTGTTTGGTTATCGGCGTGATTTGGAAAGTGCAGCAAGTTTTTTCTTGCGCTCCAATTTGGCTTTTTTCGCTTCCATTTCGGCTTTTAGTTCTCGTTCGTCCTCAACTCTGGCTAGGCGGAGTGCTGCTTGTTCCTCTTCTTCCACATCCATAACTCCAGCTTCCATGTCGGATGAAGCGTCTGAGTAGTCATCGTAATAATCCTCGCCCTCATCTTCTTCATCCGTCCCAAGGTATTCATCTCTAATGCGAGGGCGAGGGGGCTTACCCTGACTGCCCTTTTCGATAATCTTGGTTCCACGTCGTGAGGGGAGCCCCGAAGTCCCGGTATAAGATGGGGTAGTAGACGGGCGAGCAGTTCCCTTGTAATCCGGCTCTGAACTGGATTTGCGAAGGTGCAATCTGTCGGCCTTGAATCGCGAGGCCAGCGCAGGGGATCCGCCTGACATATTTGGCTTTTTGCCTTTGCTTGCTTCAAGCTCACGCTGCTTTGCCTCTTTCAATAAACGCTCCCGTTTCGCCTTACTCATTCGCTCCTTTGCAACAGTCTGGTGCCTTATTAAGCCGACGTTTAGTGGCTTCTGCTGCTGAAGGGCTTTGGCTTGCGCCATGATATCGGCATACGAGCCTTTTACTGGGGGTTTCGAGGAGGTAGTGTTCAAGGACTTGTGCGGAGGAGTAGATTTTGGTGTCAAGGATGTGGCTGGCTTCGATGCGGATGAGGTTCTAACAGGCGCTTGAGGGGTGGATGGCCGGCTTTGAGGGGTGGCTGAGACGCTGGACGGCTTGGTGATCCTAGTGACCTTGGTCGGGCGGAGTACGTTATCGTCTGCCTTGCGTTTCTGACCAAGTGAAAGGGCATTATTATTGCGGATGGTGGGAGCCTTGGTGGTTATGGGTGGTATGGGAGCCGACGCCGATTGTCTGTGGGTCGAGGGCGGGATGATTGACGCATCGCCTGTCCCTATGGACGTGAGAACTGAATTAAGGAACTAAGAGATGTATATCAGTATTGAGACGGGAAAAATAACGTTGAAAGGTGAGACTGACACTCATAATGACCAAATTCGACCGTATTGAAGCGCAGGTGGGATAAGAACCGCTCGCCGAATATGAGTTGGATATGCAAATAATTCATGATTTCGATGTTCTACGCCAGGTCATCACGACTGACCGCAGATTTGCGCAGATATCGACAAGGCACTGGAAACTGGGGCGGCTCTAATGACCGGAATTTCAGGCCATGCCAGATCGGGACCCCAACAAATGCGCCACGTAGACAACAAAGGGCTTTGGAAGGGAGAAAGAGAGACGGTTTGAATGCGAGGGGGAGCGCAGCACCCTTTTATATCTGGCCGCCCGGCGCTAAGACACCAGTCTGATTATGTAATGGTGCTGACTCAGCAATATTGTGGCTAGTGAATGCGCCACGGTCGCTCGCTTAGAGTGTGGCTGGGCACACCGATCCATATATGGAAATTCTCTCGATCCTCAAACCTCTTTTCCTTCCTTCGACCGACTACTTTCACCGAACTCGACGTCTCAGTCTCCGCCCAATTTGCGGTTAAATCGATTGTTTCTCCTGTTCGCCTATCAATTTCAACTGTAAGTGCCTGGCATATGCCTAGGTTCGACGCTGGTGAGACAGTGGACTAACAGCCTATCATCACAATAGTTTACCCGCTACAACAATGAAGCATCTCGCTGCCTATCTCCTCCTCGGCCTTGGTGGAAACACCTCGCCCTCGGCCAGCGATATCAAGGATGTCCTTTCCTCCGTCGGCATCGACGCTGATGATGCGCGTTTGGAGAAGCTTTTGGCTGAGCTTGACGGCAAGGACTTGCAGGAGGTGGGTTAACACCTTTGAATATTTGCAGATGGAATTCTGACTGACGATCGCTTCGCTGTAGTTGATTGCTGAGGGAACCACCAAACTCGCATCCGTGCCATCCGGTGGTGCCGGTGGTGCTGCCCCTGCCGCTGCTGGTGGCGCTGGCGGTGAGGCTGCTCCAGCTGCCAAGGAGGAGGAGAAGAAGGAGGAAGAGGAAGAGTCTGATGAGGACATGGGCTTCGGTCTTTTCGACTAAACGCCTTCTTTTCCACGAATGAAAAAAACAACCAGTTGCAGAGATGTTATGGAGATGGGTTGGCAATCAGGCATGGGCTGTCGCAAAGATCTTTTTCTGCGCGGAATGATGCCAACAATTTGAGAATCCTTTATTCAGCGTTCATGGAATGGCAAAAGCACAATTTTCAGACTAAGCTTGAACGGTGCTATGCGATGTACGCTTAGGTTTTGAAATTTTCAAATACTATGCTCCAGTTTTCTGACAATTGCTTTTTTCCTTCCGATCCTTCACTCATCATCGAGGCGTGATAGCTACTCCGTACAACTTCTACTGTTTGTCAAGATTTCGTAAAACTTAGCAGGTGAATCTCTGGTCGCCGAACGGAGACGGCGTGTAGACACAGTTCAAATCTAATTTCCAAGAAATGATAGATCTATAGAACGAGTCTAAACTTCGGCATTGCGGAATAGAGTATAATAGGGCTGGACTGCCTAATCGGGACAGATCTAGGGCACGCTGACTAATTAGTGCAGTCGCTTAGCCGAGCCATTGAAACTCCCACCTCTCGAAGGCGTGAAGGCGAGTTGGACGTCAATCATCAGCCCCCGACGACAAATCCTCCATCGCCCGTCTTTCTGTACAACAAGCCTTGTTGCTTTGAGAGACTAACCCGCAATCATGGCTGACACCGAATACGTGAGTACTGTCCTTCATATCAATCGAGTTAGACCTGAGGATGGAGAACTGACTTGTGCTTTGCTGCTCTAGAATGCGGAAGAGGCTGCTGGTACGTACTGCAAATGTTTCCTTCGAGGCGGTTTGGTGTGCGACACGATACGAAATGCTGCATGACGATGCAAATGGTGGATTAACAGCAACTATCGTCGAACCATGTCATATCGTTGAAGAACCGAATGCGTTGAGAAACTGGGCGATTACTGGCGCTGACAGCATGCTCTATAGAGTTGAAGAAGAAGAGAACATTCAGAAAGTTTTCCTACCGTGGAATCGATCTCGACCAGTATGTTTTTAGCGATATTTCCGAACCCAGCACTATCATTTCGACGGAAATCTAATAATCTCAATTCTATCGCAGACTCCTTGATCTTTCTTCTGAACAGCTCCGCGATGTCGTTCACGCTCGTGCTCGTCGCCGATTCAACCGCGGTCTCAAGCGCAAGCCAATGGGCTTGATCAAGAAGCTCCGAAAAGCGAAGCAGGAGGCCAAGCCAAACGAGAAGCCCGAACTCGTCAAGACGCATTTGCGTGACATGATTGTTGTTCCCGAAATGATCGGTAGCGTCGTCGGAATCTACTCCGGCAAAGAATTCAACCAGGTTGAAATTAAGCCTGAAATGGTTGGACACTACCTCGGAGAGTTCTCCATCTCATAGTATGTTTTTTGCCATTACTCCAAGGAAGTCGGGGCTTCTTGCTAACTTGGCCAAAGCAAACCCGTCAAGCACGGTAGACCCGGTATCGGTGCTACTCACTCTTCGCGTTTCATTCCTCTCAAGTAAACAGGGTATATGTCATCTTGTGGTTTTAGCTGGCTTGTTAAAGGGTGTTTTCCAACGAGTAAGATACTCTTTCTATGGCATACGGGATGGGAAATATGGGTTTCCTTGGGAAACAGCGGCTTGCGAGGGAACGCCGCTTTTTAAGCTACCTGTATTAGCTAGAATATTGATGATTTTATATCCTAGCTCCAACAAATTGACCTTCTGGCCCTCGAATGCCGTATGACCATATACCATCCAATGTTTTGTCTTGCGTTAGCATTCGAGCCCTCCCGCTAGCTGAGTGTCTTAGGGTAGTGAAGGGGTATCACTTCATCCCAGATGACTGTAGCAAGGAAAAGACTTGTCCACTCCGCCAATTTACAAGTTTTATGTCCAATGTCACCTCCACACAAAAAATGGCCTCCTGGAAGAGACACCCCAGTAACTCAGATCTGCGGACCATAGCTCATGGTAAAAGGGGGCAGATTGTTAGAACGTGCAATAAATGCGGTTTGTGATTTAGACAGAAATTTCATCCACCTGCAAAGCTTCATCCGCAAGAGTCTCCAGTTTCTGCCATTGTTCCTCAATATCGGACTGCATCATTTCCAGGGTCCATCCAGAATTAGCAAAATCAGCTAGTGAATCTCTGTAGATGTTTTCCACAGTGGGCAATTCGTTAGAAACCGTTGCCTCAAGGTCAAGTAGGACGGAATATATGATAATGAAGAGGTTAAGATCATATTTCGACAGGTCAACACCTTCAGCAACTCCTAAATCGCCTGCTTGCGTGAGATACCTCATCAGCTTGACAAATACCCATTTATGCATACTCGAGATTGGATGCCATCGATTGGGATATACAACAGGATTAACGCGAAGATGCCGTATGACACAGTGTACAAAGGCGCTTTGAAACTGTCGCGCGCCCATCAGCGATGCAATGAGTTCGCCGCGCAGTCTAACGTACGGCTGGCGGGTTAAGGGCCATAAAGTCGTCCTTCGCAGGGCGCTCATTGCACTTCTCAAATTTTTGATTGAATCCGTTGATGGTGCCCCGGGTTTGACCATTTCGAAGAGCTCCATCGCCTCTTGCTGTGCATTCTGAATAGTTTTCGAGTCGACTGCAGTGATGGCCCTCAGAAAGTGGGTGTCTGGGGCATTTTTTTCTATTTCACATTTGTTGCATTTGCAATTGAAATAGTACCTTTTCAGCAGCTCACTCTGCCGATGGGCGTACGGGTCGGTAGTTTCAATATAAGAAACAAAGACTTGCTCCCCTTTTCCAATGTCGCGTAGGGCCCTGACCCAAATCTTTCCTTTGTCGAAATCGGTAGCAGCATTTGGAGAACAGCTATGGTTGCAGAGTGCCGCAAGAGGCTCAATAGCAGCGCCAACATGGTCGTAAAACGGGGTTGTCAGAGTGAAAGCATTGATATCAAGCTGCATTATTCATCAGCTTGGGTATAGGCTATGAAGGGCAATCAATGTCCATACTTTGCAGAAATACTCGATGATCTTATGCAAGGACAGTTCTGTTCCTGAGTACTCGCGTACTGCTCTGGCCGATAGCGCGAGTTTCTGAAAGTATTCCGGCTTCGATTTCAGGGTCTGAATCTGATGGCTCTCCAGCGCGTCGAAGCGCTGCATATTTCCTCCCGGATCGTCTTGACGATAAGTTTTGAATATAATAATTCTTAGCACAACCCTTGAATTGGTTGGCAATATGTTGGGATGCAATTTTTTGAAGATTTTACATTCGTGTTTATGGACTGCAGCCCAGTTTGACACTTGACAAGCCTACCTCGTCGTCAGCATCTTGTTAGAAAAAGGTCGAGGGAGGTGTATAGCCATTCATACCTTGCAGCAATATCTTACAGTTCTGCACCCCGTGCATAGTTTTAGGCTCACTTCAGGCGTACCGTCGACTTCGCGGTCTCGAAGCGTCTTCACTCCAAAGCAGCTCGAGCATGTATCCGCCAATCGAGTGGTATCTAGGACGGTGAGCCAGGTGTCCAATTCCAGAATCGGATGTCCTGCAGTTATTTCGGTTGTTGCAAACAAACCGGTGCCAGCATCGGGGGTTTCTCGTGGCTCAGCCCGCAGAGTTCCCTCGTTCGTGGACTTCATATTGGACAGTCAAGGTAGATTACGGAGTACATTTAGTGAATACACCGCACGGGAGTGATCTTATCCAAAATGCGATGAGGGCGGCAAAGCGCAGGGTTGTGGTTTTTGTGTTTCCAAGATTCCCTCATACCAACACAAGTCGGCAGCATAGTTAGTTGGAGCAACGGCTCATTAGGCTTCAACGAAGCATGTCCAGATTCGGTCAACATCCCAATTAGGGCTAGAATTTAAAACCCTAACGGCAAGCCAACCCCTATTCCTCCCCAGCCAAACGCTCAGCTTTCTGCTTGAGATCCGGTGAGTGAAAAGTTTCAGAGGCCAAATTGCTGATGCTCCAAAATGGAGGATGAAGTTGGGGAGTGGCGATAAACTACGCATTAAAGCAAACCATATGATCTCTATTCATCTCATTTCATATCCGGAAGCACTGGCTCCAAGGCCATTAGACCTAAAACTACCCCCTCCTAAAAAGGTGTTTGATATAATACTCGACAGAACCGGAACCGAGAGAGAAACAACTGAAAGTAAGGCCAAAAGGGACATAACGCAAAGCAACTAGTTTGCGGGACTTTGGGATATAAAAACCAGGCTAAGTATTTTTCGTTCTCGACGCCATAGCTCTACCCGAAATTCAACGGACATAGAAAACAACCCCAGTGATTTTAAAATATAATCGAAAGATGAATCTCAGTGGCAATACGCTTGTTTTACAAAGTCTTTGTGCCGACAAAATTCGACCAGCTGCGGACTTCAGATGGGATGCCTTCCGAGCGAGGGAGCTTCTCGTGCATGCACTGCGCAAAGAGAAGGGCAGTCTATTCCGGAGTCAGTAAACAGCAACCTAGGGTATCAAGTATAAACTAGAAGAACCGTCATACCTTTGGCTCCATGAACAGCGGCACACCGAAATCGACAGCATTTCGTCTCATAACATAGTCTTCGTCTAGCAGAGTCTTTCCTCTCTCTTTCGCAATATTGAAAACGCCCCTAATATCGTATTTCTGGAACACTTCTCTCAATGCTCTCTTATCTTCCTTGGGAAACTCAATGACTTGGACGTCAACTTTGGATTTGGCTGATTTCTCGAGATACTCCTTAACTTTTCGGCTGGCAGCAAATAGCTTGTACCCGAGAGGCTGGACGAAATCAACGATGCGTGGGAGCTCAGTCAGTACATCGGTATCACCACCGAAAAGTAGACCCTCGCCAGGTTCCGGCATGCGGAAATTCATCGTTGATTGAAGAGATGCCCAGTATGCCTCGACCAGGTCCTTACCGAAGCAGGCAATCTCACCGGTACTGGCCATCTCAACACCAAGGTATGGATCGGCACCAGCAAGACGAGTCCAGCTGAACTGGGGAACCTTAGTTGCGAGGTAATCACGCTTTACAGCCATGATATCATCAGGCTCTGGAACATCTCTGCCAACAAGCGCCTTGGTTGCGACGTCAATGAAGTTCGTGCCGAGCACCTTGCTAACAAACGGGAATGATCGCGAGGCACGGAGATTGCATTCGATAACCTTCAACTGTGGCTCCGAGCTGTCGGGGCTATCGGCTTTGATAATCTGCATGTTGAAGGGTCCGGTGATGCTGAAGGCCTTGGCAACCTTTTCTGCGATTTCCTTCACGCGAGACATGATGGACTCGTCCAAGTTGACCGGAGGAAGAACCAAGGTAGCGTCGCCAGAGTGGACGCCAGCCGCTTCTACGTGTTCGCTGACAGCATGGAGGAGTAGCTTACCCCCAGAGGCGACGGCATCAACATCAATTTCCTGGGCTCCTTCAATGAATTTAGTGATAACAACAGGATGGTCGGGAGAAACGTCACTGGCTGAGATTAGCTTGTCATGGAGCTCGTCTTGGCTCCGGATAACGCTCATAGCAGCGCCGGAGAGCACGTAACTTGGTCGGACGAGGACTGGATAGCCAACGGATTCCGCAAACGCCTCCGCTTCGGCAACTGAAGTGAGTTCCTTCCACGCCGGCTGGTCGACGCCAATGCTGTCCAGGGTTTGAGAGAATTTGTGGCGATCTTCCGCTCTGTCGATGTCCTTAGGGTCGGTACCCAAAACATGGGCGCCACCGGTCTCCTGAAGCTTGAGAGCAATATTCTGAGGAAGTTGACCACCAACCGAGACCACAACGCCACTGGCACTCTCGAGCTCATAGATATCCATCACTCGTTCGTAGCTTAACTCTTCAAAATAGAGCTTATCTGCCGTATCGAAGTCGGTGGAATATGTTTCTGGGTTATAGTTGATCATGACAGTCTTCTTGCCCATATTTCTGAGTGAGAGCGTAGCATTGACTGCACACCAATCGAACTCCACAGAGCTGCCAATTCTGTAGACACCACTTCCAAGGATGATCGTACCATGATCGTCAAAGGTAACATCGTGGGATGTTGCATTGTAGGTGGTGTAAAGGTAGTTTGTGTCGGCAGGGAATTCGGCTGCCAAAGTATCAATTTTCTTTACCCAAGGGTGGATGCCGAAGCTCTTGCGACGAGTCCGCACCTCCTGTTCCGTAGAACCGACGCACAGAGCAATTTGCTTGTCAGAAAAACCCATTTTCTTGGCCCTGAGCATCATCTCCTTTTTGATTCCAAAGAGACTTCCAAGGTCCTTCAAGGCGTTTTGCATATCGACAATGTTCTGGAGCTTGAACAAGAACCATTTATCAATCTTCGTCAGCTCGTGCACCTTATCAACCGAGTAATTCTCGTGAAGCATCGCCTGCCCAACTGCGAGCCATCGGCGATCTGTCGGATTCTTGAGAACCTCGTCCAAGTTCTCGAACTTGTCACCCTGGAATCCAACAAATTTGGGGTCAACCTGGCGGATGGCCTTCTGGAAAGATTCTTCGAACGTACGGCCAATTGCCATAACTTCGCCGACAGATTTCATTGAACTGCCGATATCCCGTTTGACATGCTGAAATTTGCTCAGGTCCCATCGTGGAATCTTCGTGACGATATAGTCCAAGCTGGGTTCGAAATTCGCGGTTGTGGTCTTGGTGACAGCGTTAGGAAGGTCTGGCAAAGCGTGACCGAGGCCGATTTTTGCAGCAGTGTACGCGAGAGGATAGCCTGTTGCCTTTGATGCCAAGGCGGATGAACGAGACAGACGAGCGTTCACCTCAATGACTCTATAATCAAGGCCATCAGGCTGAAGAGCGTACTGGACATTGCACTCTCCCACCACTCCGAGGTGTCGAACAATTTTGATAGCTGCAGTTCGGAGCATGTGGTACTCCTCGTCAGATAGCGTTTGACTGGGGGCGACAACGATACTGTCACCAGTGTGAATGCCGAGAGGATCAAAATTTTCCATATTGCAAACGGTGATACAGTTGTTGGAAGCATCACGGACAACCTCATATTCAACTTCCTTCCAGCCCTTGAGAGATTTCTCAACTAGAATTTGCGGGGCCAAAGTCAAAGACCGAGATGATAAATTTTTCAGCTCCTCAGCATTGTTCGCGAAACCTGATCCAAGGCCGCCCAGGGCATAAGCTGACCGAACAATGATGGGATACCCAATCTTATCGGCGGCATCTAGAGCTTCGTCTACTGTGCTGACGGCAATCGATTCCGCAATAGGGATATTGATTTCATTCAGGGCTTTGGCAAATAGATCTCTGTCTTCGCTGGTTTCTAGAGTTCTCACGCTGGTTCCAAGGACTTTGACGCCATATTTCTCGAAGATGCCCAATCGGTTCATCTGCACGCCGAGATTGAGAGCGGTTTGGCCGCCGAAGCTGAGGAATATGCCATCTGGCTTTTCCTTCTCAATGACGTGGGTAACATATTCTGGAGTAACAGGGAGGTAGTAGACTTCATCTGCAAGCTTGTGGTCGGTTTGGATCGTAGCGATGTTGGGGTTGATCAAAACAGATTTAACACCGGCTTCTTTCAAAGCCTTTAAAGCTTGTGATCCTATCAACGGGAGAACAGGACGTATTAGCAAGTGTTCCCCAGTGGATCGAAGTTTATGCTGCCCTGCCAGGGTGTCCGCCGAATGTTACGGGCATCGCGGCTATTGAAGGCGCAAGATCCCAGTCAAAAACCTACCTGAGTAATCGAATTCGCCCGCTTGACCAATACTCAATCCACCGCTTCCAATCACAAGGACTTTTTTGACGTTGACAAGATCGGGTCCCTGCACCGACGCCTTTGCAGAGTACGACGTCGCGCTTAGAGGATCTGCCTGTGCGGACGCCAAGTTGCGAGCCGAGCGGGAGAACGACCGGGTGGATCGCCATGATGCGAATGCTTGCAGCTGTGGCCGGGGATGCAGTCCCTTTGGGGGAGTCTGTGTGCAAAATGCCTTGAGGGACGAGGGAGCGGAGCGTTCAATTGAGGAAAGGCATCGCTGGCGCAAAAGCTGCGAAACCGCCCGTTGCCCACATCGGGCTGTGAGAGCCATTGGCCCACGCCTGGCGCAGAAGCGAGAGTAAAAAAGGAGCGAGAGGGCGAGGACTGAGTAGAGGTTTGAGGACGGAAGGGAGTGAAAGGTCCTGGGATGACAGCTGGCTTGTTCGAGCGGTGGATGAGGTTCGCTCAAATGCTCGTTTGGTGATCTTTTTTTTTTTTTTCAACCAAACTTTAGCGCCTGTGAGTCACTCGAGGAATTGCAATTTTGTTGAGTGCAAAAGCCGCCTGCAGCAAGCTGATCTTTTATTGAACTATCAAAAGGATAGCTGATACGAATTGAGAGCAGTGTCTACGATTTCTTGATGCTACCATTTCCATCCCTCAGTCGCCAGTCACACCAACTTTGGCCGTGTAACCCCAGACCACGGGCCCCTTTGGCCGCTTCTCCGACCGAGTCGTAATCATTCTGCCCCGAGAGAGTCTTGCGTTCGGAGCCCAGGTGGCTTCATCGCTTTTTCCCGTCTGGTCCTGCGGAGAGGTGGCATCGTCATAGTCCTGATTCAAGATGTCGTAAACATTTCTCAATGTCGTCTCGCTCCTCTGTGCCATTTGTGTCCCAGATGCCAGCTGTCGATGAATATGCTCCTTTGTGCCATCCTGTGCCGCGTTGGATGCAAAAGCCCAGGCTTGCGCATGGACGACAAGTGCTGAGTCCTGAGTTGGCGCCGAACGAGAATTGATCGAGGAAGCGTGTTTAGAGCGTGGCTGTTTCGCGAAGATCGGGTATTCCGGCAGCAAATGGCTCTCACTTTGCAAGCGTTCAAACGCTCTCTCAGCCGTCGACGTTTCCTTTGACAGTAGCGCAGCAAGGAAAGATCTGTGGACCGTGGAAACCTTCTGCGATCTGGAAAGTGGCGATAGATGTTCCTGCACGTATGGGAAGATAATATCAATATCTGCAAAAGACCGCTCAGTTTCGCGCTGCTTGGATTTCCGGTGCATAGGCCTGGAGGGGGATTTCATCGGCAAGTTTGAAGCAGCTGATACAGCTTCCAGCAATCTCCGACGCGCAGAGATATAGGCGGCATATTGTGCCTCGGATTCAATTTTCAAGTCCTCTAACAAAGACGGAGCCTGATGCGCACCGGTAGTCTTGTAGTTCTGTTCTTCTTCGATGATACTCGCATCTTCCATTCCAGAAGTAGCGAGTGTCTGTTCAACCCACTGCACAAGCTCATCACGGATTCGCAAAATGGCCTTTAGTTTGGCTTGTGGACAGGTATCCCTCTGCTCCGCGCGCTTCGCTTGAATTCGGGCCCTTAGCCTCCCAAGTAATTCCTTTTCGTCCTCCGCTTGGCCTTTGGAGACGAGCACTGTTCGCTCCAGGTCGTGTAGTAAAGTATCCGGGCGGCTTCCAGGGCTGGTCGTGTACCCAGCGCCCTCGTGGTGTAGAGCGAATTTCTGGGAGGATGACAGGATATCTTTCATCTCCCGACTCGTATCGAGATATTCTGACTGAGCTGCCTCCATCGCGTTCAGTTTATCAAGGTAATGTTGACATATCTGGATTTTCCTCTGCTGCTGCCGGCTCTGAAGCAGGGATAGGTATATCCGCAACTCTTCACCATCAGGAACTGGTGTTTCTTCGTTATCCCGGCGAGCCAGGTTCTCAGTAAGAGTCTGGGTCTCCTTCAACAGTTCACTATATTCTTTCCTCGCTGCAATGTTTGCTTGTAGAGCTCTCAAGTATTGAGCCCGAAGCCCGTTACCAAGCTCGGGGGGGATTCGTTTGACGCACGCCACATTGTGAGGTGCGCATAGTGATAGATGAGACCCGATATTGTCATGCGAGAAGGTCACTTGAGCTTGCAAATACTCAGTCAAGGCACGTCGCACTTTGAGGGCCTCGCCTCTTGTTCTGATGTAAGGGGCGAGTTGTTTAGCAAAGGGCGGAGGGGGTTCTAATGATTGAGGATCCCCTAGCATTTCTGAGCACCTATTCAGCAGCTTAAACCCGCAATTCAAGTCCACAGATCGAGGCACAAAAATTCCTACTTTTGGCTTGCTGATGGCGTTGGAATTTGGAAACCTGGGTGGTGGTACTTTCGATGCGGGTAAATTAACATTAGACTGTTAATCATTCGACCGCTGCCAGCTTGCGGTCAAAGCGTTCCTCGACGACATGAGAAATTCAACATCACAAGTTCCCAATCCCAATCGACCGACCCTTATCAGCTTCATTTACGACACGGTGCCAGTCTTGCATTATGTTATTTGCACGAAGTGATGGCCCTGGCACTCACTGGATTGCCTGTTTTCCGGGCTCTCAAGAAAGGGTGCGGGCTGAATGGGCCTGCTTTCGTTGCTTATAGTAGACTCTGTCTTTATGGCAGAGGTTATTCATTTACCATCTGGTATAAATATGCGCTACGGCTTGACCTTCAGGCTCTCTCGCGTTTTGATGATTGCAGCCCGTCAAGCGCATTTTCCTTGATATTTCCTAGGGGACCTCCATTAACCATGTTGGTTTGCTGTCATGGAGAGTAAAAATTGAAGCTGTGCTCTAATTATACTCCCCACTGGCCCCTTTATCTTTTCAGCAGTGTATGTTTGCACCAAGTTCGATAATGCACTTGTATCAAACTTGAATAAAGCAAAGGCACTGCCACTCTATGGAGTGAGCCATAACTCATAAATCTCTTCCTGCAGAAATGCATTCATCAGTTTTCTGACTGGATTCAGGTCTGGCACTGCAGATTGGTGACTGGCATGTTCGGCTGGAGGACCAGGTTCTCGGGTGAGCCTGTGAAGAGCTATGTATCGTGAAGCTGTGTGCACCTCTGTTCCCTAGAGCGTGGAGGATGACTATGAGATCTGTTCCTGAAGCAGTCTCTCTGGCTCATAGCATTCCGCTTATGTCGGCAGCCCTGTATATTGCAAATTCTGCAGGACTCTTCAGGCTTCACGACTGATCTGACCGCCAGCATCCCACAATCGTTTCCCACAAGCTCATCTTCATGCTTTCCAGTGTCTCTATCTTACCAAATGCCCTTCTTGCAACAGCTTCATTACTAGCGCTGAAACTTTGGGCACGTGTTCTGTGATAGTCTGTTCGTTTCTGTCGATTATAAAAATGGGCTTCTCTAAGATTTCTTCCAAAATTTCTCACAAGTTTGTCAACAAGAGGAAAAACAGCTCCAGCAAGAAGGGAAAGAAAACCGCGTTCAGAGCAACGCTTCCTGATATTCAGGAACAACAGGAGCCAGGGAGCACCGGCTCGGCTACCATCACACCCTCGACCACCTTCAAGTGGATCGAGGAGGACGAAAGAGCAAAGATGCCTCCTCTCATCAGTAAGGCCAAGTCCCCACCCCTTCTTCAATCGACAGTCGTTGCTCACTGCGTGATTAGCGGATGACAATTCCGAGGCTCGCAGCGAGAGCATGGCTTCCTCTGAGACGAGTGCCACCGTCGTCTCCAAGTGCCCCGCTGCCGCTCCAATCAAGCGGTCTCACCTGTTGTGCTTCACGGCACATTCTACCTTTACCAGGTGCCGCAACACCCACCATTCCCTCCCGTGCATGACTTGCAAGAGAGGGGGCTTCCCCCATCTCTACAAGTGCACCTTCTGCTCCCTTCGCGTCTGCCGCGAGTGCATGGGCACTCTCAACGGATTCCCCGGCCATTCCTTGCAGATGCTCCTTCAGTATCTCGGGGTCGAAGTGAACTGCCATTGAATTCGATAACCATCCACACCTTCTTTGGCAGCACTTCTTTCGTGCATTTTACGGCGACAGGGTGCGCATTCTAGCGAGTGGTGCAGTCGGGGGGATTTTGCAAGCAATTTCTATGGCGTTTTCCAACTGGGGATGTTCTAACTGGGAGGATATCTGTTTATTTTACTGTTTCGCAACAAGTTGCAGTTTCAAGGAGTTTCTAGCTCTGTACACCTAGGAGGATCCAACAGGCTGAGATAGCCTTGAAATTCAAATCATCTTGTCTCTCAAAAAGCACACGGAATGGAGGCTAATTAAATCGCTGTTTTTGAGGAAGGGGGGATGTGAGCTGAGACTGAGGCCAACTCAACGTATAACGTAGTTTCCTTAAAATCGGCGGAAGAACACTTCACTTCACCTTTCACTTTCTACTCTTCAAAGTCAGTCTCATTCACATCCAAGACAATCTTCCCAGTCCATTCTCACATCAAGGATCTTTTTGCAGAAGAAGAATATTCCAAGTAAAAGAGGTGACAGCTTGTCTACTTGTCCGAGATGCCAAACAACAAGTCAAGCAGTCAAGGGAACAAGTCCCAGGTAGGCCTTACATATCACCTCCCTTGGGTGCCTATGCCCAATAAATCCAAGCCCACAATCACTCTCACCCTTTTCAAACTTGAGTATTTGAGCTGACTACTTTACACAGTCCAGCGGAAACCGGTATGAGTTTCGCCCCGTATGCAACGGGGCCAACCAACGCCGGCTCTGACGAGTTTGATGAAGGTTCTGATAGCAAGTATAGCAAAAACGCTGACCCAATGCCAACAAAATATCGTATTATCAAAGATGGGCTTGGGGAAAGCGGCCAAAACCTTCCAGGCCTCTTTTGGGTTGGGAATGGACCCCCGATGACATAGCAGAGGGCAACGAGATTCTAGAGGAGCTGCTGGAGACGGCAATAGAAGAATGGGAGGAGCGTAACCAGAAACAAATGAAACACGCAGAAGATCCCTAGGGTAAGTCTACTGGACCAAGGCTGCTTTTCAAAATTGTCTATTCGACGGCTGATAACTAGGGCCTTTTTTTTCTTGTTTTAGTTGTTGACAAAACCGCAGATCTTATATCCAAATGTATGGGAAAGGGGCTAGGTTTATAGGCCGGCTGTCTGTAATCAAATATCTTTAGAAGGAGGAGTGGTTCGGATCAGATTACCAATATCGACATTCGCTGTGTTCGTGTCTATAATTATGCAGAGCCTGGAGTTATACTACCAAAAAATATCAATCATGATCCTCCTCTGTTAAGCCAGGACAGCCGCTCATCTCTGGCGTTTCGTACTGGTACTTGCACCAGAAGCAGTAATTGTGCTTCTCGCGCAAATATACCACAATGCGGTTGAGCCTCTCCTGAGGGACCAGAGCATTGAACTCCTCGAGTTCTTCATCTTCTTCAAGGTCACACTCAGTCTCCACAATCTCGCCTGCTGCATTTCGGCTAAGGGCGAGCTTGTCATCTACATCAAGATCAGTATCATTGTAAGTAGGGAGCCCAGACATATTTCGAGAAAAGAAACTGTCATCCCGCGATGAAAGGGAGTCATATCGCCGCCGTTGCGCTTGGTCTTCAAGGACCTTTTCTTCGCGCGCCCGAACAAGACCACGGTATAGTACGTTAATCTGTGACATACGCTTCGGCGGGCGGTTCTTCTTCCTCTTTTCCTTGACATCATGAGCATCTGTGGTCTCGTCAGTGGCTTTTTCATTTGTTTGCGCAATCGGCACAGGTTCTCGGCCAGAATCTTCCTCTTCGGCCGCCGTGTCCAATCTCTCTGCCACCTTTTGTGCAGCACGGAACTGGGCCTCTGCCCTTCGCTCTTCCCTCTCAAGCCTAACTCGCTCCCGAAAATCGACCTGCTCAGTTTTCACCTTCTTCGCTTCCTCGCTAACTTCCTGCATAAACTTTCTCTTTTTCTCGGTATCCATACCGATACCGCCCCTGTCTTCTTTCATATGTATTTTCAACGGCTCGATGATGGGGCGATTCCATTCATCACGGCCTGATGGATGTTGTGTGGTGTAATCTTTGCCCAGTGCGGTGCCGGGTTTGTATCCCAGTCGAGCCATCATCTGGTAGCCTTTGTTGGAGGGGTCGAGGGCGCTTGTCGCAAGTGCCGCATCGCGACGGGCGGCATCTGCAGCGGCGAGTTCAGCTTTTGAAGGCACACGGGCTTTGGCTTCGGACTGTAAATGATCAAATTAGAATGATTTGTTAGCCATTTTCTGATGTAGCTTGTGTGAACAGGGAGCTAATCTAGCTGGGCTGCAATGGTTACTATACGTTGGCTTTTGAAGGGAATGCATCCCAATAGGATGGGCAGCCTCTGAACTCACCTCTCTCTGTTTGCGCAAACGCTTCTGGGCAAAGGTTTCTTTCGCTCCGCTGGTTGCTGGCTCGATGATTGCCATTGACATGTAGTCCTCCTCTTCGTCGTCTTCCATGGCTTTCGCCGCGCTCTCCTCCGTCTTTGGGTAACCTGGTCTCAACGACATACTGAAAAGTCAGAGATTGACTTGGTTTTGAGGCGTTGGTGCTTGATGTTGTGTTGTCGAGAATGTTTGGAATGAAGCTGTCAGCCACTTGATCCCAGTCGGCTTTCAAGCTTAACTTCCGGAGCCTGACTTGCTTTGGTTGCGAACAAGAGAGGACTTGTCCGAAAGATGGGCTGATGAGGATTCAATCCTCAGGGAGTCTCTCTTTTTTTACATGTTTGATTACCCGATTTAGGATTTGGGAAGTAATTGCATTCTGAATGTATCTTGAATATCCATTTGCGCGAAATCAAAAGCTACGGGCCATAGATACGACTTTCCCCCCGTCTTTCGGCCACAAAAACGCAGGGTCACCTCCAATCTCACGTGTACAACTTCTGTAAGTGAGTATTCCATTCCCAGCAAGTAGGAATACCTGTTTCTTTTATCGTCACTCATATTAACAGGCAGCCGGTTAGAAGGACCGGAAATAGCAGAGAGGCTTTGTGAGTCAGCCCTCTGCGGCGTTTCAGCCTCCCGATAGCTGCGTCTCAAATAAAGAAATCGGGGGGCCAGGCTGAGATCTGCTTCTTGGACTTTTCTAAAAATTGTGTCCTTTTGATCCTCCTTTCTATCTATAATCGATATTGCACTCTGAAGATGCGGTTGTCGGGCATTTTGCCCTTTTTCCTCAAAAAGCATTCTTGAGCACAGAATCAGTGAGAGAGTGCTGACTAAGCTCACGATTGCTGCAACGGCTTTCCATGATACGACAATCTAATGGTACGACATCCATCGCACGAAGATGCTGCTCGTCGGGGAACACGTTTCAGAGGCCAGACCCATGAAACAGTTGACTGCTTTCTGCGCTGCGCCTCAATCCGCTCGTTGTCTTTTCCAGACAACCGGTGCATCCTGATTCACTCCGAGGCCTGGCCCGTTCCTAGCGGCTTGGTGACTGGGGGCCAGGGGCATCTCTTTGTTCGGAGTCAGTTAGCCCAGGGCCATGAAAGCTTGACTGCGGGCTCAAATTGAGCCTCAGCCACTCAGAGCGAGCACTTCGAATCTTGTGAGGTGCCGTTGCTGTTGGTTTTGAAATTGAATCTGAGTCACGACAAGAAATGCACCGTACCATCACGAGTCGTTTCATACTAACAAGTTGGACTTCCGGAGTTACTCCGTTTGTATCCAATTTTGGAAATGCTGGCCCGAGGTTGTCATGAATTCAGGCCCAGGGCCGGGCGGTTTACCGGCATTCACACTCAGACGCCTCATCAGCCTCATTCAGACGATCTTCTGTTGAAGCGTGGCTGTATAGAGAGAGATATAACTGATAACTAACTCGCAAAATCCAGATGTTGGAGTTAACTTGCACTATTTCTGCTTTTTCCCTCCTCGTTATGTCTTTCCAGTTGGTTTCGACGGACCTTGACAACCCGTCTCATGTACTTCGCCTTGCTCGCTGCTGTTTCTTGTTGACAAGGAACAAATTTCCTTTCTTGCTCAGCGTGAGACCCAACGGCCTGGAATTCGCGCGTTGAGGAACGTGCCAGATTCACTGCGACAATTTGTTCCTTTATTCCCTCTTCACAATCTTACACAGGACCATCACCACTGTGGCCCAAAGGCTGTGCTTGGGTATGTGAGCGCACAATGGAAGATCCTTATAATTCAGCTTCGCCATCTTCCACCCCTCCTTCTTCACGCCCTTTGTCTCCTCTACTTCGTTCCAGCGACTCCAAGGCGGCTGGTCTCAAGCCGATTCGAAAACGCTGGAAGATGACGAGAAAACGGCTTGCCATATGCATACTTGCGCTCTTGGTTCCTGCAGCCTGCGCCGCAACTGGAACCGCTATCGCTCTAAAAAAAAGGTGTACTCCCAGCTGTAGAGCAGAGGGTGGGTGCCGTGATCTTGGATATGCAAAATACCAAGGTGTTCGCGACCCCCATGGCGTCACTAGCTGGTACGGTATGCGATATGCTGCACCCCCGATCGGGGAATTGCGGTTTGCTGCGCCCCAAGACCCCGGCAAAGTAGATGGTATTCAGCTTGCTAACGTGGTAAGCACAGAGTCTTTTTATACGATCTTGGAACATGCAAACTAATAACCGGAATAGAACCGAAATCGCTGCCTTTCCACGAGCACACGGACTAATTCACAAGTCGAGTCTGAAGACTGCCTGTTTGTAGACGTCTTTGCACCGACAAACGCAACTGAGAACTCAAAGTTGCCGGTCTATTTCTTCATTCAGGGCGGCGGGTTCAACCAGAACGCCAACCCGAAACTCAATGCTTCCGGTCTTATTCAAGCTTCCGGCGGCAATATGGTGGTTGTGGGATTCAACTATCGTGTGGGGCTGTACGGTTTCCTTGCTAGCAAGGAGATAGAGAAGCATGCCAGTCTCAATAATGGCTTAAAGGATCAGATCAAGGCGTTAGAGTGGGTAAAGCGGCATATAAAAAAGGTAAATAACGATTTTATCGCCTGGAAAGACGAGTTTGCTGATCTTAGCTGATCTTTCTAGTTTGGAGGAAATCCGGATCATGTTGTTATAGGTGGACATAGCGCAGGCGGTGCCTCTTGTCTCTTCCATTTGACTGCTTATGGAGGCAAAAAAGAAAAGTGCGACGAAGCTCTGTTTCACGGTGTCATTGCAGGCTCGCCGTCCATGGGAAACATGTTTACAGTGTCGGAAAGTCAGTTTCTCTATGACAGCCTAGTACAACGTACTGGATGCGACAAAACCGAAAAGACCCTTGACTGTCTCCGCAAAATGGACAGCAGGACTCTTCAATCGCACAATAGCAAGCAACCATTCCCGGGGGCTAGCAAGAACCCGTTGTTCTTGTACTCTCCAACAATCGACGGCGATCTTGTGCCAGACTATACGTATCGGCTCTTGCAGGAGGGAAAATTCTGCAAGGTGCCTGTCGTATTTGGTGATGATCAGAATGAAGGGACGCTGTTTGCCTCGCGGCGTGCGAATACCGTTCAAGACACCAATGAGTTCCTCGTCGCACAGTTCCCGGCTCTGAAGAAAAATCAACTCGAAAGAATCAACAGATTCTTTCCACCCACGCAACAAGAATTTCCTGGATCCGGAAAGTACTGGCAGCAGCTGGCAAACGCGTATGGAGACATGCGATACACATGTCCCAAAATAGCCACTATAGAAAGCTTTACTGAATCAAACGACCCGAATCAAGTATGGAGTTATCGCTACGCAGTGGAAGATCCAATATTTGTGAAATCCGGTCTCGGAACGCCGCACACAGCTGAGCTGGAGGCTATCTGGGGCCCCGATTACAACCCCGGCAAATCACCAGGATCATATTATACCACAAATAAAGGAGTTGTACCTGTTGTCCAAGGGTATTGGTCAAGCTTCATTCGTGCGTTGAATCCTAATACGCATCGTGCAAACGGAGCGCCCGAATGGAAAACATGGAACGTCTCCAGCTCCGATCCGCAGGCGGAGGGTTTCCGGGAACTATTCATAAGGACGGGGGACACAAAAATGCGAGTCGTCGACTCAGAGCAGAGAGAGATATGTGATTACTTGATTAGCATTGGCGTTGACATTAAACAATAGTGATTTTTGGGCAGCCGTTGGAGTTTTGGTTCTTGATCAGGTTGCGGCGGCGATTTGTATAATATGAGCAAAAAGGTCTGCATTGCGTGGGATAGTTATTTGAGTGCATCTGACTTGGATCGTTTTGTCATTATTTACGGAGCAAAACACTAGAGCATTCTTCAGAGAATTTAGGAAGTTAAAACGTACTCGAGGGTTTTGTCCACGCATGTCATGATGTTGAGCTCGACATCAAGAGACATTATAGCAACTAAGAGTTCTGTTCGTTGGCTACTCGGAGACCTTGGTCTTGCTAAGAAGGTTGGGTTGATCTGCTGCTGTCACCGTCCCTCCCAAGAGTGCAGTCTTCGTCATGGGCTTGCGTGGCCCATGTTTTCGGTTGGAGAGAGGAAACGGGTGTTGGTTAAGGGTTACAGGCGGACTAAAGTGTCCCTGGGCAATCCCGAACTTAAATGGCAGGTTGGAGCATGGGGAGGTTGATATCGTGAGCGGGTTGAAGTGACTCTGCTGACCTGGATGACTTGAATAAACGAGAAACTGTAGAAGTCTGGCCGTTAGGTAGAAGAAAACCCTTGATAAGCCGTGATTTCATGCCTCGTTTGGGGCTTTGCTATTCCATCACCGTAATATCTGGTTAATTCTTCGAGAGGGGAGTGGACTCTGTTTAAATATATATACATATCCGGGGTATTTACGGAGCTGCCCATGTACGCCTGATCCCCATAGCACAGCCATCGAAAGCGCTAGTCGTATCTCCTTAAGTTTCAAGTTCCACAGTTATTATTATCCTTCCGATAATATCGTTTACTTTGGATTGGCAGAACGATCGAGCCAGTTTACTCGACCAAATATCCTGGCACCATTTCAACGTCTGTAATATAGTCGATCTCGGTGATACAATTGGATTATAACATCCGCTGGATTTCGCTGTAGGCTCCCTTTTGTCCGACACCGGATTATCCCGTCGACAGAGCTGGATACCAACCATCATGATTGCCATAAAGAAATCGCTCTTGAAGAGTTCTGCGAACCACTTTGCCGATTCATTGTGGACAGGGTCCTCATGAACCTGTCTTTGGTGGACTAGAATTGCCAACGAGCATTCTAGTGCAGACCAGTAAGACGTGGGATACTCGATGTTTGCCTCGCGCTGGCGGGCATATCGTTGATGGAGAATTAGTAGGAGACGTCGGAAGGTCAGCTCAAGGGTGGATATCTGCAGAGCTTTCCAGTGTTTTTCTACACTAACCGACCACATGGGTAAACTATTTCGGAGCAAGCAAGTTTCCATGAGAAATTCCCGTATGAGAGCATCAAGACTGGTTACCCTGTCATAGTTGATTATTTCCGATAAAGAATTGGCAGCGCAGACAATCTCAAACGCTGTGGTGAATGAATTTGCGAGAATAATCTGGAACGATGAATCCGTAAACTCAAAATCTGGTGCAGGGACGAACGCTTCTTCTCTTGACGGGTCAAGATCTTCGTCATTCAGATTCGACGGCGGGAGCGTGCTATAGTCACCTTTTTTGAGAAGAGGCGGCGCCCCACTAACGATGGACTGCTGTAATTCGAGATGCACAATTGTCGTCCACATCCTTCTTCGCATTTCTGCCTCGAAAGGGGAAACTTTGTTGCCACTGAAAGTTGGGTCACAGTGTAGGCCTAGGGACATAGCGTGCCGCATCACAATCCCCATGAGCGGCCCGCACGAATCGTATTCATGGCACGACATCGCACCAATATGTTTAGAAATCACCATCATGCAGAGAGCGTTTATGGTGAGAAATGTCGGGTTCAAAATGTGGTGCATCTGTAGTAGACATGTTTCCGCTGCTTTTAGAATTCGGGCCACTCGTTTGATGTTTGCATGTGGAGTTGTCAGACAGCCGATGCCAATCACCATCAGAAACTGTGCCAGCCAGTCCGATCTGGGTGCTTGGTCATTTGCCCAGAACGCATCTACCTCCTTGCGGAACGACGGAACGTGTAAAATGCGGTAGATCCGTTCTACGGTACAGAGATAATTCTCCACGTAAACTTGGATCTGATTTTGATCGGGTATGATCGAGAGGATGTAGCTCTTTGGATTGGTCAAAATCTTGTTGAAATTCGATACGACACCATGAGAATCGTCGAAGTCGATATGTATCTGTGGAAGGGGCGGAAATTCCATGGAATTGTCGTTAGGGAAAAATATTGAGTTAAACTGGCGGAAAAGCCCCGTTAGCTATGTGATATATAGTGCAAGACTGAATAGCAGAGTACAGGACTTACCTCCCTCATATAAACAGCCCAATGCGTTTCGCCGCGAAACTTTGATAACCATATGGCAGCTTTGTCCGGATATGCATACATCGCTCCATTTTGAACTTGCGGGGGCATATCAGCCCCGAGGATATCAGACTTCTGATCAGAAGAAAAGGAGCTGGAGTCAGATAAAACTGGATTTTGTAAGAGTCGTGGAGATGTTAGCATCCGTTTGCACGGACTTCTTGGTCCTCTCTCCTCGTCAATTGAAGACGTTCCGCTCTCTGTACACTCCGGTTCTGCGTTGTCCCCCCGGGAGGAATTCGAAAGATAAATACATTCCTCTATGCGTTTACTCCTCTTGCAGTTCTCACAGGGAGTCTGTCTATCGCATTTCACCTTTAATCGCCTGCATCGTGAGCACGAGATGGCCAGTCTGTGTCTCCTGCGGATGACGCGTTTTTGCTTCTTCGACGCTGGCTCGAGATGCCAGACGTGCCACATCCTGAATGAGGAGCAAGGCTGTATATAGGCTTTGTCGAAACAAAACGACCTGGTCGAGTGGCGGACGTTGTCGATTGCTAGCTTGGAAGCAGGCAGCATCTTATCAGATCAGATTAGATTGATAACTTTGCCAAAAGCTTAATTTGAGTCATGTCACATGATAAATGGCCCGGAAGCCGGCTTGGCATACGTCAGAGTCCTATCGACCTCAAGCGACGGCTCAACGATCAAGCATGAAGGTTGCGCACACTATCAGAACGTGCTTCTCAATGCTGAGGCTGTTTACAAGTACGTAACTATGTGTGTAATGAACAAAATAAGTCTTCATCGTTTTCCTTTCCGGATTTTCTTCTCGCGCTCATAAGCATTCGCTTCTCGCCCTTCCTCGCTCTGAATCTCAGCGACCAGACGACGGTATTTCCGTTCATACTCTGCGTCTCTCTCGCGCTTCTCACGCAGGCTCTCACGAGCAATAAAGTTAGCATCCTTGCGGAGTTCGCGCATCGCGCCTTTCCGCTCACGCTTATGCTCTGCTTTAAGTTTGTTGAGCTCTGCGCGCTCACGATCAGGATCGTAATGCTTATCTGGATTAAAGGATTCTTCGAATTTGGGTATCGCTGTTTTGATTGCGAGGGGTTTGTGGTTATGAAGCAGTAGAGGGCGGCGTGAATGCCTGGCTTCCGAAAGCCGAAGTTTCACATCGGAATATACTTGTTGGATATGATCTGACAGGACTGTGGGGAGTTTCCCAGCACAAGATGCCATCAAATGTTTCAGAACTGCTTGTGCGGGATCGAAGACCTCGTAGAAAGCGGATTTCGTGGCCCATAAGGCGGAAGCAGTGCCAAGTATGGATGTGAGTGTTTTGATTAGCGAGAGCTTAAGACTTTCAGCTTGATCCTCGGACAGAGATGAATTCGCTAGAATATCCCAAAATTGAGGCTTCGTGATTTCTGTGGCTTCATTTACACTTCCGAGTCGCATCGGCTCCGAGGGCATGCGTACTGGGAACGAGCCCAGACCCGTTTTAGGTGAAGTGGGCGCAAGAATGCATAAAGCATTCAAAACATAATTGGCAAGCTCCGGAATGTACCGTTTTGACAGTGTTTGATATTGTAGACACAAACTTGTCACATACGTACCCGTGACGAGGTCGCCTAAAGTTCGAATATTATGTTGCCCAAGATATCGCCCCATGGAAAGCATTGCTGGTGTGGCCACCATATGGAAGTGGTCGGATGTTGGAAAGATAGTCGAGATGCCCGTTAATATGATCAAATCTCCTGGGAGGAGGCTCACAGGTCGATCCACAGCCATTTCACGAAGATGAGCCCTAAAACCTATGGAGACGTCTTCCGGATGTGATTTAGCAAGCGAATGGATATGGCGAAGTAGACTCTCCAAGACGGTGAAGGATGGGGCTTCAGGCTGATTTGCAAGGTAGGTAACATGTTCTACCAGGATCTTTGAGAACTTGCCGAGCTTTGCCTTGTTACCCTCACTAAGTCGAGGGTGATGCAAGGCACGGATCCGCTGAACCACAGTAGGTAGATCATCCATTTTCACGTCTTTTAATATCGCCAAAAACTCGTCGTGGGTTTCGGGACATGGGTAAGTATAGGCCAGCGATGGATCTTCCGGAGAGGTTTCTCCTCTATCAGTGCCTATTCGTTCCGCGCCTGGGGGAAGAGTGAGCCCGTTGATAAACTCATCATCGTCATTTTCTCCTTTGTCTTCCTCCGAGCTGTCATGGGCGTCACTATCACTGAATGAAAGATCTACGGCCGACCCAGTTTCGATCAAATCCTCGTCAAGTATAAAATCATCTTCATCCTCAACATCAAGATCTGGCCGTGTTGTCAATTGATGAAGACCAAATTGCATTGCATCATTGGCGTCGGCATCTTCCTCTAAATCCCCATCGCGGTCGTCTGCTGACTCCTCATCATCTTCTCCTTGCATTCGCCTTAGCCTTTCCACCTCTAGCTGCCGTAATCTCGTGGCCTCGTCTTCGGCTATCTCCTCCTCTGTTTTAGTGCGCTCGGAAGGCTTGGAGCGTTTGTCAAAGACCATTTGTTTCAACCTTTGATCATACTCTTTGTCTGCCGTTTCCCTATCTTTACCATTTAGCAGAGCAGCACGATCTGGGTTCATTGTGGGCTCTGGAGCCTGTTCTTGACGCGGGGGCTCGGGCAGCTTCGTATTCCTCATCACCTCGAAGAGGGTAGGGAGCCCCTTGTCCAAAGTTGCCCGCAAGTCATCATCATCTTCCTTTGCTTTTTGCCGCTCATATTTGTACATTTTCGATTTAGCAATGACCTCTTTCATCACTTCTTGTTTCGACTTCTTCCGCTCAGGTTGGCCTTCTTCGTCTGATGCCTCCGCTAAACCCTCCATATCATCTTCTTCAACTAAACGTTTGCGCTTTTTTTCTTTGCCGGACTCATCATCCTCTTCTGAACCATTCAAATCGTCCTCTTCAAAATCGTCACCAGCGGTCTCGTCAAATGTGAGGGTTTGTCCTCCGTGAGTGAGTACCATTTCTTCATCTTCATCGTCTTCCAAATTAAACATTGACTCTTTTTTAAGTCGCCTTTGGCTCTCCCTTGCAAAACGCTCCGCCGCCCTCTCTTCTGGTGTCATGGTCGGGTCATTTTCGCCGAACCGCCGATCTACTAGTATTCCGATCTTATTACGGCTGTGAATCTCTTTTAGAAGAGTCTCTTTTCTCTGACAGAAAATTATTAGAGTATGTCCTGGCGCTAGTTTTCGGGGCCATAGAAAGTAAGAATGCTTACTCGCTGCTCCCCAAGCCCTCTTGTCACTCCAGGTCGATGTCGAACAGGGTCAGAGGTTCCTTTATTAGTTGTGACGGCAAATTTCGCGGGCCTCGCCGGTGTTCTCGCCTCGAATGGGTTGAACTGTTCACGTAGCTCTTGCAGGACAGCATTGCGATGAATTCGGCCGGCCGCAGCAGCTCCAGATTTTGCAGCCTGCTTCCTCTGCTTTTTCGACTGCTGTTGTGAGATAATACCTTTGTCACGTAGCGAGGCCTTTAATTGTTTTAGCTGCGAAGGCGCCATAGTAACCAGTAGACAACACCCAAGTTGTCACAGCTCTGCGCCGTCGTCGCTGCTGAGAGATTGTGCCGTAGTTTACTTCCTGGCGAAGGAAAGCAAAAAATTAAACCAAACGCGCTCACCGCTCTTGAAACAGACTTTCTGCCGCCAACCTCTAGACGCTCGGACCACCTCCGCCTCTTTCTTGTTCCTCGCGTCTTCAACTGCATCAAACCGACAGGTTTCCAGCTGGTATGGCGTCGCATACGAGTGATCGGCTCCTGTGGCTCTGCCTAGGTACGCTTATATTTAGGGGCTCGCTTTCTTGTGACAGAATCATTAACCATTTTGCAGGCGTCACTCTTTTTTTCGCTGCCCGTGGCGTGGTTGCGGAGCTACATCGTGTAAGAGCCCTCGCGGAAATTAACAAGGGAGAGAAAGAAGAGCAGATAATCGGAGAGGCTACAGAAGACGGTATATAACATTTTCCCATTTTTAAGCCTATCTACCGTTTAACCGCCCATCAGCTCTGAAGCTAGATGCCCTCCTAAAGCTCTCGGAGAGCTCAAGTTTTGATTTACGAGCTGCGTTAGTTTTTGTCCCCTGAAATGATGCGTTGTGAGCAAGGATGCTAACATACACCTTGTTATATGGTAGTGCATTGCGGATCGTTTCCGAGAGAGCAACGAAAGGCCCCACCCGAGATTTGCTGCTTGAAGACTTATCGAGCGGAGATCCCACCCGCAGGCACAAAGCCCTGAACGCGCTGCACTTTCTGGTTTCGAGTAGGCCCCGTATGTTGCATCCCATCCCCTTTCTATTTCTTCCGGTAATCATAGTCCTTATCGATCACCACGATAGTGGCCCGCTCGACTGCCTCTAGTCGACTAAAAGATCTTCCTACATTCTCCAGTCTAGTCGATTGCTTGTGCAGTTTTCTAGAGGAGCATATAGAAGAGAATAGTACAACGATATCCCCAATATTGCCGAAGACCAGGCCATTGGGAGAAAACAAAGCGCTGGCCACACTCTGTGCCCTCTTACCAGATAATGTAACCGTGGCTTTGGAAGCTGGGGTTATAAATCGGTGGCTTGCGAAATACCCGTTTCCATGCAAGGCTGAACCGGAAAAAAACAATGTAGTCGTTTATATGAGGATTTGGTCTGCAGACGATCCCCTTATGAGCTCGATTGTTGGCACTCTGGCTACCCATCGTGAAGGGGTGAGACAGCTCCGAAGACATGGCTTGATGGGGAGCAGGATGGAAGAACATAAGCACGATATATTCGTTCCCCGAAATGAACACTACGAGGCCCTTTTTCCTATCAACCGTAATCCGGAAAGGGATGAAGACTCCGATAGCGATATTTGGATGTTAAATGGAGAAGATACAGCTGGTGCTCAACCCTGGACCTGGGAGCGCCCGCAAATGGGTCCCACGACAGACCAAGCATTGCGGCGTCGCAGAAGAGAGGCCATGGTTTTTAGCGAGGGCGGTGGGCCTCTAGACCGTGGTAATATCATAGAGCCACGAGAATACGGCAATTTTGGAAATAGACTTGCTGATGATGATCTCGATGTTTCGGCTGCCGCTCTAATGTCATACCCAATGGGGCCTAACTAAAGGCCAAAAACTATTGGAAGTCCTCTCAGGTGAAGCCGAAAGGGCTTTGCATACTTAGTAGCAGATACGACGATATGAACATATGACACGATGAAATGTAAAGAACAAAATCTTTATTCGGGGAGTCATAGTTTGTTTCTGCCATCCCAAATTACAGTCCAATCCAGCTCAGCTTTGCAAGATGATCTGTCTTTCTCCGGCTTAGTTTTACCATGCCCATCATTTTTAATTCGGAAGCAGCACGATAGAACATGCCCAGCGCAGTCCGCTCATTACAGTTCTCACCGTCTTCGCCACCAATAATAGTATAAAACGCCCACCATAGATCATAGATGTTCACAAGGGCACCGGATTCCAAGTAAAGCTGGTATAATAGCGTTGTCGCAGGTTGATACGCCGACAGATTTTCGAAAGTCTTGTCTGAACCAAAGGCTAAATAGTCCGACGGATTCGATAGAGCGCGTTCCGCCGTGAACCTTGGCCGGGGCGCGAAGGTATCCCTGACTGGGTTCTTGAAGTCATACAGGAATACCTCGTGCATAAAAAGACTGGTGGGTTGGATGAGATTATCGATCAGGTACGCTTGGAATGCTGCGTGGAGGAGGTCGACAATTTTGGTATATTCAGCTTCTTCTTGGGAAAGATTTACTTTCCCCTTGGTCAGTTTTAACCGTTGAGCTACGATCGTGGTTTTATGCGTAACTCGAGAGTCGTCGTATTGAGTTCTCAAGGGATCCATTCCCTTTTTTCCGGCTAACAGGATCTGAAGCTGACGGGAAAGGTCACTAGTCTGTGGTAACGCCTCTGCAAGCACGACGAGCAGGCTCTTAAGTGAATCGGAAGTTATTTTCTTGATGGCTGATAGCGTCTCGCCGACGATTTTCGAGTCATACAATTCTCCGCCGAGAGCTTTGATAATAATGGTTGACAAATTCGGCGATTTTGTAACTTTGACACACCCGTGCGTCGTTTTCAAGGCACGCACGCACTTAAACATACGGGCCATAGCTTCCTGGCCCATCTTCACATGTTTTAGGGCCTCTTTCGCGAGGAATTTATCATCGTCAAGAAGCTTTCTCACTATCTTTGAATCTTTATCATCCAAGAGCGTTTGAGCATGTCTATATCCTGTTAATATAATCCCAGCATCAGAATAGCATAGTTTAGAGAACACAAACCTACGAAATGAAGGAAGATTCCGGATTGCTTGACATAGTTCCGGTTGGAAATCTTCTTCACAGATACCTTTCGAGAGGAGCACGGTCAAAGGATTTGCGAAAAAATGAGTCATATAGGCGTACTGCGGTTCTTAGTTGCTATATGGACTTAGATGATAGGGCAGTTACATACCTTAAGAGAAGCGCTAAACCGTTTGGGACTTTGGAAATAATCTTCTGACCGCTCTATCAGCAGGCTGCTAATGTTGTGTCCTATCCACGAAGTACCATCCGAGCAGGTCTCTAAAGTAGAAAATATTTGATCCACAGAATCCATTGATTCGCGAATATCAAAGCATTGGCCTTGGAGCAGACTCACTGTCGACCGAGGTAGTCGAGCCTCGAAAAGGTCGAGTGATGTCGCTACTCCAAAAAGAAACACAAAAGGGATACGGTCATGCCACGACCTTGTTGGTCAGCCACTCGAGTAAACAAGAAGAGTCGCGGTCAAACATACCATAGCAAAGAGATGAGGTCGTTCAGAACGGTACAATCAAAGGCTTCGCTATCCTTAAACGCGACCACTATCTTCTGGTCTATGTTTTGCTGAACGTAGCCATGCAACAACTCTAAGTCATATGGCAGAAGCTTTGGGCCCTTTTAAGCAATCAGTAAAGCGATATGTAGGTAAAGAGTGATATGAAAATACCAAGGGACGTGGGGTAGGATCACCACCAAACTCTTCAACTGTTCCGTCCGCCAAAACGCCTCGGATGAGACTCTTCAAAACAGTTTTCAAGTTTGTAGCATCTCCAGCTTCAAGTATAGCAACTTGAGCAGTACCATCAGCACGCATAGCACTACGTAGCCGGTCCAAAAGCCCATAAATGGCAGAGATATTGGTTCCCAGAGTAATCATTCCGCAGGGAATACAACCATTGAAGCTATGGATAGTGAGTAGCAGGAAAGATTAAGAGTGCTCCAACTAATACCTCTCAGATGCAGCCTCTTTGATGAATTTGGCAAGGTTGCCCACAACCTGAGAGTCGATCTCATGTAGGATCGCCTGTGGATAACATGAGCACAGGCCTGACAGTCGGAGAGAATTGGGCCAACCTGGATTCTCTGGTCATGGCCAAGCCATAAGTCTTTGAAAGCGACGTAGCGCCGATTCACTAGAGACGGACTCTCTCTCCCATCTAAAAGCGGCATGAATGGGAGTGGTTCATTGCAGGAAGATGGCTCGGATACATGGGCCAGTTTGCGCCTCTTCGGCTGCGACTGGCCATTTGGTTTCGCATTTTTAGAAGGCTTATACAAGTATACGCTCTAGAGCATCTATTAGTTATCTCTGGACAATTTGAACATTCATCCCTGGCGACCGTACCTGATGCTCAAGGCTGTCATGGGATTCAAGATTCCCTTGATGCGAGAATTGACCCGCTGGCATACTTGTCTGTAGGGCCAGATCACTGCCAACAAGTATCCTTGCGATACCCGCAGCTCACATCTATATGCAGCGGTTGTTGTTATTCCCTTCAACTCGATATATTACCGTTTGACACGAAAGCAATTGATTACATAAGCAGAAAAACGGATACACTCTTGTATTTGTGATACCATGTATTTTAATCGGGATTGACGATGCGCATCTTTTCATCTTCGCAACCTGCCCTTCGTTCAATGAATTAAACCCCATTTTTGACATTCATGCGCCGTTTGACTCTACAGGGGGCTCGGTGGCATCAACATGGCATCTCCATCCGTTGTATCAACCCGGCCTCCCTTCTATTTGCACCAACCCGCCGTCCATTCTCTTCCACTTTTCGGCCATATGACGAAGACAAGAAACAAGGGGACGTCGTACGGTACTATGAGCAGTCCACCCTTGGGAGCACCGATCGAATAGAAATAGATCTGGACGCGGAAGACTTGGCAGAGGAGAAGGCTCTGAAGGCCAGGATCGCCGAACTTGAACAGCAGCTTGCGGAGATAAAACAGGAGCCTTTTGCACCCAACAGCCCCTTGATGCAAAGGTTCTCCGAGGAGGAACGGGTAAAAGTGTTGGAAGCGCTGCGCAAATATGACACGGAACATAAAGACGAAGAAGTGCAATTGGAGGAAGAAGAGGCAAAACTCGACACCAAATATGACGATATAATGGGCCAAAAATTCAAGGAATTGAAAGACCAACAGGAATACCTATGGGATCCGACTAAATTCCCGGATGAACCTTCTCCGGCGCCAAAGAAAGCATTCGAAGTTGAATTGACCGTGCCTGATACCCAGCAAGCCTCTATAGCTCGATTCAACCAAACGCTGAACGCCCTCCGCAGCAACCCATCCTTCCCTCAGAGACAAGATGCATGGAGATCGTATAGACGTTGCAAAGAAGCGTTGCCCTTCTTCCTTGATATGATCCCGGAAGAAGGTCTTCAGATGCTTTGGCGGTCTCAAGTACCCCATTCACATGAGGAGTCTTCTCGTCTGTTACACTGGGAAACACTTGGTGACGATATCCTTTCAAGTGGTCGCGACTTGGGTGCGACTCAATGGCTGGAATATCTTGGGCTTCTACGGCAAAATGGCAAATCTGAGAAGGCGCTTTCACTCTGGGAAGGACGCGCACAGGACATAAGACAATGCAGTCCTGAAGATATCGAAAAATATCTTAAATTGGGGATTCAGATACATGTCGCACTCAATAAACCTGAGCGTGCTCGAGATATTGCGATGGCGTACTTTGCAGCAGACACGTCTCGTGATCCTCGAGTACTGATACCGGTTATAACTTCATGGGCGCAGAAATCTACCCAGAAAGCTAAGGAGGAGGCGTGGACTTTATATCTTCAGGTCAAAACTATGTTAGGACCTGACATCAATATGCAAGATTATGATTCTATCAGCACTGGCCTACTCAAAGCTGGCCAAGTAGAGCTGGCCATGGCTGTCTTTAAGGATATGATGCTCACTGGCCAGCAGTCCAGTTCCGAGTCCATGTGTCTTTTCAAAGCGAATCTTGGCCTATATGACCATCTTCACGCCTCTAGCATAAGCGCTTCAGACGTGAACAAAGTCTCCCTTGCGGCTCTGACGATATTGCCTCGCAAGTTTCAGAATAAATTCTTTTATGCCAGTTGGATAAAGAAGTTAATTGGAATGAATGAAGTCGACGCAGCCGCTTCTGTTGTGGAGCTAATGTACGAGCGGGGTGTTAAGCCTGATTCAAAGCATTTGAACGGCATTATAGGAGCATGGCTTCGTGCGGGAAGCCCATCTGCTAGAGACAAGGCAGAACAACTTGGGTGGGCAATGATTCAAAAGCGGATTGATTGGATTTGTCAAAATAAATCAAGCGAGCCATCCATTCACGACATGGAAAGGCATATTAATATCCCTAAACACATGCAGAGACCCGTTCCGGCAGCGAATATCGAAACCTTCTCAATTCTACTTCTTCACTATACTCGACGGGATCGGGAGGATATGGTGAACCACCTCACAGAGTGCCTTAACAAAGCGCAAATAAAGCCGAATACCTTCTTCATGAATCACCTGCTTTACAGGGAACTCCGAAAACAAAACATATCGGGTGTATGGACGAGATATAATGAAATGACGAGCACCATCAAGCCTGATTTGGAGACGTTTGCCTGTCTCTATGACTGTGGGAAAATTCAATATGATCGCACCAGGTTCAATTTTGATGCAAAATTCCCACCTGCCCGTTCGCTGTACAAAGAAATGATTCAATGGTTCAACAATACAACCGCACATGAACAAAAGAAGACAAAACAGGCATTTTCCAAAGAATTATACGACCAAATTGTGCGATGCTTTTGTTTATCACTTGATCCTCAGGGGGCCCTGGTCGCGCTTCGATCCATGAAGCAGATCTTCGGGTTCTCCCCAGACCTCGACACCACCCGTATCCTTATATTCCTTCTTGTTCGCTTGGCCCCTGCTCAGCCTGGCATCTCTAAACCTCGCCGGCGACGTATCGCATCGACTCCCCGCGCAAAGGAAAATTTCGAGCAGATTTCCCAGCTTTTAGCCGCAGTGAAGGATCGAAAAGTTGCGGTTATGTCTCGACAAGGGCTCGAACTGGACGAGTTGGGTGAAGAGGAGAAGAAGACCTTCCAGGTCGAGCTGCTGTGTGATCTTCTACGGCTAGTCATGGGTCGAATCAAAGGGAACGCGGAGAAGACGGAGAAAAGCATCCAAGCAGCAGCTGAAGAGATGGGAGTGAGCGAGGTGGACCTTGGTGTACTATCAGATCTGGAACTACCTTGATTTTCTTTTGAGTTGGGACATTTCATTCGAGCTTTTAGCGTTTCACTAACTATATGACGGCTGAGCATCGGGCAGCCTTGTTGGCGTTCTACGGTCGGATGGGAAACGGTGATACACATGTATTATAATAGATCTTTCCACATTTATGGTATATTGGATGACCGGACTCAGGCACAATCGTGATGTCGGAGATGTATATTACAATCGCAACGAGCACATGGCTTTCCTCCGCCCATGTTTGGTTCTAAAAGCTTTCGGTACTATGAACGCGCCAAATCTGGAGCTTGCTCTCATGAAAAATAGACATACACGCTTCGTCCCAACCACCCGCTGCTCTAGTACGGTGAAAACTGAGCGTCCCGTTACGCACAAATCGGGTGGGCAGAAATCATTTTTTGCCCTTCTTCTTCTTCTTTGCACCGCCAGCACCGCTAGCATTTACAGCCGGTCCGCCACCCTCCACCAAGACTGTATCATCATCACTGATAAGTTTATCGCCTGCCACAGATCCAGAAGTGGAGCTAGCTGGCTTCTTTTCCGCCGAAACCGAGGCCGTTCCTCCCTGCTGTTCTTCCTGTTCTAGCTCTTTCATAAATCCCTCTTGAATGCTTGCCTTCTTGCGGTCCCACCACTCCCGCTCCTGTTTTGCCGTCATCTGGATATCTTCGACTCTCTGTCGGAATATAGCGTTCAAGGTCATTTCGTTGGCAGATTGGAAAATTGTTTGGCCCCAGCCTGGGACAAAGGCGTTCGCCTACACATGGGTAAAAAGCCGAGTTAGTATTACCATTCCTTTCAATCTACCGTAGAGGCCTTTATTTTTTTATTTTTTTTTCTGGAATGACACTTGAACCACGTACTTCGGCAACAACATCTCTAAACTCGTCCTCCAATTCTTTCTCCGCTCTGGAGAACTGCTGCCACAATTCATCCCCGACACTGCCCTTTTGTAACAATGAGCCAAGCGCAGGTTTCTGGTTTCTAAGTTGCAATAGACGTTTAAGGTCCTCGGCGGCACGACGGAGAAGCGCAGCTTTCAGTACCGTTTCAGGGACCGGCGGTTTCTTTTTCTCCTTTATATCGGAAGGAGAACCCATGTGTAGAAGTGAGAAATAGACATCTCGTTGAATGTGCGAGGGGAACCATGGCTTCAGAGATGCAGACTTGACTACATATCGCGTCGCGTTCGTGTTAGCCCGCTGTAAATGCCGATAAACAGGTCTCATCGCAGGAGCTGCAGAACTTACCGGCTTTTCTCTTTCGATATAGCGAAGAGAACGTCGCCAATGAGCCGATGAGAACGCCTAGATAGGCAAAGGGAATGACGAGGCTAACCCAGTCAACCATTGCGACTGGCAGAAACGAGAGAATGGACAAAAAATCACAGTGAGGCCTCGAAGGAAGACCGGGCAAAATGTGAGCGGGATCCCCGACTGTCGCACCAGGATCAAACTACTCGGGCTGCGGCCACCCACGGAGTTCTGACAGTAGATTTAGTTGCAGAGGATTCTAACAAATGGATCATTGCAAACAAGGGTCACAGAGCACAGAAGAAGTCTTGGAGGGAGCGTAATTGTGCAAAGTGCAGTGCAGCCATGGGTGATGCCACCTGGACAAAAATACGTTGACAAGAGAACACTATGTCACATGTTTAGAGTTTGCCGCCTGCAGATCTTTGATATCAACACTCGCAGCAGCACAGAGGAAGAATTAATGTCTGTCTACGGGCCAGGAGTAAAAGGGAATTCAATCAGTATTGTCTTTCTGTCTGTCTTAGTGGCACTAGTATTGCAGAGACATTATTATAAACATCTGGACTATCCGGACCATATCGTCACAACTCCAACTCGGCTGCTTTCTGTATGAACAGATATCAAAGAGAAAATAAACACAAGCAAAGAAAGGACAAGCTAAAAGGGTAATGTGTATTGTTTACAAACCATTCAAGTAGAACGCGCTTCACACCAAACAATCATAGATAACCTGCACAAAACATAACCATAGCATGCAGGGGAAGAGAAACCTTCACCTTAATCACACAGTACCATATTCGGTTCATGGCTCCAGGCCAGAACAGGCTATTAATTGATTTCTTGCATCAGATCAATGTCATGAAGAACCTCAGCAAAAGCTCTCTTGACCGCCTCCGCAACATGCCTCCTGTTCCACTCGCCGCGCAGGTTCCAAATACAATCCATTAGACTCGTGTTAATCTGCTCCAAATGCTCCACCGAAAACCCATCAGTTTTGGTGGTGAGTTCCAAATGTAGTTGCTTGGTCAATGTATGGTCGACAACGAGCTCCGGGCTGCGAGGGCTGTCTTCGGGGTTGAGGATCCCTTGGAGCTGATTGTTTGTTCTAGGCGTCGCATGGAAGAGAGGTATAGGGGGCTGTTGTGACCCGGGTTGCGAGTTCTTCGGTTGGGATTGGCTTCCGTTGAGAAGGCTAATTTGAGAGTATTCTCCTCCGCTCAACGGTGTCTGCTGCGATCCCCAAGCACTCTCGCCCTGCTGTGTGTCTGGCAAATGTTCGTCGCCCGAAACACGGTACGGGTATAGGTTAAGATCGGGTCCCTCGTGTCGCATAGAAAAGTTGAGAGAAGTCTGCGTGTGGAGTTGCGTTTCGGAGGGGCCCGAATTCTTTTTATCCGAAGTTGTTTGAGTGGTTGACGCATCATTGACATAATCCCCTGGCTGTGAGCCTGGTGCCATTGGAGTCATTGTGCCCTTCTGCGACAGATTGGAAAGGCCAGACTGCTGCAGAAGCTGCTGCGACGGCGCTGTGTACGAGTGGGGCGGTCTTGGTTGGGCAGACTGTCCAAATGAACTATTCTGGGTTTCACGGCTGAAGCCAGATGTATCTTCGGTGTTGGACATCTGGATGTCGCCATCGCCGTCACCACTCTGATTGAACTGGGATGTAGACCCATTGCTAATCGGACGCGGCCCGCTGTGGTGGACGTCCGAACCATCATGCGGAGGAACACCATTTGTCAAAGAACTGCTCCCAGTCTGTGGAGTGACTGGTCGTGCGGGATAGCCGTTGCCTGAAGGCCCAAAAGTTTCTCCTAGGACAACAGGGCCAGACGATTGGTTGGATGATTCGACGCCATGGGCGACATTCATGGATGGTGGAGGCCCCATGGTATTGTGTGTACTTTCTGCCTGCTTTGCTCTCTCGATAGCCCGTCGTTCTCTTTCCAATTCTCGAAAGTAAACATTCTCGCACTCCGCTACCAAGGCAGGCTCCGTTTGCTCAATTAGCCCGATATCAACTTCGACATTCGACAAAAGCTCGTTCGCTTTCAACAAACGGTCAGGATCATCTAGCATTTTTGCATCCTTTGCTAAGCGTTTAATATCCAGAAGGAAGTCTTTAGGTCGCTTATAATACCCATTTGATAGGCGCTTCTCGATGATAACAGTGTCCATATTGTAATAGAATTTACCAGACACTACCTCTCGGAGCCCGGGGACACCGGCTTTGTCTTCGTCCCTCTCGAAAGGCCGGAATGTAGTTCTTTGCTCCAACGGGAGATCGGACGTGACGATGTTGGGGTCATCATCATCAAACAAGTAGCGGATCTGGGCTTCGTCGACCGGGCCAACTCGGAACCTCTTGTAGCTTCTCTTAATCTGATCCATGATAGGTTGAATTCTGATCTTGAGCAGATTCAAAGTCTGACGATCTTTTTTCTTCTGCGCCTTCAGCTCTTCTTTGCTCAGGGGTGCAGGGCCTGCAGCAGGGACGGGGGGCGCCTTTTGTAGGGTTTCAAGTTTTCGTTTCTTCCGGTTTTCTGGATCAGGGAAATCATTCGGTGCTGTAGCGATATAAGTTATGGTCGATTCAAAAAATTGGTGTCGCCATGCTTCTTTTGGTGCATGGAGGTTATATCGACTTTTCTGTGAAAAGCCAAAAAGGGACTTCATCATTTCATGATCGGCCTCTTCTTCACTCTCCAGCACTCCAAGCAACAAGATCGGGTCGGTTGGAGGTAAAGAACGAAGTAATCCGAGAAAAGTCGAGATGACTGTCCTTTCCACTGTATGGTACCAAGTTTCAATATTCGGTATGTAGATGACGCTTGGTTTATGACGCTTGACTTCTGCGAAAAGATGCACGATTGCGGTCTCTGGGGATTTGACAGGATCGCTCAAAAGTGTGGGAAGGTCAAACGATTGAACGTGTACACCCTCGAAATGCTGGAGGATGGCAGCTGCTAGATATTGTTGACCCATCCCAGGCCGTCCACGGATTAGAAGTCTTGGTCTGAAAACACGGGACCTTTCAAATGCCTGCTGCACACGCTCATGTCTGAATGCAGCATCATCCTCCGGCTGCTCATATTGTGCCTCTTCCAAGGCAGTGAGGGACTTTTTCTGCGGCAAGATTCGACTGATTATCTCCTTGAGTTCCCGCAGAGGGTGTCGCAATAAGGGCTCCACAGCCGGGGGAAGCGGAGAAGAACCAGAGGAAGCCGACCGCTCAGATGAAGGGACAATCTTTTTTAACGAGATCATAAAATCTTTAGGAGTAACGCGAATCTTTGCGGGATCAATCAACAGCTTTTCCTTGGACAGGTATATTTGTGGATATATTCTTTGAACGGCGTTCAATGCTGCTTCCGTACACAGAGCTCGCAGATCTGCACCGCCGTAGCCCTTTGTTAACTGTGCCAACTCATCTTTGATCTCGTTCGATAATGCCGGATCCCAACTCTTCGTATGTATATCTATGATAGCCCTGCGAGCTTCGGTGTTCGGAAGAGGGAAGTAAAATTCTCGATCAAAACGGCCAGGGCGTCGAAGTGCCGGGTCTATTGAATCAGGCCGATTTGTTGCTCCGATAACTATTACTTGGCCACGACCGTCCATGCCATCCATCAACGCAAGGAGCGTTGAAACGATAGAAGCATGAATTTGTTCTTGTTTGCTCGATCTTACAGGAGCAAGGCCTACCAGGAATCAGTATGTAGTTGAAAGTTGACACCCAGTTGACTTACCATCAATCTCATCAAAAAAGATGATACTGGGCTGGTTCTTGCGAGCCTCCTCGAAAAGAAGACGCAACTGCCTTTCTGCCTCACCAACCCATTTACTAAGAGCATCGGCTCCCTTTCTCATGTAAAAGGTCACCTTCTTCCCCTCTGTGCTTACACTTGTGGCCAACGCTCTCGCCAGCAATGTCTTTCCTGTGCCTGGTGGCCCATGGAACAAAACGCCACGAGGGGGAACAATGCGCAACTTCTGGAAAACTTCCGGATAGAGGAGTGGTAATGACACCATCTCTTTTAGCTGATCGATATGTCCTTGCATTCCACCAACGCTGTCAAAATTGACGTTAGGATCAACACCTAACGGGTCGGAATCCGCAAGGGCTTGACGGTCTTTGACCTTGCCCAGGTTAGCCGGCGTCCCAGATGGGCCTTGGGCAGCGTCATTGTTATGCAATTGACCGGGCACGCCGAGATTGCCTGTATTTCCGAGTCCTGATCCAGATGGTACTCCGGTCAAACCTCCTGGCTTGGGTCGCTGGGCTGCATCGTCGTCACTGCTATCACTCTCTACTCCTCCGATAGCACCAAGCGGATGCGGACCACCCAGTAGCGGTGGTGGGCCACCACCGCCTCCAAAGGGACCATAAGTCGAAAATAAGCTCCTCTGCCACCCACCACCTCCACCACGGGGCCGGCGAGAAGGAGATTCAGTAACCTCGTTTTCGGCTTCTTCAATGGGCAGAGCCAACTCTGGCCTGATAATCCTATAGTCAACCGACTTCCTGGTACGACGTGGCTTTTCGTAAACGATGTCAGGCTTTAAACGACGACGTGGTCGAGACCTTTTCAACTCGGCCAATTCTTCCGCCAACTCGTCTGCTTCGGATTCCGCACCGGCCTGTGAATTACCACCTCGCTTGCGTAGACCTGACCGACGACCGTTGCTACTCTCTTCCACTTCATCGAGGATTTGATTCTGTTTACGGGGAGAAGCGTGAGAAGGCTGTGAATCCGAGAGATCATCGTCATCGACCGCTTCGTCCTCGGCAGGTTCAAAGTCGCTCCCGTCATCCTGCTGTTTACGGGGAATCTTTCCCGCATTTTTACGGCTGGAACGGCGCAGTCGAGGGGTTTCCTTTGCTCCGGTTTCCACTTCCTCTTCTATTTCCTCCACAGGTTCGTCTCTTTGTCGTTGCTGCCTGGTCCTCCTTCCAGATCTCGGACCGTCGTCATCTTCATCGTCTTCCTCCCCGGCTTCGGCTCCATGTTCTGACTCGGGAACAGTCGTTTCGTCGACCATTTCCTGGTCCTCGGGCTTCTGAGTGCCAGGAACTGAATGGATATGATCTGACGCAACTACAGCAAATAGCTCGTCTTCAAAACCTCGCTGGGGGTCACTTTCCAGGACCTCAAGCTGGGACCCTTTCACGACATCCTGCTCCCGCTCGGGCGTGGCGATTTGCCCGTCGGCCATAAAATGTTCTGCTTCGTTATTGTCCTCTTCCTCTTCTTCCTCTTCTTCTGCGATCGCACCGGTTGTTACAGCGGTTTGCACTGTCTTGCGAGTACGCGTCGCAACTTCGGGGCTACGCGTTCCCTGACGGACCATCTCCACATGACGTCCAGATCCCGACAAAGCAACAATATCTTCGGATTCATCGCGATTCTGACGGGTAACTCGTCTATTGCCGAACCGAGTCGCGAATTGTGTTTCTGGTTCTTGAATGCTGCTGCTTCTAACTCGGGTAGATCTTGTCGTTCGAGTAACTGGCGGTTTCGGTTGAGGCTGTGAGACATGCAGTTTTAATAACAATCGAGGTGTGGGCTGGCCGGCTGTCGCTTTGACGACGGTTTGTTGCGGTTGGTGTTCTTCATCCTCTTCGTTCTCTTCATCCTGGTCTTCCTCAAAATCATCTTCCGAACCCGAGCTGATATGAAAGCTGGTGGCCTTCTTTGCAGCTTGCCTCTTTACGTAGCCTCTTGCAGTCCTCTCCACATCGGGGTCCTCTTCATCCTCTTCAATTTCATCGTCCATGGAGATGTCATCAGAGATTTCGGATAGCTCATCGTCAGAGTCATCGCGCCGTTTTTGCTTTTTAGCCGGGTGCTTCTTCGATTTCGCTTTAGATGCGGTGGCTTTTCGGGTTCGCGCGGTCCGGTCGTCATAATCTTCGTCGCTAGAATCGGACTTTACGAAATCCTCCACCGTTCGTTTCGTCAGTCGGCGCATGGTTGGGGGGGGAATCGCCGAAACGTTCTTTTTCACGATGGTAATGTTAGCGATACATAGGGTAGAAGAGTCCAACAATTGGTCAAGGGCTAAGGAGATAAGTTTCAACGATGGAAAGTGGAATTCTACCTCTGTTAGATGTCTCGAGCTCTAAAGGCCAGCTCTGCTAAAATAAGCTAGACAAGTTCCAGCTAACTGTGCAACGATGCATTTGTGATCAAGATGGATGGGCCAAGCAGTGGTCAATGAGAGGACTGATGTAGAAGCATTAACTGGTCCGGATGAATGTGGATGTTAGTTAACCGGGCGCAGGTCTCGAGGGTCAGGGCGGTGGTGCGGACGAACGTGAGTCGACAGAGTTAACAGTCTGAGTGAGTGGAATGCTGCAACAATACCGAACAGAAACAAGGTCAAGCATGGGCTCTCGAGCAGCGGGTGCCTGGACAGAAGCAGGACAAGGGAGAATTGGTTCCTCGTCGCCGCAGCCTGGAAGACGGCCTGGTGTTACCAGCCACAGGTTGTCTGGGTTTTACTTCAGCCACAGCACGCCATGCCGTATCAAGACTAGCCTCTAGGGCACGCCAGTCTGCATTAGGCTTAGCGTGCCCAGCGATGCTTGCCCCTCCACGCTTTTTCCCGCCAAACCGCGCATTTGCTTGCATCAACTCCGGAAACCTGTGTTGATGTCTTTCCACCGCCATCCTTCACCACAAACCCTTCCATCCCAACACATCCCGCAACACCACTGCGAATGCCAGCAAAACGTAGTTAATACTAAGGAAACGTGCCATATCTACGTAATCTGGTATCTTGAACATAGAATCAACTGTCCAATTCGCACCAGATTTGCATGCGACAGAAACAACCATTGACCATCGTCACCCTCAAGGTAGCTTGAGTGATCTTCGCCAGGGGCATCGAGGCTCAAAAACAAGCTTATCGCCATTAGGGTTTCCGGCCGCCTTGTCGGCACCCGCAGTTCGCTCCCCTTTTGATTTTGTTGTTCTGCTGCGCGTTGCAAACAACCGTCCAGGGCCCGCTCAGGGTCGGTCACGTGGGATTATGTAATTATCATCGTGTCATGTGATATCAGACCTCGCCATCCAAAATGAGGGCAGGCAAGGGTGATAGATACATGCCGTGCCAGGTCCAGTGGGGTATCGCAAGGCACAATGGCATTCCTGAGGTTTATATCACGCTCCGCTTCAGCCAGGCTGTATCCAACCACAAATATCAGGTCTTTTGCCACAAATCCTTCGAAATGGAACACTTCCCAACCCGGCAGCGACACTGAAACCCCTAGAGTAAGCTCAGAATGCGGGATTGCATGAAATATTCATAAACTAATAAACGTTGCCATCCAGAAAATTCCCTTCTCGGCTTTTAAAAGACCACTGGCCAAGGTTTTTCTTGGCTCGTTCCTCACGTACCAAATCATCTATGTGATATGGCTGCAACTCGAATGCGAAGAGTCCAAGGCCATGATGCAAAGTAGGTCAACTTTCCAGTACAATCTCCAGCAGGGGAGTTATGTTCTTTTGTTAATTCACGTTTACAGGGGAGTTTTCAAGGCTAGAGAAGGAGGCCCGTGATTTGGTTGCTGCAAATGACGCTAAAAAGTCCTGAATTTTGAATGCTCTGGATGAGCGAGTCTGATTTGCGGGAATGATCATTGACGAACGTTATTGCGACTGCTCATTGTGTTCGAGGAGGTTTTCGATCGAACAATGAACATACCTCTCTCGCAGGACGAGTGTATAATACTAGTTACGATTCCAGGAAGACAGCATAACCCCGGTGGCTCTGTTTCTCATTCTACTGCTACTTCTTACATATTCAATCAAATCTGGGTATTTCAATCAAGCCATTATGAGCCCCATCCACAGTCCCGTTCAGACACACTCATTATTGACAATTCACAAAAAATCCAATCCGCCGTTTATCCTTTCAAGATCTGCCCGGATGCTCTGCAAATCCGCTCCAACCCGCCCCGCTATCTCCGCCTTTCGCTGGACGCCCATGTCAAGCCACCGTAGCAAGAGATTCCCATCTACCAGTCCCCTTCCACTGAACCCATCGCTTTCGACCGCCCGGTAGGCTTTAGGGTTTAGCCCACAGGGGTGCTCCATACTCATTACAAGTTGCGATTGCAATGCCGAGAGGCGCCGGTACGTCTCTTCGGTTAGAGGGGTGATTACCCCTACTGAACCACTTTGGGATGTCACAACAACCTGATATCCCGCCGGCATATAATCCACGTCCATATTGTCTTCGGACGCACCAGTTCCAGAGCTCGTATATTGGGGTATTAACGTTAGCGTGGAGATGAAATGACCTGTATGAAAGCTACTGCGATGTAGCAACCGGTCACCTTTCGACGATGAGGGGTCTAGCAATAGTGAGTGAACAGTGCATATCAGCTGGACTGGATTTAGTTTACCTTCTGGATCGTACTCGAGTACATGGATTGTGCAGTCGTCATCGGCCACCAAAATATATAGTCTCTTACCATCCGGCAAGAAATCAGCAGCAACAACTTGGAGATACTCGCTGTCCTTTCCAAAAAGCGTGAGTTTGTAAGGCTCCTCCTGTAAAAGTAACTCGGTTAGTAACGCAGGTTTCAACGTCAACAGCGGAGGAGAGTTGTACAGAATATCCAGTAAACCATAATCCCTTGAGGGCGTCTCCCATTATGCATAAACCGGTCCCCTGGAGCTCTTTCAAAACGCTGACGTAGCATTGCATATCCATAAACGCCACGGGAAGGAGGCTTCCATCTTCTTTGAGGCCACGAACCAAGCATTTTTGCCCTTGAGCCGCGATCAAAAACCCTTGCCCGCCAATGCCGGAAATGGCGGTCACAGCTCCCTTGACATCTTCCTTAGCAAAGAGTTTAAATTTTTGATTTGTTTCAGGACGGTCCGGATCGGGCGCTACATCAATTATCTCAAAAACGTAGATGGAGCCACGGGGAGTAATGTCTTCTCCTCGCACGATGGCAGTTCCAACCACAACCATGTCCTGCCTTTCATGGGTTATTTCGGAAACCTCCATATTTATTGTTTTAAGGCATAGGATACGCTCGGTCGCACCGAGATCATAGCTATCATTCAGGTGAGTGGATGAGCGAGCACACATAGATGACCAACTTACCAGTCAATAATAGACCACGTGCGAGGACTAAGCAGCTTCACACGGCCTCTATCCAGCTGTGGCATAAATGAAATCACTAAAAAGTTCTGTCAGTCAGAATTCAGGTTATTACCAGAATAAACATACCTTCACTTCGCCATTCAGTATGTACTTCGTCATCTTCCGGGAGTTTGAAGTCTTCATGGTAGCTTGTTCCTAGCACATAAGTTTCAGAGCGCGCGAAATATTCCACGCAGTCTACTTGTTCCCCAATATGTATTTTGCGTGCGGCCCATGCATTGTCAAAGCGAGTATTGCCAGGTAGCCTACACATGCGAACCATGTTCTACATCGACAAGGTCAGTGCATCCATATCAGTGAAAATGAGAGCAAAACATACTTTGGCATCGACATATGCAAATCCCTTTTCGCAAGCAGGCATATGGAAACTGCTGAGAGAAGATACGGGTTCCCCTTTCAGCCTCAAAACATGAGGAGAGCTCGTAGATGACTTCATAATGAAACATGGATTAGAGCCTGGCATGAACATCGTTTTATATCCGCAAAGATCAGGAATTGCCCGCAATCTTGCAAAGCTGGTCCTATTTGTATTGTCCATATTCGATGCCGGGTCAACTTTGGGTAGGAAATAGTCGGTGATTTTTAAAAACCGTAATTCAGGTTGTTCCAATGAGGGTTTCGTATAGTATGGCTGATATATCACAAGATCATCATGCGTAGTTCGTAGCTTTACAAACAAAGTTAGTATAAAAATCAACCACAGAAGACAAAATGATACGAACGATCATATAAGGTTGTCGGCTGATTGAATCGCCCAGGTCCGCCATTAGTACTTCTGATAATGTTTCACGATACGTCGCTCGCTTCCGAAATGGCTCGCATGACAACATCGGAGGTAGAAAGTCCACGCCACCCAGGGAGCAAAGTGGGTTCGAAAGGTTGGGAAGAGAGAAGATCTAGCGTAAGATGAGTATTTCTCTGGCAAGAGTGAGATTCGGGCCCTTACAAATAGAGTATAATCGGTGCGAAGAAGAACTAGCAGAATATTTTCAGATGACGAATTTTCCTGACCCCTGTTGGGGATAAAAGTATGATGCTTATCAAAATACAGGCAGCCACAAAGCCATTTGTTAGAAGTAAGCAATCCGTCGATGTTGACTTCGTCCAGATCTCCACTACTGTCGGGTTGAAGCAATAGGAGGGACTGGTCGTCTCGGGTGATAAGAAGGTATGGTTCAGCGAAACTTGCTCCGGTTACCGAAAGCTCGTCACTTGTATCTTCATCCCAAACAGGGTATATCTGGGCCAATGCAAGATCTGGGCAAGCAGTCAGCAACAATCCACTAGCATGGCTGGAACCTAAAGCTGATGAGTATACTCACCAGTGTCATAACTCCGGACCTCAGAGGTAAGGACCTGGACAACTCTGGTTCCACCAGCAAGGGTACCAATATCCACAGTGTGATCCTCATTTGGATTGAACTCTGGGGCCTTCATTTCGTCTATTCCATTGCCACCAACTGTATACACAACTGATTGCTCTTTAGCATGTCCACGGGACTTGGAGAAAACTAGGTACTTGTCGTAATTGCGCGACGTTGTGGACGGATTTGAGGTATTTGAGGGGGCAATTTGAACCGACCACACCCCATCAACATTATCCATCTTCATCGAATCAATAATATAAGGATCCAGCTCCTTTCTGAGAATGGTAAGGCCACCTGCGTCACCCTGCCCATGGGTGACCACAAGTTCCAAATCAGTGGATGGCTTGGAGGTTTTTTTGGAGGCCTGATCACGCGTTCCGGGAGTTCTTCCCAAGGTTATATCCTTCATTGGGCCTAAACTCCAGAGTCGATCATGACAGCGGAAAACAAATTCGTCCTTAATCAAACCGTTTGTTTGAGAAACGGTTTTGGGAACAGTGGTCTGGTTGGTAGGCGTAGAGTAGAGATCGTCTTCATATATATCATCTTCGTCATCGTCCGTATCGGTTTCTCCTGCTCTAGGGCCGCTTGAATCTCTCTTGAGCCTTTTTATAGACTGAGACGGTCTGGTCCAACCTACAAGAACAGAATCGGTTTCTTCACTTCCGAGGAAGATCTTCCCCCGGCCTAGACTAGCCGAGCAGGAAGGCCTTGCCTTCAAAATTGAACCGCCAGCCTGCGTGGAGACCAATTGCACAAAGATACCAGAAACGGATCTCCCGTCCACCTTGAATCGTACTATAGCCATCCTACCGCTCGCTAAGACAAGCGCTATATCGCCGCTCTCAGTGCCTAGCTGTTCAATGACGCATCCTTCTAAGCGCAACTCCAAATCCGATTGGTCTGCCATTGAAAACTCGGAGGCTTGTCGAGCAAACTCGTTTACGCCAACTGCATTTGTCTTACCAGCTTGGTCGACGTGAATAAGCTCGTTAGATCCGATCAATAAAGAGCCTCCAATGGGAGGCGGCAGGGGAACGACATTCCATAAATCACTAGGTAATCGAGAAACCGTAACGAGAGTTGTGGATGTCCGCTGTTGAATATCGAGAGTGAACACGGCATATGAAACAACGTCTTTTCGTTCACCAAGCAAAGCAAACGATGTGGCAACGTGAGAATAAAGGATACCGAAAGTTGGTTCTCTGTACTCATACAGAAAAGCAAGATGTATCGGGTGAACGAGAGCAGGGTCCAGCGCCGTCAGCGGGAGAACAAAGGAAGACGCATAGGGAGTCTTATGCCTTGCCACGTCATTTGCCGCGGTTGATTCGACGAGAGCATTGTCCATGTCCTCAGGTTTCTCGCCCCGTAGGTCTTCGTCGAAATCGTCCATCACAAGATCATCACCTGTCTGATGGAAAGGCAAGATGGCCACGCTATGAATTCCAAAATTCAAGATAGCGCATCTGCTGCTGGGGTCAACTGCCAGAAGACTTGGACAAAGTTTTAGATCAGGAGTCCAAGGACTGTTGTGCAGGTCCTCTCTTTCATAATAATGGATAGAGACGGTCGATATCCCGTGTCTTTCGTGGTCCCACTCCACGAGACTGAGCTTCGCATTTCGGGTTGCAACTAGCAGCGCCTCCCCGCCGCTTTTTGAGTCAAGAGTTTTCACTCTACCCAAGCCAGTCACCGTTCCTGGAAGGTCATATTCTGCTAGCAGAACCAATCGGGTATATTGCTGCCTTTCAACTCTGGTTTTGTCATCCGTACTCGGGGACGTAGACGCCCCGTAAGCAACATTGACCAAGGAGAACACTTGAAGCACCGATGTCTTTGCGACTATCAAATTGTTCGACGTGGCTGAAATGAATGGCAGGGAGACAGCGTGTGTTGCTCCCGAAGGAGGAAGCAGTTCCGTATAACACTGCATGCTCAGGTTCAAGGTCAAAAGCACTGCATACAGAGACTCGACCAGCCCATTGACCCCAGTAATAGACCTCCCTCACCTCCAGGCTTGATGTGAGTGGGAATATCAAGCTTCGACTGCGATTGATAGATGCTGCTGCGTGACAAAAAGCTACTCGCCAGATCAGGGTTAGCGCCGAATCATAAACCAATTAGCGTGATTAGTCAGCCATGCGCTCCGAAAGCGACGATGACCTCATGAAGCCGGCGACATCAAAACATCGAAATCAAGGACCGCCATCTCCGGTGGTTTGATCCTCGCAACATGGTCGGCCGACTTTGACGAACAACATCGGTGTGGACGAGCAATCAGAGTATCGCGATTAGTGGCCTTTCGTCTGATACCCAAAAATGGCCCTCCTCCAGTCCACTCTGATCTGGATTGTCTATGCAATCGTTATTGGCATTCTCATCGTTGTCGCTTCGACTTTTGTATATGTCTACCAGACTCCGCGCGACCGTTCAGCAGCCGTGACAACCGTCTGTATATTCACCCTTATAGCTTTATTAGCCACAGTTTTGTTGTTGCCTGTGGACGTTGCTCTGGTATCGTCAACGACTTCTTCCAAAACTGGTCAAAGGAAAGAATGGGCATCGCAACGAGAAGTCGACAAAATTACATCTTCGCTGACCGTGGTTTATTATTTTCTCTACACCCTTGACGCCGTCTTGTGCCTTTTAATCGTGCCATTCACATACTTTTGGTATGAAGAGTACGACGAGATAGCACATGAAGAGGGCTGGCAGACCACTGGCAAGCAATTCTGGGGTGCTTTTAAATATACCCTGGTATTTATATTATTAACGATCATCTTATTTCTGGTTGGATTCTTCGTGCCTGTGGCAAAGGATCGAAAAGGTGCTCATTTCGACTTGGATTACTTCAAAAAGCTTCTCACGGAGAACCGTACGTCGCGATGTGATTTCCCCCTCAAACCTAGATGAAAGCTAATGCCAGGCGATTAGATGGTGAGCGGGCTCTGACCTTTGCGCTTGGTCTGTTGATCGTGGTAGGCATCATCACCTATGTGATCTATTCATCAACAGGCCTTGCCTTTTTCCCGGTATCATTCATCAAATCTTCCCCATCGATCTCCAGCCCCGCGCTCAGTGCTAGCCTGGATTCTCGGTTAGACGAAAATAATGAACGCCAGCGCCAGCTTGAAGGTCGCTGTGGCGGCAACCCGGAGCATCTCTCGCCCAAGGATCGAAGGGAGCTCGACTCATTGGTTCGAGAAGAACGAACTTTACGTCGCCGTAAGCGCCTCGCAGAGGCGTCTCGTGGGCAGGGAAAGAGCCGAATTATTCGGATGTGGTATAAACTCTGCGCCGTCTTTCGGCCTGTAAAGCTTCTTGGGGGACTACTTCTCTTGGCCTTTTCCATTGTGATCTGGGTGTCGATGCTACTTACGTGTATCGACAAGGCTAAGAATTCCGTCTGCAAACAGAAATGCGGCTATATCTTGGGACGAATCAACATCATCAACCCGATCAATTGGGCTCTTGTGAAATCTGCAAGTGTCTTCCCGACTGACTACATTATTTTCATTGTCTTGGCACTCTACCTGTTTATCAGCTCCGTTGTGGGTATCTCCGCCGTCGGAATCCGGTTCTTATGGGTCAGAATATTCCGAATCAGAAAAGGGCATACTTCGCCTCAAGCCCTTCTTCTCGCGACTGTGATCCTTGCGCTCATCACCCTTGCTCTCAACTACTCGATTTCAATGATCGTCGTCCCGCAGTATGCTACATATGGCCCACAAACCTACTGTGATCCTCCGTCCGTTATGAACACCGTGGCACTGGATTGCGAAAAACACAAAGAATATCTTAAACCGTGCTCTGAACTTGCAAGCAGTCACGCAGCCAAGGCTGTTTGTACTCCAAGTGTCGCCAGTACCTTTCTCAACCGTATCACTATTAATTTCCCGTTCTTCGGTATGGTCGACTTTTGGGCTCAGTTCTTCTTCCTAGGTAGGCTGCTATCCGTCCTTATCGGGTCTCGAAAATGCAATTGCTCTTGCTGACATGTTATTTACAGGGCTTTCTTTGGTTATATTTATAACTTCTCTCTTCCGTGCCCCGAGACTTGATGAGCAGTTAATCGACGAAGACGCCGAGGAGGCAGAGGAAGAAGGACTCCTTGCTGCTACGGGAAGGCGGTTCGGGGCAACCTGGCAGGACATTACTGGACGCGTTTATGATCAACCGGAAAGGCATTCCGGTTCAGCTGGTCGTCGCGTTCGCATTGACGAAGAATAGTTATTTTAAATTATATTTACGCTCTCTTGCATTTTATGTTACAAATACCTATCTCGGTGGGAAATGTTACCATCGTTCACGATGATATTTTCTTTTATGATCATCAAATTGAAAGGTTTTGGGTACTGAAAAGGGCGAAAGACTGGGACTGATGACAAAGAGCAGGCTATTTCCCCGAAAGAAGAAATTGACATGAGGCTTTATGATCTACCATATGTATTGTTTGCCACTATAAAAACGCGGGATTCGGAATATGTAGAATCCTTTGTTCTCGCAGTTACTCTTCAAGCGCCCATGGGTGTCGACTTGTTGAACTCAACGGCTCGATGACTCTTCTCCTCCTCACTTCCGTCAACTAAATGCATCTCTCTCCAACAGCGATTACAGAATAGCTGCGTGTCCACACAGTCGAGACATTTCAAGCGGACATCATCGCTGCAAATGCAGCACCAGCCGGGGTTGGGCTCGTCTGCGTCGGTGAAATCCTGTCTATACCCCAGAGCCATAGAAGAATCATTCGACCTCGGAATCGAAGTAGGTACAGACCGAAGGTCCAAGGACTCAGTTTGCTGTCGTTCATTTGTTTGTTCTGGACCGGTCTCTGATTGAATGCCGTGTTGCGGACGATTCTCCAGGCTTATGTCTGTAGTTGGACGGTCATCCGGATGCGTGGCGGGGATTTTAAGCCCATCAAGCACCTTCCGGACGTAATCCTCAGCTTCTTTTTCTTCTAAGATATTTTCGAGCGACCGATTGGGGGCTTCTAGCCGCTCAGATATCGCTTCATCGCCACCCCGCAAAAGCTATTATCCCCAGTCAGATTGCAGCGGCGAACCGAAAGAAGATTGGCAGTAAAGTACAAATTTCTTTGCCTCGTCGACCAAGCTTTTGATTTCGCCTTCAGTCTGTAGCTCATGTTCTAGTTTCCAAGTCTCCCTTGATCGTAGAGTTGCAAGGAGCTCTTCGACATCCTCTTCTTCTTCTTGCTCGGTTTCCTCTGGTACAGAATACAAATATCTATAATGTCCACCTGACTTGTTATTGTCAAGCTGACTAGGCTGCGCTGCTAACAAGTAGGCTTTATCGGCGTATATTTCATTCTCGTCGTCACTATGTTCAGGCGAGTCGCCCCACGACGCACTACATTTGATTAGTATAGCTATCCAAAACTTGTAGCGGCAATGACTTTCACGACTAACTTGCCGAACTCAAGCTGAACAGTGGAAGGCTTCAGGGCATTTAGCCGTTGAAGGAGGTCCTTATCGGCATCAGATGGTGTTTCACCCATGTCTGCTACATGCTATAGAGGATTGATATAAACCGCAACGATGATAGGATAATGGCCTCAAAGCATGCAAGGTGGTGAGCTTCAGCTCTCCCACCATAGTTAGCCTTTGAGGGCTTGGCAGTGGATGACGTAACGAAATTCAGGCCTTTTGTGATAACTATCAAAAGAGGCTTCAAGACGGCGGAAGAGGCCTGCCTATATCTCAATGATCCCGCAAGAGCGCCAGCGCACTCTCAAACGCCTTGACAACATTCGCATCTGCATACTGTCAGTTCTTGCACAAATTGGAGCGCAGGGTCATGCCGTACAATGCTGCTTTTTATCTTCCAGGCGCTCCTCCGAGTCCTGCACGTAGTCCATTCTTGTTTTGAATCTTTGGTTAGAGTTGTTAGCAATCGGCCCCCAATCTATGTCAAAGGATACGAAAGGTACCTTTTATATGCTCGGTCCTCGTCACAAAACACCGTGGTTTGGGACCACGCGATGAATACCTAAATCCAATGTCAATGCGCGTAGTGATCATGGTGGCACAGTATGTACAAACCTCAAGTAAATCGGCGGTTTCTTTCTGCAGGGCATTTTCCCTATCGGACCTCTCATCCATGGCCTCAATGAATTGTTCCTGGAGCTCTTCCCAGTTACAACTGCGAAGGGACACTGCCAAATCGTCCCATTTACCCTGTTTTGCATTCTCGACAGCCGGGTTAACAATATTCTCTTGCATTTCTGATTTTGACGCTTCTTCCCTCTTATTTATATTATTGGAACCGGTATCTGTAGGCGCGGGAGTAGTGCTCTTGGAGGTCGATTTGGAGCGAGAATGGGGGGTTGAAGGCATATCGGATAAAGAAGAGTTGAAAGATTTGGTGGGAATCGAGAAGGTTGAGAGCATGAAGGGAGAAGTCACTTTCAATCGTTGACTGTCTAATGATTTGCACCTATTAGTCGAGCAGTGAGCAGAGTATCAACAACCGACGAGGAAACACGAACCAGTCTCGGAGCATTTGCTAGGGGCTACTTTGGTCTGTTGAATGTCCAAACTGGCCCCCCAGATTGACAAACAAAGCAAACACTGGAAGCCGCCTAGGGGTCAGGTGACATCATCCTTAGCAATTGATCATCTGCGGTTTCGGACTTGGGGATGTAGGCAAACCATATCAGCTCGGTTTGTTGAAAACGCCATATTGGACGTGGTTGTTCAGCGGCTATCTCTTATAATAATGAAGCTGGAAGCATGCCTACTAGCGAGAAATAAGCTAATGAGCTGTTTACCAACCCTTTTAGCCTATCCCTAAGACCTTTCAGTGCCAACGACAGTAGGCCACCAGGATGGAAACGCAAGCCTACTCTAGGATTATTCCCAGATAACCATCCGTGTCCCTTGCTCGCTATGTCTTGCCAGCTGTGTGGTCGTTCTCCGGGCTCGTCCCTACCCTTTTACTGCCTAACCTGCGCCCGCAACCAAATGTATCCTCTCCGCTTCGAAATCGCAAAGACATTACTGGAGAAAGAGGCCGCAGGCCAGCAAATCGAAGAAGCGGTCAGCGATGCAACCCGTACTGATGAGGGTGAAAACGAGCGTCCCGGCTTGTCGAGATGGCCCAACGAGCCTTCCAAGATTGCTATCGAAACGATGCGAACCCTGACGACGCAGTCGGAGATTCGAAAGGAGGCTATACAAGTTCAGATTGCCAGGCTTAGGGCTGAGATCGAAGAAGGAAAAGAGGAGATTGCAAAGCGGCGAGCCGCTCTCGCCAAGCGACGGTCCGACGCGGAGTCGGCGAATTACCAGCTCTCGGAGAGGCGTGCAGCAACTTTGAATTCTGTGCAAAATGAAGCCAAGAAGATTGAAAATGCTTGGAATAGCCTTCATGCGAAGACTGCTGAGTCGAGGATGTTTCTATGTCGCGAGGTGGCCAGTCTATATAACCTACGCCAGAAGAGTAGGCGGAGAAATGGGGAGATTATAAGCACCTATTCTATTGGCGGAGTGAACATGGTTGACCCTAGAGACATGAATGGTGAGTTGGTGTATTGATATCCGTCATAGAGCCTCAGCAATTAAAGATGACCACTAGGTGCAAGTCCAGCGCAAATCACCACGTCACTATCGCACATCGCACATCTTCTTGTTCTTGTTTCGCATTACCTCGCGCTGCGCTTACCCGCCGAAATCACCCTGCCACATCGTGGATATCCTCTACCTACAATATTTCCTTCAGGATCGTCCTATCTCGCAAAAGACGTACCATTTCCCGGCCTATCTCCCTCCAATTCCTTTAGTCCAGCGACAACGCGAGGGTCCGATTCCCGCCCTCTGCCACGGCCACGTCCGCTCTTCCTCGATCGTAGTCTCCCCAAACTTGCGAAAGAAGATCCTGCGGGCTATACTCTCTTTCTTGAAGGAGTCTCACTTTTAGCTTGGAACGTTTCGTGGGTTTGCCGGTCGCAAGGTTTACAAATCGGACAGGACTCCTGGGAAGATGTCTGTGAGATGGGGCGGAATCTATGGCAGCTATTAGTCGCCCCGCCAGCCTTAGCAAAGGCCTTAGCTGGTCGCGACCTGCAAGTTAAGCCGTCGAACAGCAAAGAGACTACTAGGGGCACTCTGCAGCGAACCAAGTCCCTTCCGCTGTTGGGACATTATTCCCATGGCACAGCCCATTCATTCCTTGGAAATGCTGAAGGGAACGAGTTTGCAAAAACGTGGAAGCTGCCATCTGCGCTCAAAGTTGCGGACAAACTGAAGTCTACCCTCTTGGGAGAAATAGCTTCGGCAGAATGGGAGCTCCTGGAACAGGACGAATGGGACGAGGCAAGTGCGGCACAGGCAGAGGACGGAGTCGTCAACGGCAAGCGCGCATCCTCTGGGGAAGATGACCGCGGTGATGCTGATACAAGGAGCACTATCACGGTCAAAGCAGTAGTTGAGGATGAAGAATGTGACGTGGTGCAGAAGGAACCCGGCGAACCAGCAACTCCCACGGACACTCGGCCAAAAGGGACGAAAGGATGGACCAAGGTGAAGAGCAGGTGAAGTCCATCCGGGGGGATACCTCTGCAGGCTCTCGCTTTCCAGCCGAGGGTCGATCTTCTGATGGCTGCCGCCGCGAATCCATTTTTCGCACAGCACCACCGGACCCATAGTCCCATGTGGATTTTCTCGCTTTTTTCTATACACATCGTTTGGTCGCCGGGATCGCCAAGGCTTTCGAGAAGTCGATTCGAGCGTTGCGCATCGTGGTCCTGCATCGACCCACACAGCACGCCACCCTGATTTCCCGACACCTTTTCCGCGATTTAGCGGAAGATGTGTGAGCGGGGGGGCACGATCGTGAAACTTTTCATCGTGGGGTTAGATGGGATTTTTTTTTTTTTTTCATTTTTTTTTCATCTCTCTCAAGAGGTTGTGGGTGGTTCTATGATGGTAGATTTTGGATTCTACGTGGATCCTATGGAAGAATGGCGGTGGCGTCGTGGACGGGCCTTTGTCAAATGATTAGAAGGTGTTTCTTTATGAAGTATACTCCGTATAGAGGGCAGGTATTAAAGATTAGAGACTGGGTTCAAGCCGCGTGTTTAGAGAATCAAACCATTAAAGGAATCGAGCAAACATCAAGGTCAAATTTGATGCCCGGTTCGGGAGTAGGTTTCGGGGGGTTGACGGGATGGCGCGAACTTGGAAAAGACGAAACCGGGAGCCAGAGGGAGGGAATGGCGAGTTCTTGGGACGGTGGCAAAATGGCCACAATGGGATTCTTCTTGTTCCGCATGCGTCCAAGTGAAAGCAGTGCAGGTGTACGGAGGAAACGGAGTGATATTTTGATATGAGATTGTTAACCCATCCAGCCCTACCAAAAGTGCGGAGTCCAGTGCCCCAGGGATCCCCATGCGATGCTGCATGCGGCGGGCTCCGTCCAGGCGCCCGCTCCCCGTGATTAGGGTGGGAAGGACAATCAGAATTATCGCATTGTTAGTCCACGATCTTGAAATGCCTCACTTCTCCAGGCGCCGGCGCTTTTCTTTTCTCCGTGACGGGCTCTCGTGTTTTGGATCGGTGGTGTTTCAGACCGCACATGTCAGCCCAACATGGCCCTGTATCAGGAGGCAACTTGGCAAAGCGCCCTGGGTTGTGTTGGCCGAGAACTGTGCTGTCTAGGGTCTGGGCCAGGCACGGATCCTTGCTATCCACTCATTGTGTCCGCAAGGTTTGCTTTCAGGCGGGTTTCTGTGGGGATGGTTGTGTGCCCTGACATCGGCCCATTCTCGCGATCAGGGGGAAGTCTGACGTCCGCGCAATAAGTTGCAGGAGAATTGAGGGGAGTCTCGGGCCGCAGGAATGCCATGATCCTGCTTCTGATTCTTGATTCTTGATTTATTTGTGTTGAATTTGTTTGTTTTTCTGTTTGTTTCTTGATTTTCGCGATGATAAATTACGAGCTCACGGGTTCGTATCGGCTAGACCTGTTTAGCCCTAGTGCGCGCCAAATTCCATGTAAATTTTTAGATTGGGCCAATGAGAATGCGCGGGTGCCTGTCCGGCCCAAGGATGACGGCCAGCATCCAAGTTGAGTCGCTGGGAATTGCCGCAGTGCTCAACCATGAACCGCGACGGGGGCCACTGGGTGTGGTGATGCTGATGAGTTTTTGGCGCCGATGAAGAGGAAAAGAATCTCCGCCATGGCGATTCGAGTGGAGCGGGACAGACGTCGGAGTGGGAAAAGAAACAGCACGACAACCGCGTGGAATAAGGGGCCCTGTCCACTGGATCGACGTGTAGGCCAAGCACTTGGGCCCTGGTTCGCTGCTCCCCTGAAAAAAGGCACACGAACAACCGCTTTATTAACCACCCCCCGTCCCCTCCTCCTCCCTCTCCTCTCTCTCACTTCCCATCCTCAACCTCGCTCCCGTTGTTGTCGTTGTCGCGTGAAGGGATTCCATTCTCTCTCTGTCTTTACTGTCAAAGGCTGTCTGCAAGCCTAGCCACTCCTTTCAGGCCCTGGGTCCTGTTTGTCACTCCTTCACTGGGAATCCCCTTGACGCCGGAACTTTTCCACTACCACAACCCCATCCATTGATCATTCACTTCCTGTAAGTACAGAGACTATCCTGCCTGCAATTTCTTCTGTTCCCCCTCACGTGCGACTGGATCTTCTGGCTCCATTGGAAAATCCTCACTTTGCTCTACCCCCGAGCTGTTCTGACCCCCTTCGTTCTGAACTCCCTTTCGCTCTCAACTATCACCATCTCTCACTTTCCATTAGCTGCTCGGCGCTCACTTAGGCTTCTTCTTCATCACCTTCCGGAACCACTCTAACTGTCATAGGCCTTTTGCAGACTGATCTGTTGATCTTTTATCACCATGCATATCAAGCTTGCTGTTGGAGCTGCTCTTGCAGCCTCCATCTCCACCGTCTCTGCCCAGGCTTGTTCCCAAGGCGCTGCCGAGTTCCTGGGAGGCAACTGGTATTGCTCGTCCGTCAAGTCTATCGCGTACATGAACTTTGAGTCCTCCGGCAGCTACGACGAGGTCACTGGCATGGACGGAGGCCATTGTACTTCCCAGAAGAAGCAGTTCAGCGGGCCCATGGCTCCTTTGGACGGCGAAGTACGTTGTCTCTAAGTAGCCTCCAATTCAGCTCCCATCTAACGTGACATTCCCTCTAGGTTTCCTGGCATTTCCGCGGCCCGCTTCACCTGAAGAAGTTCGCTTATTATACCCTTGGTGGAAACGACAAGCGCGACGCCAAACCAAGCTTCCACTCCCGTCGTCACGGCCACGGCCACTTCCATCGCCGAGCGGAGGAGAAACGCGCGGTGGGCGACGTGGTCACTGCAACCATCAATGGTGAAGTCGTCACCTGGCGTAATGACTACAACGGCGCCGCTCCAACTCCCGCTGCAGGTTCAGGCTCCGGCTCAGGCGTTCTCAAGAACAAGACTCCCTCGGGAGGTGATACCCGCAAGAAGACCCAACCTGTCAAAGTTGGCTCCGGCGAATGGGGTCGTCAAGGTTACTATGACGCGGAAAAGGGCGTCGCTGATGGCCTCACTTTCCTCAATCACCATGGTGGACAGGGTTCTGGTGTTTTTGACTAGTATGTCCACGTTCATTCCATGCCACTCCCTCCATCCGCTATTCTAACTCCCTTATGTCCAGTCAACTCGGAAACTCCCTCTCTTATGCTTCGGAGGACGGTCAATCTGGCTCTGCCTCTCCCGTTGTCTTGAAGGATGCCGTTCTCCCGGATAACAAGGAAATCATCATCATGACCGACAAAGAATGCAAGGGCGACTCCTGTGGAACTGTTCGTCCCGGCACAGTTGCGTACCGTACGTATCTCAGTACATCCAGCCCTCACAAATAGCCCGCTAACATCATGCTCACAGATGGTTTCGACGGTGCCAGCAAGCTCTTCTTGGCTGAATTTTCCATGCCTATGACCGGAAAGACTGGCTTCAACATGGACATGCCCGCCGCCTGGATCCTCAATGCTGCCATTCCCCGCACTCTCCAGTACGGAAAGCCTGAATGCTCTTGCTGGAAGTCCGGTTGCGGAGAGTTTGATGTTCTCGAGATCCTCGACTCTGGAAATACTCGTGCCAAGTCCACCCTCCATGGCCACCTCAACGGCGGCGACAGCCACTTTTTCGAGCGCCCTACTGAAAAGGCCATCAAGGTCGCGGTCGTCTTCAACGCGGCCGGCAGCAGTGCTCACATCAAAATCTTGGATGATGATGTTGAGTTCTCTCCTGTCATGAGCTCTGATAAGGTTGCCGATTTCTGCAAGGAGGCGCCAAGCAACTCTATCTTCAACCTCAGTGGTTAAACGCTGGCCTTGGGAATGCTTCACCGGAATTGATCCTTGCATCTTTTGTGTTTTTTTTTGAGCATTTTTCATCTCTATTTCAAGTATTTTCATTGTACATGAAATGTGCTCTGGGCTGGTATATGCAATTGAGGATGAATACCCATCGGCCAATTTGGTCATCTCTTCAATATCCCCGTCTGATGTGCTCTCCTCTCTGGGACTTTTTACAGCCGGCCGGAGTTGCATACTTTGCCTGTACTTTACATTCGAGCTCCTTTTTCCCATTTATAACGGATTTGCTTCTGGGCTAGGGGCGCGGGCGGTTTTGACCATCTGAGATATTTTTTTTAACTAAGGAATAACGAACAGCATTTGATATTCTTGCAGCGTCAATTCGAGAAAGGGACAGGGGCTTTTGATTGGGCTCCTGGTCCCGAATGTTCCCTCAAGGTTCAGATCATCGCTCTCGTATGTACCCTAGCAAGTCTCAGCTTTGACCAGGCCCTCCTTTTTGACACCCATATCCCAAGTATTTAATAAATTGCAAGTGATCAAATCCATTGGTTGGAGCGTTGTTGGGGTGTCTCAAAGCATGCGACATGGGCATCTAAAGTCAATGACAATATCTCGCAGGGTACGGAGTACCGTATGTTCAATATGCATGAACATCTGAATTTGTTTCAAGTCAACAGAGGCCTCTTTTGCTGCGCTATGTTGATTTTGATCTTGGTCCCCCAGGAGTCAGGACAATCAGCAAGTTAAGGCCACTGCTCTTTGTGCATAACTAGTTACTGAACCACCCCATCTACTCTGGGGGAGTCTGCTCCCTGTTCCTACTCGCCTACCGCCATCCTTCCACTTATTTCTGCTCCTAGCACATCCTACACGCCCCTCGGCCCTAACCTCAGCTCTACAATGATCCAAATCCAAGCTTCCACACGAATCTCCCATTTCACGCGCTTGATACCCCGAGTCCATCTCCATCGCCGCTCCCACACAGCGGCAACCGCCCCAGACCCGCACGAGGACTTGTTCCGGTACACCACAGGCCGCTGGCTTTGGGGCGAAGCGGAGCAGCTGCGCAAGCGCTACCGGCGCTTCAACGTCGTCGAGCTCCAGAATGCCGCGACCCGGGCGCTGGAGGGTTCTCCGAAATGCGTGTCGATGAGCAAGGTGTCGGAGGGAAATAGCAATCGCGTGTTTCGGCTGCAGATGGATGATGGGAGGGTGGTTGTGGCGAGGATTCCGATGCCGAATGCGGGACCGGAGAGGTATACTACTGCGTCGGAGGCTGCGACGATGGAGTTTGTGAGAGGCCTTTTTCTAATGGATTTTTCCTTTTTAAGCATCCAACGTTTTTCTTCTGAGGTTGTGGTTTTGCTGCTATGGCTTTGTTAACGGGGTGGTTTTTGTTATGTTGTGTAGGCTCGAACTGTCCTGGGTGCGCCTGTTCCCAAGGTATTAGCTTGGAATGCTACCTCCGTTGGGAATCCTGTTGAGGCGGAATATATCCTGACGGAGGAACCTGAGGGGACGCAATTGGGTGAGCTATGGCGCGACATGAAACCGTTTGAGAGGAAGACCCTCATTGAAAGCATCGTGGGCTTGGAGCAAAAGTTGCTATCCGTTGGGCTCAATCGGTACGGAAAGCATACTACGAGTTGAAAATGGGCAAGGAAAAAAAATCACTCGCTAACTTGGCTGATAAGCTCAGGGTCGATCTACTTTGCAGAAAGCGGCTTTGAGGGCTGCAAGACTGCCGAAATCATTACGGATGCTCCATCGAGTCTTAGGGATTATGTCAAGGATCGGTTTGTGATCGGGCCTTCAGTAGATGAAGAATATTGGGAGAACCAAAAGGCAAACATGGCAATAGACCGCGGTCCATGTGAGAAAACTTCCCACGTACACGTTTGTATGAGAAGCGGAGTCGATCGTCTAAACGGTCTTAAATAGGGGACACAGCAGAAGAATATGTAAAGGCCATTGCCCACCGTGAGATGGCATGGATTCCTCGATACGGAAGCGAATATCCTCGTGACGCCCGGTTTACCTATGATGATGGCCAGCAATCCCCCGAAGCACACATCGACTTGCTGCAACGATATTTATCAGTGATTTCGATGCTGTTGCCCAAGAAGCGCGACCTGCTTAGGCCTACGTTGTGGCATTATTGTATCGACGAGCAAAACGTGTTCGTCCGTAACGGGGTAGTCTCTGGCCTGGTAGATTGGCAGTCTACTTTGGTTGCTCCATTGGTCTTGCAAGCCCGAGTGCCATGGTTGGTGAGATATAGAAGGAAAAAAGTGTTTAAGCGCCCTGATAACTTCAAGGAGCTGGATGAAGCGGACCAAGAGAAAGTATTGACGCAAATCGCTCGCACTACTCAACAAGACTTTTACCTGACGCAGGCTGCTTTGGAAAATCCTCTCCTATCCCGTGCTTTGGATTTGCCTCAGTCTGAATTCTTGAAGTATCTCGTTAGTTTCGCTGGCTGGTCCTGGAATAACGACAACGGTTTCCTAAATTTGCGGGAGTCTTTACTCAAGGTTATTCGGTACGGCCTCTTTGATTGATGGTGCAGCTGATTGACCACTAACTTCAAGAATAGCCGATGGGAATTATTCAACATGGAAGATCCATGCCCCTATCGGTTTTCGAATGAGGAAATTGAACAACATCGCAAGGACGGCGAAGGATTCAATGAATATCAAGACTTCTGGGACGAATTAGAAGGTGTTGTCGACCGAGAAGGGTTCACATTCCCCGAAACCTTCGATGCTGCAGTCGATTTCTTCTCAGATCTCCGGGATGTCATGCTCAAGGAAGCTGAAGGGAAAAATCGTGAAGAGTTGGACCTCTGGACACGATGGGTTTTAGAACGCAAGCAGGAGAGGGAGGCCAAAAAATGAGCCAAGCTGATCATGTAGGCTCACTGACTTTGAACAGGTAACTAACTAAGCCACGGAAACATCTCCATTCAGCACGTTTTGCCTTCTGGGAACACCCCCTTGTATTATATCCACCTGCATGAAAAGCAACCGTGTCTCTGTTTTACCGCATAGAACCAAGTTGAAACCAAACATTCTTCTGCTATATTGAAGGGCCAGCTCGTTACGCCTTCCTGCCTCTATGGATAACAGATTCAAGAAAGACATTGCTTCAAGCAGGCATGAATAACTAATGAGCCAGAGGCCGGATTCAGATGAAGTTGTAGTTGTCTCTGGTGGGAATAAACATAGGAGTTAACTCTGCGTATGTAATCAGTTTAGTTAGTTAGAGTTGCTTGTTCGCTGTCAAGGTTGATCACCCTGACATTCTCCAAGACGTCAAGGATGTTTTTGACAGCAATTCACTTTTCACTCGTTACGGCTATTATATTGATTTTTCACTTTAATGATGCAGCATAACACTTTCTCATTTCTTTGAGCTGGATTTTACAATTATTTTCCTGCCATTGGTTCCGTATTCCCTTTCACCGTTCCCTTCGACTGGCTCGGGCTCTAGCGGGATTAACTACCGGAAGAACAGTCATTTCGGATTCCTATATATTAGACGGTGTTGCGCCACCTTCTGTTTGTCATGGGCATATCTGCGAGATAACGTTTTCATCTTAGAGAAGACTCGGGGTCTTAAATAGGCGTCGAGAACCTCCTGCTAGCAAAAATGGCTGAATGTGAGTTAATCTCAAGTCTGTTCCTCCCCCGGTTCAATGGCTGGAAGCGGGGATCCTGCAATCGAAATCGTATGGACAAAACTGATAATGGTTGTTAGATGTAGGGCCTCATATTTCCTCCCTAGCCGACGTCCCCGTCTCACTTTTGAGAGCAGAGTTAGAGCGGCGGAGCTTGAATACACGAGCGCAGGGAGTTGCGCCCGGTCAGCCGCAGCCGGGCACAAGGCCGGCTTGCGGTAGTACGACCAAGTCGGGATCATATAATACTCCAATTCATGTTATTGCGTTGTTTCTCATACTCGTTCTAAGCACGCTAGGTGGGTTTTATAGAGCCCAGTTTCGTCCTTATCCCGCTGAACGGTGGCTGACGTGGACTTGGAGTCTAGCTTGCTCGTTTCCTATAATTGCTCGCCGATTCCCTCGACTCCCGATTCCGCGGCGTTTTCTCTTTTTGTCCAGACATTTCGGGACAGGGGTCCTCATCGCAACGGCTTTTGTCCATTTACTTCCTACGGCATTCATTTCTCTCACGAACCCATGTCTCCCACATTTTTGGAATCGGGGTTATCCGGCTACTGCTGGGCTAGTCGCAATGGTTGCTGTGATGTTCGTGGTTACAATTGAAATGTTTTTTGCAATGAGAGGTGCAGGACACATGCATGGAAGCGAGTATGATACGCTGATGGACACGGCATCGCACGACCATCACCATGAGGATCTTGGTTCAAGAGGAGATGATGAGGACCTTGGCCACAACGCTCATATCTCTAGAATCCGACGTGGAAAGCGTCGAACATCTCGTGGTTCCCATCCGGTCTCAAGTGCGTCTGAAGAGAACCTTATAAACGGAGTCAGCCCGATGTCAAACAAAGACCTTGAGAGCCGACATCAGGTGAACGACGAAAGCCTGCCACTGGAAGAACTTGATCCTTTCCCTGATGACTCTTCCGATTTCGATAGTATTCCATCTAGGGCCAGCCATCCATCGCGCACTCACCGCCATAGCCACAGCCACAGCCACTTCAACACCTCCCGTTCACAGCACGCTCAGAAGCAACTGATACAATGCCTTCTTCTCGAAGCTGGAATCCTCTTCCATAGCGTTTTCATTGGAATGGCCCTCAGCGTCGCCACCGGTGCAAATTTCATTGTCCTCCTTGTTGCAATATCTTTCCATCAGACATTTGAAGGTTTCGCCCTCGGTGCGCGAATTGCCTCGCTCATACCGGATTTATTCCCGGCTTCTTCTCCCAAACCATGGCTTATGGCCCTGGCGTATGGAACTACCACCCCAATCGGCCAGGCGATTGGATTAGGCCTCCATACCCTGTATGACCCAGCAAGTGAAACCGGATTGCTGACAGTGGGGATGACCAATGCTTTCAGCAGCGGTCTATTGTTATTTGCCGGGCTAGTGGAGTTGTTAGCCGAGGACTTTCTGAGCGATAGGAGCTATGAGACGTTGAGAGGGCGGAATAGAGTCGAGGCATGCCTTGCAGTTGCCGGAGGAGCGGCACTCATGGCTTTGGTGGGCGCTTTTGCTTAATATTGTATATTTCCCTTTTTTTTTTTTTGAATATTTACCCAAGACTTTAACAAATTTCCCTGTAAATATGCAATGATATATGGGAGGGGCTTAGCACTGTATAATTGCTTTATTAAAGGCTTCTAATCGAAAGCTGGCTGACTAGAATTCTTTGGGATATCGAATAATTCTGAAAAATAGAGCAAGACATCATGGCACGGCGATGTGGACGCTGGCATTATGCTTATCTTATAATGTTAGCTGTCGCATTCCTTTGGAAATGCATCAATAACATCTCTACGAGAGCGTCATACGAAGTTGCAAAGATGTCGAAATTCACTGCAAGTATTCAACAACCATGGCACTAGCTCCACCACCACCATTGCATATGCCGACGCAGCCAAGCTTGCCCTTCTTTTCTCTCAAAACACCAAGTAAAGTCGTCAAAATACGAGCGCCGCTTGCACCGAGTGGATGGCCCAAAGCAACGGCACCACCATGGATATTAACCTTATCCTCTGAGAGATTGAGGAGTTTCAAATTGGCAAGTGCAACAACGCTAAAGGCTTCGTTGATCTCGAAAGCATCAATTGCAGATTGTTCGACACCAGCATGCTTCAAAGCTTTGGGGATAGCGAGGGACGGAGCGGTGGTAAATTTGCTGGGTGCTTTGGCAGCATCACCCCAGCCGAGGATTTTGGCGAGGGGCTTCAGATTGAGTTCTTTGAGTTTGGACTCGGAGACGAGAACAACAGCGGCCGCACCGTCATTGAGCGGGGAGGAGTTGGGGGCAGTGACGGTGCCAACGTTAGGAATGAAAGCGGGTTTAATCGCGCGGAGCTTGTCGTGATGAAGCTGTAAACTGGTTAGATAAAACAAATAAAGATTAGGGGGTTAGGAGCACTCACGTTTTTCGGCTCTTCATCTTTCTCGACGAGCGTCGCTGGCTTACCCCTGACGCCGGGGATTTCAATCGGGGCAATCTCAAAATCGAAACCCCCCGACTTTTGAGCGGCCTGTGCACGTTCATAGGTTCTGATAGCATACTCATCTTGCTGTTCCCGGGTGAAGCCGTAATCCTCAGCACACTCTTCAGCTTGAAGACCCATGAGTTCCTTCTTTCCATAAGCATCGGACAGGCCGTCCTTCATGATTCCATCGACAAGGGTCTGGTGGCCATATTTGGCACCATTTCTCATATTAGGGATGTAATGGGGGGTATTCGACATGGATTCAGCACCGCCAGCAACGACGATATCGGCGTTACCGGTCATAATGGTTTGCGCACCAAGGATGACGGCCTTGAGTCCGGACGCGCACACCTTGTTAACGGTGGTGCAGACAGTGGAGTCTGAGAGTCCAGCGCCGAGAGCACATTGTCTAGCAGGGTTTTGTCCAACACTTCAAGCAGTTCACGGTCAGGCCATTGTTTCGATCCACTCGGAACAGCATAACAAGCTTACTTTGCGGATAAGACGTTACCGAAGAACACTTCTTCTACATCTTCAGGATTGATTCCAGGGGCTCTTGCCAGTGCAGCTAAAAGACTTCTTGTTAGTCAAGCCAGAGATCCATGGTTGTTTGGGGATGCAGGCCTTCTACCTTTGATCGCATGGGAACCTAACTGGGGGGCCGTCAGGCTGGAAAGTGCACTATACGCATTTCAATTAGCATGCTAAGCTCCTGCGAAGTGTTTCGCCAGCCCAATAGCCCAGCAGGCCAGGAAATGGCCGTGGCTATTCCTGTGCTCGTTGTTTAGGCCGGGAAAGCTCCTCACCCTAGAAAGGAACCGAGTGGGGTACGGGCAGCGGAGACAATATAGACTGGAGGACGGGAAGACATTTTCGGTGCAGAGATCAGAGAGTGAAAAAGGATGTCAAAAAGAATAGGAAAACGAGAGCTGGATGTTCAGATGGAAGAAAGAGAAGCAGAATGGATTCAACGAGGGATATCACTTCGAACTATTGTTGGGATGGGAAAGCTGACTGGTGGCGGAGCAATTGGGCTTTTGTAGGTGGATGGCAACTTTTCGAGAGCACTTCTTTTACTTTTCAACAACGACGCATCCGATTCTCAAGATTTGCAAATCAGCTTTGATATCGAATTCTCGATCGCAAAAACCTCAGTTTCTCTCTCTTTTTGAGCGGCGAGATTTTGTTGAGATCGTAACGTCATTACGAGGTTGATCGAGATGTCAGTACGCAACTGGCGGCGGGGCTTGTATGGTATGGTAAAGCAAGCTCCTCGCCGCTTTGGGCCTAGCCCCCAATAAGGTTCCGCCAAGAACCCGTCTGGATTACATAAGTAGTCCATGAATTCCTCGCGTTGAGATGAACAAACGGACGAGCAGCAGTATTCGCTTCTGTACTTAAGTTCCTGCAGGTGTGGTGTCGGTGGATCAGTCGAAGCTATTTTGCTTTTCGAGTCGTGCTTCACAGTGTGATACGACCCGTGCTCCTTGTGCCGGGAGAACCGTTGCAAAGTGGATTGAGTGACCGCGCTCTTTCAAGATGGACGACCTCTACGACGAGTAAGTGGGCATTTCGGCATGTGTACTTTTAAGCGCATCATCCATTGTTAAAAATGCGCCATCTTTGCTAATGCCGTTTGCATAGGTTTGGAAACTACATCGGAGGCGCGGAAGAGAGTGAGGAGGAAGAGCAGCATGGCGAGGTGCCCGCACGGGCATATGCCTATGAATCGGAGTCGGAGGAAGGAGAAGAAGCTTCAGCTGCTCCGGACCAGCAATTGATGGAAATAGATGGTGAGGCGGGAAGCGCGGAAGCAGTGATTTAACTGTTCACAGGCTGATGTTGAATCTTGATTCTAGAACAGGGCCCCTCGAATGCCGTCGTCCTTCATGAAGACAAGCAATATTATCCTACCGCGCAACAGGTTTACGGGACTGAGGTTGAAACCTTAGTAGAGGAAGAAGATGCACAACCATTATCCCAACCTATCATCGCCCCCGTGCAACAGAAGAAATTTGCCGTACAGGAAGCAGATCTACCCCCGGTGTTTTATTCGCGCGAGTTCATGACGGATATGTTGAATTTCCCCGACCAAATACGAAATATTGCGCTAGTGGGCCATTTGCATCACGGAAAAACCGCCTTCATGGACACCCTAGTAATGGAGACGCATGACATCGCCGCGAAACTCGATCGAAGGACAGGAAAAGCAAGGGATGAACAGCTACGATACACTGATGTGCACCTCCTTGAACGGGAAAGGGGCCTTTCTATAAAATCGTCGCCAATGAGCCTGGTATTACAGGGGACGAAGGGGAAGTCCTACCTGCTCAACATCTTGGATACACCCGGCCATGTCAATTTTGTCGACGAAGTAGCAGCTTCACTCAGATTGGTCGATGGCGTTGTTCTAGTTGTGGATGTGGTGGAAGGCGTCCAGATTAACACTGAACAGATCATCAAATACGCTGTCCTCGAAGATCTTCCTCTCACGCTGGTCGTGAATAAAATGGATCGCCTGATTCTTGAACTCAAGCTACATCCAACCGATGCTTATTTCAAGCTCAAACATGTGATCGAAGAAGTCAACACAGTTATCGAGAAAACACTACCTGGGCAGGGAGAACGGAGGAGACTGAGTCCCGAGAAGGGCAATGTGGCATTTGCGTGCACTGCAATGAACTGGTGCTTTACCCTTCAATCATTTGCGAAGATGTACGCGGATACATACTCTAAGATCGACATCTCTGAATTCGCCATTCGTCTGTGGGGAGACATCTTTTATAGCCCAAAGAGCAGGAAATTCACAAGAAAAGGGGTAGAAGAGTCTTCGAAACGGTCGTTTGTCCACTTCGTTCTGGAACCCATTTATAAAATATTCTCCCATACGATAAGCGAGAGCCCAGAAGATCTGAAGGAGACCCTTGCCACGCTTGGAATCAGCTTAAAGCCCTCACAGCTCAAATCAGATGCAAAGGTTCTTTTGAATTTAGTATGTGAACAGTTTTTTGGGCCTGTTGGGGGCTTCGTGGATATGATCGTGGAACACATTCCCTCGCCATTAGAAGGTGCCCCGAAATTTCTTGAGAAATATTATACTGGCCCACTCGACACAAAGGTTGCCGCTGGAATGTCTTCCTGCGACCAAAACGGCCAGCTCGTCGTTCATGTCACAAAACTATTTAATACCGTTGACGCTGCGGGCTTTCACGCGTTTGGGAGAATTATGAGTGGCACGGCTCGCCCTGGTCAACAAGTCAGGGTTCTGGGGCAGGAGTATACGGTTGATGATGAAGAAGACATGCTTGTTGCCACAATAATAGACACCTTTATTGCTGAATCTCGGTACAATATACCTACAAGCGGCGTTCCTGCTGGAAACTGGGTGCTTTTAAGTGGAATCGACAATTCAATTGTCAAAACAGCTACACTAGTCCCGCTCCGCCTGGAGGACGACGAGGATGCGTATATTTTCAAACCAATCCACCATATGACCGAATCCGTCTTCAAAGTTGCCGTTGAGCCCATCAATCCTTCCGAACTTCCTAAGATGCTAGAAGGCCTCCGAAAAGTCAACAAGAGCTATCCCCTTATCTCCACAAAAGTTGAAGAATCTGGAGAGCACATTGTTCTTGGAACCGGCGAGCTCTATATGGACTGCGTACTCCACGATCTGCGCCGACTGTATGCTGAGATGGAGCTCAAAGTCTCAGATCCTGTTACGAGGTTTTGTGAAACGGTCGTTGAAACTTCCGCCATAATGTGTTATGCCATGACACCCAATAAGAAAAATAAAATCACAATGGTCGCTGAACCTTTGGATGATGGCATCGCTGAGGATATAGAAGCTGGCCATGTCCGTATCCGAGATCCAACGAGGAAGGTAGCTAAATTCTTCGAGGAGAAGTATGACTGGGATAAGTTGGCCGCTCGAAGTATCTGGGCATTTGGACCTGACGACATGGGGCCTAATATACTCCAGGACGACACTCTACCGTCGCAGGTTGATAAAAAGCAGCTTGCGACAGTAAGAGACTCTATCCGCCAAGGATTTAGCTGGGGTACCCGCGAAGGCCCGCTGTGCGAAGAACGTAAGTTCATCTAACCTCTTCTCCCCTTACACTTCATCGCGATATTAACTTGCGCCTGTCCAGCCATCCGAAATACCAAATTCCGCCTCACAGACATTTCACTCGCTGACCAAGCCATTTTCCGAGGCGGAGGTCAAATCATCCCGACCGCCCGACGCGCCATTTATTCCTCTTTCCTCATGGCGTCCCCCCGCCTCATGGAACCAATATATACCTGCTCCATGATCGGTCCGGCTGACTCGGTTGCGTCCATTTACACTGTGCTCTCACGGCGGCGAGGTCATGTCCTCACCGATGGACCTATCGCCGGCACGCCGCTGTATTCAGTCCGCGGGTTAATACCTGTGATCGACTCGTTTGGCTTTGAGACAGATCTTAGAATACACACACAAGGTCAGGCAACGGTATCATTAGTGTTTGACAAGTGGAGCGTCGTTCCTGGTGATCCGTTGGATAGGGAGGTGAAGTTGCGGCCTCTAGAGATGGCCAGCGCCATGGCGACGGCGAGGGATTTCGTTCTCAAAACAAGAAGACGGAAAGGGTTGGCAGAGGACGTTACTGTGAGTAAATTCTTAGAACCGGAGCTGTGGAAGGGATTGAAGGAGAGCGGAATTCTTGGAGAAGGGTAGATTTGGGGTAGAAAAGTGTACTGTACTATAGGAACTGGGGATCTCAGAGCAAGAGACCGAATAATAGCTATTTACACGCTAGCTACTTTTGAAGAGGCCTAAAAGCGATGTTGCTGTAATTGACGAGAGACAAAATCAACGAAATATGCCACCTAGTTGCATCTTACCAGAAATATCAGAAACGCCATAACCATGCAATTATCCCATAGCCGTCTCATCCCGTTTATTTGCATAACTCCAACATTTTGTCAATCAAGCTCATGAGCGCGGTGTTTTCCGCCGCAGCCGCAACCCTCTCTTTATCTGCTAGCTGCTTATTTGTTTCCTCGCCCGTGCTATGCGTTCCCTCTTTGATTTTTACTTCAATCCTAAATCGTGGTGGCAAGCTCTGTTCCAGTCGGACCCGAACACCCAGCCCAATCACAGTGGCAAGACTGCAATGGGTGATGGTTGGCGTGACTAACACAGTGACCTTGCGAAGAGGCGAGGAAGGGTTCTGGGGCAAGGCCGGGGTGATGGAGATGTCCGGAAGCGATACAACAGCAAGTTCGCCAAGGGATATGGGATGTTCAGGGTCCATGATGGTAGATATTAAATCTGTCGGATGTTGATGCGCGTCAGCATTGGGCTATAGATGAGAAACTGGACGCAAGAAATGACGCAGGGTCAAGGGCGTACCGTATATCTCCTGCTCATCAATCGGCTCTTCAATGTCGTCGTCAGTCTCTATGCTATTTGTTTCACTCTCCCACTCCTCGAGATAAGTGCCAAACGGGTCATCCTTCCAAGGTGGCGTAACAAAATTGCTGCTCGCAAAAATCGTCCCGTCAAACAGGTCATCTTTTCCAGACGGCGACGTTGCCTTGTGTGGAGATTGGCGTTTTGGCAAGTCGGCGGCACTGATGATTTTGGGATTGACGTTCTGGACGCTCTGCATTATGGCTGATATTGGACGGTCCGTCGTCGTTCCCAGAGGAATGGATACGCCTCTCTCACGCTGCCGATGCACAAATTCTCTCTACCTCGCTTAGGTAGGTGACTATGCAGTGAAAACAGTAAGATATTTACGGCGAGGCAAGTCCCAGGTTCTCGCTTTTCAAGTAGAGAATTCTTCGCTGAAAGCAGTAATGTGCAGACGGCTGTTTCAAGTCACTCTCCCCCAACCGTCAGGCACAATGCATTGACTCGGAGGGCAGAAGCAGGCAGAGGAAAATGCAGGTCCAGTTTCGCATAGAGCGAATTGCTAAGATCAACACGAACGGAGGGTCTTCGTGTGATCACTGCCCGTTGGGGGCGCAGAGCGTCGGGATATAGCGATTAGGTAAGCGGGGATTTGCTAGTGGGGGTGTACTGTCACCGGCTTACAGGACAAGCGTATCGTTACCGGCGTTTAGGCCTAATCCGGTTAGAGCCACAGGGCCTTAACTTTAACCTGCCACCGCTTTCTTTCTGCCTGGAAGCATGGACGAACTATTATTTGATAGCACAGCAGCAAGGTGCATTTGACGGGCCTCGAGTCTTGCTTTGGCGTTGCATTCATCCTAGCATTGGGTTTATCTGCCAGGGTCGTGTGATTTCGAATACCTCTCAGAGGGCCAGCTCCAGCAAAGATCGGAAAGGGAATGGCCCGGCGAGTTGTGACCCTTGTCTCCCAGGCCGGTGGTCTCACGTTTCAGACCATCATGGGCACAATTTGTCGGCCTTGAACTCGGATACCAGTATCGAAATGTTTTAATGGCGCAACTTGGCTTTATCTTTGTGAATACTCATGCAGCTGCAGGGCCGCACGAACCAGAGTGCTGGAGCTGTACCACATCACATGAGGTTGTTTCATGAGGAATGCTATGCTCTTGTGCCCCTTCGTCGTTTCATAACATAGACACTTGTCATGACAAGCAAAAGAAGCAAGAAGTGGATGGTATAGTTTTGGATCAGATGGCACAAATTCTGTGCTGTACACAAAGTACATTGTGACAATCTGCTGTTGAGGCTTTGAGTTGTCGTCATCGAATTGAAAGGGGCAGTGATGGAGTCTGTCTGTTGATTATTAGCTAACTACCATTCACACATGAGGAAATGGTTGGCCAGCACCAAATTCCCACTAGGTGGCAGAGACCAACATCCTGAAATCCACTCAATGCTATCGCCATACCATCAAGAACAACAGGAGTGTGCAGAAAGGCCAAGTTGCGGGATGTTTCATGATTCTCCAACACAAATCCGGGCAAACTCAGGAGTAAGGACACTCGTCAAACCGCAGCAAAGACAAGGGAAGCTAGAGGGATGACATCCGAATGAGCTCCATGTCCTCAATTGTACGTACTACCATAGCCGAGTTCGAATTTGAGCTATTGACTTCTTCCAGACAACTGAAAAGCGTTTCAAGATGAATCACACCCGATCCCGGGAATAACAAACATGTCCGCACAATGCATTTGGGGGGGCTGTGGCAAACAACATTCGGAAACAAGTGGTAGGGCTGACACACGCATTTTATCGAGCTTCTGGCCCAGCGGAAAGCCAACTTTGCTTATCTCGACAAGGGTGTGTGGCTAAGGGGCCAATCGTTTATTCTGGTCTGGCACGGTTGTCTTCCCAATGCTGGGCGATGATGGGGTTGGAGAGCAACCAACAGCGAGCCGCTCTGCTATTAGTTTGCTAAATCAACCTTGCTTGGACCCTGCCTACCACTTAACTAGTTACGAGAGACATGAATGGCTGCGTCGGGGCCAAGTCGACACCCATGTCTCAAGCATCAGTTGCGACACAAGAACCTCTAACATTCGCCATTTCCCTAACAGATCTTCAATTGGTGCCCGGGAAACAGAAGAAATTCTTTATTCGGGTGTTTTAGAGCTGCGAAAAGGGGTCGTTGTGCGAGCAAAAGGGAGAGGCCGCCAGCAATCTCTGCAACAATCGGTAATGCGTCAACGAGCGAATCACCGTCCGTGCTCTTCGCCAAATCTCCTAAGCGCTGACTGCACCGGCGCATGTGGGGTTGAGATTGGTCGACAGCAGCCGGGTTGCGTTTGGCCGACTGAGTTACATCGCTAGTAACAGAGATTTGAATCCTGGCTGTCTTAAATAACTAGTAAACTGGTTAGTGAGTTAACGAGTTTACGTTGCCAGAGAAGAGTTGCACGAGCCAGAAGCCATGGAGAAAACATTCGTCCATCCTTGATGAAAGACCTGATCTTTCCAGGGCTTAAGTGCAATGCTTCAGGTCTTCGAGACAAATCCAGGTTATTATCCCCGAATCGCACTTCGCTATGGAATCGCGCCGTTTAGTTGTGTCATGTATCAACTTTCGTCGGTCAGAGCCAGGTGTACGAATTCAAATATCAAATAACTACCCGGCCAGAAGGCTTTTGCCGAAGCTGACAAGCTCTTTCGCGGCCCGGTGCGGCAGCGTCGTGAAGTTTGGTTGTGGGTTCATCGATCAGCCACATCTGTGCATGCTCTGGAGACATGCAGGTAATCCCTGCAGGGCTTTAACTCCGGGGCCATACATAGGTTCCATAAAAGGCATCATAACTTGTTGGCGTATTACTGTTGCCAGGATAGGGCAACTCAAGTATGAGGAGCTCGTCTCCGTGAAATGCGCCGCTTGTGATGACCTAGTCCTGGGCCGGAATCATTCTTGAGCAGGTTTGCGGCGGGCCACAAGTGCGAGCAGTATATGCGAGCACCACCGCCGCCATGAGCCGCCCTTCCCTGTCGATATTTGCTTGTCCTTCACGGCATCGAGAGACAAAAATAGCATCGCGACACTAGTCCGTTTCGGGCAATCTCAATGTCACGAAGACTCTCAGCGGGCTCAGACTGTTGGGGCCAATGTATTCGGCGGTCTCATGGACTGATCTTCTGCCTGACAGCCAATGTATGCCCATGCTTAACTGTTGGAACCCAGAAATCAAAAGATGCTGTGCAGGACAAGTGCCTGCAGCCCTCAAATGTCGATCAGGTTTTGGTCAGGGCTGTCCCCTAGGCTGCTTATTTACATCTTCAGGTAACAAGCCTGCATCAGTTCATGCTGTGCGCTCGCATCTCCAGCCGTCGATGCTCCTAGACTTGAGCTTCCCGCTCGCGCCTGTCTGTGGAGCCTACCGCCCTTGTGGCCCCCAATCCCCTCGCATGGCGGTCTTCAACCCTTGATCATGGCTATGTTGGTCAATGCAGCACTCCAGTCCCTTACGCAGGTACGTCAAACTAGCCCCTGTGCGCTCCGCTCTTTGCCCGCTTCGTGGGTTGTCTAGTCAGTTACAATTAATCTTTTAGGTCTGATATAGATTGTTTCAAGTCTGCAGCCATCCAGTAATGGCTAGCTGCCGGGGCCCATAGCCTGACTGTTCCCTGCTGAAGGCCACTTTTTCTACCCCCAAATCTGTCCCCAAAATTCGCCGACTTTTGCCTTTTCGCAGCTATGTACGTCACCAGGATCATGTCGTACGTTCCTCTTCAGTCGGTCAATTTATATAATCCTCTTCGGATCCTCCCACAACCTATCTGAGTCAGTCGATAACGCTGCTGTCCCTCCAACGGAGACTTTAATTTCGTATTTATCTTTCTAGACTCCTTCATTCACACTCGTTCTTGGACCAGAGCTTTGCACATAATATTCTTCCTTCCCAACATTCCAGCGGCTTTTCAAGACGCTCCCGACCCTCTCAGCTTAAGCCAACATCATTTTGACGCAAGATAATACTATCGATAACTGCACATCCTGCGCTCGTTTGTTTCTTTGTGGCTTCCTTTATCCGTTGACCGCCTGGAAGCCTTCTCCTACCATAACTCCACGTTTCCGAAACCGATATTTGAACCATAATATCTGCCGGGAAAGCTTGATCAATCTTCTAGCAGCTTCACTAATCAATTTCCACCGAAAAGCCATAATGCAACCATTCAATTTTACTGTTGGAAACTCCTCTCCCCGAGAGGGTCTTAGAAGTATTTCCCCCATTTTTATTTTTTTATTTTAAGAACAACCGCTAATGGTTATCTCAAGGCTACGTTTTTGTTGATGAGCATAATAGACATAAGCGCCTCAAGGGTTGGTCTTTGATCCGTCGGTCTATACATTAAGCGAATGTGCTAACTAGATTCCAGTGACGAGAGCCTGCAGCGGTTGCCGGAAACGAAAAATAAAATGCGATTCTGCAACAAGTAATATCTGGCCTTGTGCGGCTTGTAACAGGCTGAAAGTCAAGTGCTTTCCACCGAATTGGGGCAATCAGCACGAAAGCTCTCTGTTTGGGCAGGACTTGGGGGCTTTACGATCATTTGCCCAACCTGATACCTTCCAACCCTTAGGATCCCAAGCTTCTGCCACACATCACATCCACAATCCGGAGCAATTCCATTTTGAATTCGCTCTTGATGGATTCCATGCAGCGCAGTCGGTTGGTAACAACGTCGCTCGGTTAGCGCAACCACAACCGCAACCGTACCTTGGTCATTCCGAAAATCAGATTCATTTCGTTACATCCGACGTGATGTCAAGAAGCAGCTCTTTGCAGGAACCCTTTATTTATACTCCACTTAATACCAATATTGCTAATCTCGTTACTCCATCCGCTAATTCGTCGATGCCCACTCCTTCACCGTCGGTTTGCCCTCTATCGCCACGTCCTTTGCCCTCACAAGAACTACAGCCAACCCCGGTGATAGAGCTCAATCGCCCCCCGATTCAGGATTTAACGGATTGTTTTGGTCCTTTAAAGGTTGATGATAGTGGGATTGGTAATTTATCTTCCTCAGTTATGATATAGTCTAATCTAACGGTGTCAATCTAGCTCAGTATATTAGCCAGCAATCACGGATTGAGGGATTACCTACTCCTACAATCTCGTGCCCAGAAGATGATACGCTATTATCAACTTATACGGAATCAAATGGGACCCTTGCTATCCCGGAGGAGCTAATGCCGGGCGAAGAGGAGGCGCATAAGTATTTCGAAGTATTTTTCGACAAAATCCATCCCTACATTCCCGTGATTCACAGGGACGACTTTTATCGACAATGGGAAGCCGATAAGACAAAGATCCCTTCCCTTTTGCTCGAAGCAATATTTGCTTGTGCCGGAATGGCATCCCACGACCAAACAAAAGGGATGCGATGGCTCACTCTAGCAAATAGTATGTGTTTAGAATCGTCGTGGATGATCAAGGTGTGCTGACTTCATTAGGACATGAGTCAACCTTCCTCGAGGCCCCTCGGCTCAGTACAATCCAGGCATTATTGCTGTTGCTGAAGGCGCGTGAGGCGGTGCCAAAGAATGGATATTATTATCGATCCTGGCAATTGGTGAAAACAATTGTTTGCATGGCTAAGGACCTTGGTCTTCATGAACATCACAATTACCACAAAGATGGTGAACCTTGTGGCATGGAACCTGTAGACTGTCTTGTCGCCACCAGAGTTTGGCAAACACTTGTCATTGTTGAGGTGTTAATCGGTGCTCCACAAGGTTAGTGAAAGAGCAATTTACTTCTCTCACCTGGATATTTGGTCACTAACCTTTGGTACATGTGCAGGGCTCAATGACTTTGCTGTCGATGTTGAAACTGTAGATATCGGAACTACCTGGAATGTTTCCGGCTTAGACGCATATGAAATGGAAAGATCTCGACAATACGCTTATCTAGTGCAGAATGCGCTGAATATGAGGCGATTTATCGACACTCATAAACAATCGAAGAGACAAAGTGATGGGCTCAAGGACCCTCGTTTTACGGCGAATAATAATGCGCTTGACGAATTGATCGCCAATTTGCCTGCGGATCTCCAAGTTGTATTTCCAACAGAGGGTTCTTCACCTTGGCTTTCGTCACATTTCATGGGTAATTTGAATGTGCACTTTCATCTCAGTGTTATATTACAGCATCGTTCGCAGCTTACTACCGCGAGTGATGGTTCGCGTCCTACTTCTTGGAGAACCCATATGACTCGGTGTTATTCGTCAGCCAAGGCTATCTATCATCTGCAAGACGCTATCATTTCAACCAGCGGCCTAACTAGCCTGAGCTACATGCAAAGGGGAATCCATTTCACGGTGTACTGCATATTGACGTGCCTGATGGTGCATTCGGTAAGTTGACAGCGAAAAGGATGTCACGGATCACATACTAATTACTAATAATGGTTACCACAGGCAGTTCTTTCATCCTCAGACGTGGAGCTATATTCTGATGCGGCAGTGTACTTCTCGCGGCATATGCGCCTCCTCGAGCAATGCACCAAGAAATGGTCACTACCAGACATTCAAGCACAACTAGATATCGTGCGAGCAACATTATCTGTGGACACCACGAAACCTTTTGAGCTCAAATCATTGGCGACCCAAGGTATCCCCGAACAATCACTGGCTTCGAAGCCTCTGCAGTTGCACATAGATGTTCCCGGGAACAAAAGCGTGTTAGAGCATTCTGCCAGTACCGTAAATGGGCTATGCACTTCATCACCTCCGATGGTGTTCGAAATGCTGTCAAGCTGTACAGATATCGACCCCCAGTTCGTCACCTATCTGGATGATGGAATCAACTGGGATCCAACTCGCCTAGTCACGTAAGTCATAAGGCTTCTAATTATCCTAAGGGGCATGTGGCTAACAAGTCTTCCTTCTTTCAGACAATGGGACTTGGAACTCTCGAGTAGAAGTCTAAGTCCGGCGTCTCCAGAATCAGTAGTGACACCTAATCGCAATGCTATTGACCACATCTTTCCCATCCAGTTTGACTCCACGCCTGGTTCGCCTTTTCAGAAGGAGGCGCTTTATTGCACATATGATTTTGAACAATCGCTTATGACCACCGTTGATCAAAAATGGGACGGCGAGATCTCCGGTATTTATACATCAGAGGGGCTGAAGAGAAAATGGGAAGGAACAGACACCTTCCTGGAAGAGCCATTGGCGACGCAGAGGGTTTAGAGTGAAGCGCAGGCTGCTCCAATTTTTATTCAATGTATCAAAGGCAGGCTCCTTTGCGGGATCTAATGTACTGTGGATCGGGCATTTTGTATCTTTTTGGAAAATTTCCAACAGTACTCAGGGTATTCTTAACTCGTGAATGTATAATGGAGAATTGTTTTCCCACCTGTCCCTATCGTATGGACTCCGTAGTCGGTAGCGATTATACTATGGCTTTATTGGGTTCGTTCGGCTAATACAGCAACTTCTATGCATGAACGTGTATCAGTTGACCTAGTATGTTTCTTTTTCAGAGATGTCCTCAGAACTGCGTGTGGCAAAGAAAATCAAAGGACACTTTGCTCCTTCTACTACCCCCACTTTCATCACTTGACATAAAGAGAGCTCGGTTTTGCTGGCTAAAAGGTCCAGACGCTGCGTCCTGCTTGCGAGCAGTATAATTTCGATACATGTGTATTTCTGTCAATATTCAGAACGGTATCATAAACCCCACGGTTACACTCTTCTCAAGCGGCAGACACAGCAGGCGGTATAAAAGAGCGTGGGTCCCTCATGCGACGAAACCCGATATAGCCTTTAACTCTTTGTGAAAGTGTAGTTCACCCGGTTACTCAAAGCCATGTCGAGATCTCGTTCATCCTCTGCGGCTCACGCCAATCCGCTCATCTCGAGATCTGATAATCCTCGCTTTATCTCCCGGTAGTGGTTTCAGTTCGTCGTTTGGATCAACTGCGCCAGACACGTTTTCGCTGTTCTTGCTGTTATTTTGCTCCTGAGATTGCTGCTCTCGTTCGCGGAGCAGACGGGATTCTTCAAAGGAGAGAATGTCTTCGGATGTGACGGTGATGACAGTTGGTTTGCGACGAATCATATTCTCGAGTGCTGTCCGCGCGACGCGGGCTCGAAGTGGCTGAACGATTTGGTTTCTCTTCCGCAGCCTAAGGCTTTCACAAGCGAGGGCTAGGTATCAACACGCGTAGAAAAAAAAGGGCTTTGCCTCCTGAGATAACCGTTGTAGAGCATGGCTTTCGCTCGTCGTCGCTGAGTTGAAGTTGCCAAGCGAGTTATTATTGCTGATTAAGCAAATATCAGGTGACCTCGAGCTTTGGAAAGATTTCAACCGACAAGCAAATCCGACGACCAGATCCGCTCGAGTCCATTGCGGCGTGGATATCGGGAAGTGGAATGTGAAAATGGCAGCTGGCTTAATTCCCAGGTGCTATACGGCGCCCGCGCGGCAGTTAAGATGCAGAGTGGTTACTAGTTTGGGAAACGCACGGCAATTCTCTTCAACTTCTACAAATGGGGATGATGCCTCGAATGGTATGGACTTTGAACCCTGGCATTAAATTGAAAGTCGTCTCTGTCAGCACTGGATCAAAACATTAAATCGAATCTTTCTGAACAGGTCCCCCTCGACGCCCCCCGACGGCAGGCTTCGATCAAACCGCCCGTCGCCAAAACACAAAGTCTCTTCTCCAGAATGTTTTTACAAAGTCATCCCCCTCCTCTTCCAACCGCCCGGCGCATCGACCTTTTGACCCCCAATCTTCTTCCGGTCCGATAGACGCCCGCTCCCTTGCCGCACAAGTCCCGCAATCCGGGCAGGGTCAAGGCATCATCCGACGTGCGCCACTTTCGTTCAAAAACCTCCCTCAAAGACGCCGACCTGGCACGAATCAGAATATATTAGCGGCTGCGAATGCTCTCTCGCGCAGGCCGCGTAAGCAAGGCGGCCAAAAGCGTGTAAACCGTCGCTCCGGGCGGAAAACATCCGGGAATAGAGGCGAGGAGGCTCTCGATGAATCGGTCAAAGCCTATGATTTTGAAAAGAAAGAAAATGCTTGCAGGAGCCCGGTACAATACAACCCAGAACCCTACAGCATGGATATGCTGAAACCTACGTGGCCAGCTTTGCCGATGAGTGGAGGGGATAGTACTGTCGCCAATGCTGGGAGCGTGGCAGAGAAGTTAAATTGGATGGGTGCTCGATACCTCAATTCTTTTGAACCAGCCCCAGAGTTGGCTCAGCGGATACTGGATGGAAAGAGGGTTTTGTTTAGGAGTAGCGAAGAGAAGGCAGAGGTCCTGGAGTTGCTGAAAACTATGATTGCGGCAAACGCACAAGAAAAAACAGAACGCAAGGGGAAGGTTATCAAACCCAAGGAAGTGAGCTTTAAAGCCGTGGCCAACGAAGAGAGGCAGAGAATCGTTGCTGCAGTGGTCCAAGGAAAATACGACCAACCACTCGTGGATAAAGCCAAATATGGAGGTTCTCCGATCGTTGCGAATGTCGTCAGGAATTTGACCAACAACGGGACGTATCATTCTGTGCAGGCCAAGAAGTTTATGGAGAAATTCATGAAAGGCCTACCCGGTCGCTTGACCAGTCCGCAAAAGGCGGCCTAGATAACGTTGTTGATATTCGACGATTGTACTATTAAATCACGAATTTGTATATTTCCACCCTTTTTATTTCATGTTGATCAAGTTTGTAGATTTTCTAGAACAGGACTAAATGGACTACTTTATGATACAATCGCTCAGTTCCCAAGACCGAAGTTGACTTCCACCCATGCGAAATCTCCTATCAGGCGCAGTAAGGAGTTGAAATCTATACTATACCAGCTCTACGACAAACTGTCTAATCTCTCTCAAGAGCCTTTTTAGCCGCCTCAAACGCATCTTTCACTTCTTTTTGACCCTTTGCCGTAATCTTCTCCATTTGTTCCAATGCCTTGTGCAGATCATCGGGCCTCACAACTTTCTTATTGCCCGCTGCCTTGAATTTCTTATTCAAGTTCGCTCGGGCGTTCTTCACCGTCGTCGAGGCCTTTTCCATGGCTGCCTTGGCCTCCTTGAGGACTTGATCCCGGGACTCACGGGTTGGGGGTGGGATAGGAACGTTAAGTTGGAGTTTGTTATGTGGATCTTGCTGAGGATTAAGTGAGAGAGAGGGCATGGCCTGGAGAGCGGATGTGACCGGTTTCGCGTACTATAGAATTTTAGGGTCTAGTCAGCTTCCCAAAGGAGATAAAGATTGGGACACAAAAGCATCGGGGCATGTAGAGCAGGCACCTACATCTTCTTCCCCCAGCAGAATTGTAATCGTCCGCCCTCCCTTTGGAATAACCTGGGCTAGCTCATTTAATTTCACAGATTCTTTCCCTGTCGAACCACTTTTGACCGTGACCCGCACGTTCTCAATGAGCTCCGGGTTCAATCGTCCGCCTGGTCGGAGTTTAGATATGTCCTCCTTTAGACGTGACACAGCATCCTGGATGCCATTGGTCAAGGACGAAAAATCCAGAGGGTCTTCAGCACCGGCGGAGCTTCCTGCAGAAGATTCTTCGGCGGCGCGAGAAGATTTATCCTTTTTCTTTTTGGAGACGGCAGGAGTAGTGGAGAATAGGCGGGTGTTCCGTAGTGTTCGGATTGGAACTTGAGTATTGAGTAAACGTAGAGGTGCGTTCAGCGACATTTGGGACCTTGCGTTGTGCTCGTGGAGTTCATGGAATATGAGCCTGGGAGTTCTAGCGACATGATTGCTTCGGTACAACGTGCGCGCAGTGCCGGCATAGGCTATTCTAAATGGAGGAGACATATTTGATGTGGGATATCGGGTTGTGCTTCGTTGGCTCAGGAGGACGGAGCGCGGTGCTGTTGGGGAACAACATGAGCTTCCGGAACAATGCCAAGCCCAGTCTTTGGGTGGAGCGGAACGCGGAGCCATATCTGTATGCTGATAATCAGCTGTCCGGAGAAACTACGCTTGAGTTGATATTTTGATCGAGCGACTTAATACTTCAAGTACACAATAATGGAGATAGAATTGACAGAGTCTATCCATTCGCAAGTCGTGAAAGAAAGCTCCCGGGTCGCTACCTACAGCGCTGGATCTGGCATCTCAAAGTAACAGCAAGGAAAGCCAAACTATAGGAAAACTACCTAATCAAAAACATTAAAAAAACGCGCATATCCCTTTTTAAAAAGCCCATAGAACAGTCATGCAAGAAACATTAGAAAAGAAGTCACCCATCCCATTCATGCATTAGGTTTCATATCAGGTAAAAGTAGGAAGATTTGTCATCATATGCATGTCTGTCTGAGAACGCGGGGAATCTCTTTTTTTTTTCTTTTTTGGCTATATTTGATAGGTGGCTGCGTTTATCGTGTGGCCATAGCCTTTGTGATGAGTCTCTTGAGGGCGAGCTCTTTCTTCTTGAGGTCTTCGGGAGAGGACTCTTCGATCTCAAGCTGTGCCATGGCGTCACTGAGGGCGGATTCAATCTTATCCTTGGTACCACGCTTGATCTTAAGGGACATGGATGGGTCGGAGACGATCTCTTCGACACGAGTGATGTATGATTCGAGCTGCTGGCGGGCTTCGAATTTCTTGCTGAATGCTTCGTCGGAAGACTTGAATTTGGCAGCCTCTGCAGGAGTGATCAGTTCCTATTTGACTAGGACTAGAGTTTGCTTAAGTGAGAGAAACTTACCGCTGATCATGTTTTCAATCTCAGTGCTGGACAATTTGCCGACAGCATTGGAGATGGTGATGTTGGCGCTGCGACCAGAAGATTTTTCAGTGGCAGTAACCTTCAAGATACCGTTGACGTCGACCTCAAAGACCACCTCGAGGGCAGCCTCACCAGCCTTCATTGGTGGGATAGGAGACAAGGTGAATTCGCCCAAGGAAGTGTTGTCATCGCAGTTGGTACGTTCACCCTGGAACACTGGGAACTGCACGGTGGTCTGGTTGTCGACAACAGTGGTGAATGTACGCTTCTTGATGGTTGGCACGGTCTGGCCACGGGGAACAACAGGAGCGAAAATGTTGCCTTCCATAGCAACACCAAGGGAGAGAGGCACAACATCCAAAAGAAGGAGATCTTGGGTATCAGCGGAGGTAGCTTGACCGGACAGGATACCAGCTTGGACAGCGGCACCATAGGCGACAGCCTCGTCAGGGTTAATGCTCTATTGATAGCGTCAATGCTAGCCCACATAATGATCCAAATGTTTATTCATTCTTACCTTCTCAAGCTTCTTGCCATCGAAGAAGTCGCTCAACAACTTCTGGATGCGGGGAATACGAGTAGAACCACCGACAAGAACAATCTCGTCGACCTTGCTCTTGTCCAAAGCAGCATCCTTAAGCACTTGCTGGACGGGGTCCAGAGTTCCGCTGAAGGCCTTGGCGTTCAAGTCTTCGAAACGAGCACGGGTGATTTGAGTGTTGAAATCTTCTCCGTCGAAAAGGGAATCAATCTCAACAGTAGTCTGGGTGGCGTTGGAGAGAGTACGCTTGGCACGTTCGCAGGCAGTTCGGAGGCGGCGGAGCGCTCTGGCATCACCAGAGAGATCCTTCTTGGTCTTGCGCTGGAACTCCTTCTTGAAATGATCAAGCAAATTGGTATCGAAATCTTGACCACCAAGATGGGTATCACCGGCAGTAGCCTTAACAGTGAAGACACCACCTTGGATGTTGAGGAGAGAGACATCGAAAGTACCACCGCCCAAATCATAGATGAGAACATTTCGCTCCTTCTCAGACTTTCCGGAACCTAAACCGTAAGCAATGGCGGCAGCAGTGGGCTCGTTGATGATGCGGAGAACGTTCAAGCCAGCAATGGCACCAGCATCCTTGGTGGCTTGACGCTGGTTGTCATTGAAGTAAGCTGGCACGGTGACGACAGCCTTGGAGACTTGCTTTCCGAGCTTGGTCTCGGCAACTTCTTTCATCTACACAGCAATAAACAAGTCAGATCGGTTGCCCAAAACCTAACACTTGGCTTGTATGCCTAAATACGTACCTTCATGAGAACCATGGAGGAGATCTCCTGGGGAGAGAAGGTCTTATCCTCGCCAAGATAGCGAACCTGGACCATGGGGTTGCCGCCCTGGTCAACGACCTTGAATGGCCATGATTCAACATCCTTCTTAACGATGGGGTCATCGAATCTTCGGCCGATGAGACGCCTTCGTAGGCCATCAGTATCCGGCAAAGCAGTCACAAAAGGCAATGGTACTCACTTGATATCGAAAACAGTGTTCTCGGGGTTCATAGCAGCCTGGTTCTTTGCGGCCTCACCGATCAAGCGCTCCTCATCGCTGAAAGAGACGAAAGATGGTGTTGTGTAGTTACCCTGCTCGTTGGCAATGATTTCGACATTGGTGCCTTCGTAGTTGGCAACACAAGAGTAGGTTGTGCCTGAAACAGAAAACTAGTCAGCTTGTCCGCCTCTACTCCATCTCTATGGCATCCTGGGGATATATGCGACGCACCGAGATCGATGCCAATGGCACCCTCATAAACCTCAGTAGACATGGTGGGATGGATGTGACGGAGAGGCGCTTTTGCAATCACAGAAATCACACAAAGGCGAAACTTTTTGGACAGTCGAAAGTGAAAGTACGAAGCACCAGATCCCAGAGGCTGCGAGTCAAAAGAGAGCAACAGATACTCGGAGAAGTGAGAGTGATGACCTGAGGAGGATGGAAGAAGAGCGAGAGAAACGCTCGACTCGGCTGGTATTTTAAAAAAAAAATTCACCCGCAGAAAAGTTCCAAAACTCTAAATTCTCGAAAAACCTTACCGTAACTTTGCGAATTTTTGGGTTTGTTACCGTGGGTTTTCGGGGGCGCTAGGCTGCATCGGGACTAGGGCAACGAGACTGACATCGCATTGAAAAACGAAGCTGTAGTACAGAGTACAATAATACATGAAGATGTCCTCTTGAAAATATCCCCGGGGCAGTCCCCATGTCGCTAATAGAAGCCAGTAAAACTCCATGCACTATATCCCGCCGATTTGCTAAAAGATGCACCCCCAATCCTCTTGGCTCTCGACCGGCAAAAAGTAATGGACACCAACATTGTTTTGTCAATGTTGTATCCGTATGGGCCACCGTCAAAAAGCTCATCTGTGCATAACATGAATATAGAGTGTAAAAGCTTCGTATTCGACCCCGGGCCCATTGGGCGTGGCTATGTTCGCCACTCCTCTACCGGGTGCTGCGTACATCTCGACATCAACCTTAGTGACTCCGGGCCCTAGCCGAAGTTCATACCTAGGGATCGTGAAATCTGCAGACCTTACCGGCGGGCCAAGCGAGGGTATTTTCTGGCTCCCAACAGTCACTGTGAGCTGGGTTTGGCGCTCAAGACTGCTGGACACAACGGTCGGCTGGAGGTACAAAACGTTGTGAGAGAAGGGGACACTCAGAGTCACAGACTGCCGGGGGTTAATGGAAGAGGCAGGAATATCCAGATTGAATTTCGGCCCGCTCTCAGTGCGGAGGTTTACGTGAGTGATCAATCGGGTCCTAGGCACTACTATTTGGTGTAAGCACGTTGATAAACCAGTTCAGCCCGCGGTTACGAGGAGGATACACTTACCATACTTCCTCGGTGGCCAGACTGCTGCTGGCCCAACTGCAGGATGGATGGGAGTGACAGGCTTCTGGGCATTCACTGGAGTAGCAGTCGGGCCCATTGCCGTCAATGGGGGGCCGTTCGGGGCGTGAATGGGCGCGGTGGTCGCTGATGAAAGACCGTTTGGTTGTTGTTTAGGTTCTGGCCTGTGCGGGGCAATGCTCGCGGCCACGCCTTTAGGGGACTGGCTCGTATGGCTTTCAGCTTTGGGTCTAGGGGTCGGAGGAGTATATGCAGGCGGTTGTGTAGAACTCTGACTTTTTGTAGCGGATGGAGCTCGGTCACGTAAAATCCTAGTCGATGCCGGTGGGGGAGCAGGCGTTTCTACGCCGCCCGAACCCGCTCTGACAAGCGCCTGTTGCCTTTTAAGGGATTCGTTATCGACAGTTACGCCAGGATGCTGTTTCTCACTAGTGGACTCTGCTGATTTGCCAGGAAACTTCAAGGTCAGCTTTTGCGGGTTTGGTTCTGGGGTCTTCGTGCTTCCAACTCTGAGCTTGATGCGAGTTGGACCGCCTTCGCCAGTCGAGGTCGGCTCAGGCACAACCTTCCGTACCTCCGCAAGGCGCCGGCGAAAATGGTTCTGCATTTAAGTCAGCTGACGTGGGTTCGGCTTTCCTAGGCGAATAATAGTACCTGGAGTTCCCCAGCAAGTTCAAATATGGCACTTCCATCTTCATTGAACTCTCTAGCATTTCGCCAGATATAACTAACTTCCTCCGCAAAAGCATCCCATGTCTTGAACGGTGAACCTTTGGTGGCGTTTTTCCTTCGATCTGTGCCTCGCACAAGTTTTAGAATCGTCCTCAATGAGGTTGGGTGCTTGATGATATCGTAATATTCCTTGTATAACGTGCGGTCAGGTTTGTTTAGAAAAGGGAAGAACACCTCTTCACCACTATGAGAATTGGTTAGATTCCTGAATGATAAAAGGGTAAGCTTTGTAGCAAGACGTACTCCTCATCTTTCATACGGATCATCTCGCTTATGATTCTCTCCTGTGCTTGCTCAAAACTGTCCCTTTCTGGACCACGGGTGCTGGTCTCGTTTGGTTCGACGTCGCGATCTGTTGTTGGTGTACGGTGTGAACGGCGCTGGCCACTTCGCCGAGAAGGAGCTTCGCTATTAGCTGTCTGCGACCGTACCCGTTCAGAAGGACGTTCCATGGGCGCATCTTCCTCTTCTCCTCCCTGCGCTCCTTCTTCTACCTCCGGCAACGGCGTTGAAAAGGGAACATATTTATTATCCTTGTACGCCGGGTTTATCTGGCTCATAACGGAGGAGACTATCTTGCGGATACGCTCAGCGTGGGAGAAAACTGTGGACCTTTTCTCGTTGTAGGATTTCGCATTGCTGACCATTCTACGAAGATCAGCTTCGAGGAGGGTGAGGCAAGAGTATTCATGGTTCCGAAGTTTGTTCTGCGGTATCGAAAGATCAATTAGCATGTAACTTTAGCAAGGAAAACATATTTGTTAGGCTTGATAAATTCGTCAGGTGGGGTTGGCAGTCGCAAATACGTACTTCAATCATGTCCATGGCAATCGGAAGCCGAATCGCCGCAAAATATCCAGGATGTTCATTCTATAGGACAAAGTGGTTTAGCGGGCAGGTTTCCAGAATTGAATTGCATTCACTATGCAGGGCAATAGGGATGATGAGATGTATCTAGCGAGGGGTGACCAACCCGGTCGGGGAGATGTAAGAACTCTGGCGCAACGGCGTTGTTACTGAATGTAGCAAACAATGGATTGTTAGCAACTTAACTTCAAAGCAATGTACAGTTACAAGGGACTCACAATTTGTCTTTGGCTGTCTTGATCTTGTCAAGCAATTCCAATCCGGCTTTGGTAGTTTGCTCGGGAGTTTCATCTGTCTCGGGTACATAGCTCTGTAAAACAGCAACAACCAGTTGTTAGTAAAACATCTTCTAGGGTTGGGGATAAAACAAATGGATTGACCACAAAGATGTGTCCGGATCTCCAGGCAGACAAGCAGTTGGCCGGCAGACAGGTTGCTGCTTTGTGTCTTGTTGTTACCACTGCCGGGGCCCAGTCTGCTTAACAACATAGGATGATCAGGCAAGTGCTGCGACCAAACCAACACTCCATCAATGCGGCCAGGGAGCATTGTTTGTGCGCCCTATATTAAGGGTGAGTGCCTGTGAAGGAATGTTACAACTTACAGTGATTTTTCGCCGCTTGGACAATCGAGCAAGTGCATCTTGAGACCCTGCCGCGCTGGCTCGCCTCTTCAGCGGCATGGCTCACTTATCACTGGTTGGCGTCGGCGAGGATCAGGGCCGGAGCTTCTGAACTCAAGAAACCAGAACACCGCAAAGTAGTGAACACAGAGGGACAGGAGATGCGCAATTTCTCTGCTTGAATCTGAGGGCAGGAAAGACAGAATTAGCAGGCTGCATCTATGCAAAATCCGAGGATGCTCATTGCGACTTGAAGCTCTCGGTTTGCGAACGCGACTTTGGGGGTTGTTGGGGGTTTGTTCGGGTGCTGCGCGGCGTGGCTCACGTGTGGCTGGTGCTGTGGCGCGTGGGCACCTTGGCAATCCTGCGGGTGCCGAGATTTGATAAAAGACAATGATACGCTTGAGAGAGCATTCAAGCGCCCTGAATGAGGTATTCTGCAGATGCATACAAAGCCATTGACTATCTCCGTCAATCCGCTTTCTTATGGGAGAAAGAATCCAGACAAGCAGCACTATGCTGACGAGACGTTACGCATCTTGAACCACCATTGGCTAGAATGGCCCGGATTCATCCAATCACCATGCCCGCCCATGCCAAGCCCCGTAATCAGGGCGCTTCTGTTTGTTTCCACCGTACAAGATTACCGCGATCTAGTTACTCCCCTTGTTGCCCTTCAATCTCCATCGCACTCTGTGTTGTCGGCATTTATCAAGCCTGTCGCTCCCACTTCTTCGCGGTTCCTCTGTCACTCTTTGCCTACTATCTTGGCTCCTTGTCAGAAAGCTGCCTCTCTCTGAGTGTCCCCGCCAGCAACGGTAAGTGCGCTTTTCCTGTGGGATTTCCGAGTACCCTGCTCCCCCCCGCCCCTCACTCGTCGGCCATTATCGCAATCGAGCACGGTATTCCCGACAACCTGTTCGCTTCTTCCTCTGTGCTCCTAGAATGCTTGAATTCTCTTTGACGAAGCTAACCATGACGCCGGCTCACAAAGAGGACTTACGAGCCGATCACGTATCCTTCCCCGCCCCAATGCCTGCTGCCGTGCATATCGATGCCTCCCGTCGCAACAAAAGACCGCGAATTCTCCTAGAAACTGAAAGAGAAGAGCTGGAAAAATTTATCGATTCTATCCATTACTCCTCCAGGTACGGGTTGTTCCGCTGGGCTTGACATCTCCCAAAGCTAGTTCCTGACCGAAATGAAGATATTCGGATAGCGAATTCGAGTATCGCCATGTCCAGCTTCCAAAGGACATGCTTAAGAAAATTCCGCAGGATTATTTTGACCAATCGAAAGGAACTCTAAAATTATTGTGGGAGGAAGAATGGAGAGGGCTAGGAATTACACAGGTAGCACTGTCGAGATGGGTTCCGGAGACTTTAAGAAACCAATCTGACATTTTGATTGCAGAGTTTGGGCTGGGAGCATTACGAGGTCCACGAACCGGAGCCACACATTCTCCTGTTCAAGTGAGTCAAACTTCCCCTGCTCTGGTTTCTGCATCATTCGATTAACGTGGTTGTCTACAGACGTCCAATCGACTACCAACCCCCAGCTCAGTGATGATTACGGCAATTCCTTGCTAATGACCCATTTCCGGCGTTCTTTTCTTTTTTAAGGGTTTTCGTGGGATTCCATTTGGCTGGTAATGAATACTATTTTGTCCGTCAGCATGGGTTAGCGCGCACAATTGATCAATTCGACTTCGACATGGAAAAGAAAAGCATGTATATCATTTGGACTTGTTGTTCCTTTCTGTTTTTCACCTAATTCATTTCTGAGGATTATATCTGAGGCTGTGACCTCAGTAGAATGATTTTAAACAGTGATCAATGTCTCCTTCCCCGCTCCAAATCTCGGGCCCATAACCATGCTCATGTGGGAACGACAATTTGGATCATTCAATGCACTTTTCAAGCCATTCCTCCCACTGTTGAACAGTGAAACTGCTGCTAATAGATCTTTCTTCAACACCCTGCAGCCCAACAATTGCTATTAGTGTTGAAACAGCTTATTGCAACTCAGAGAGGAACAACTCACATCAAAGAAAACTGTGGGAGTCACATGGACTCCTATGACTCTATTTGACTAGTACACTCTTTAGTTTTCATTTCTAGTACCCCTGAGACAAAAAGACGCACCTTTGTCAAAAATTTGACATCGTTTGTCACTTGGTTGCCGCCATTCAAAGACCCGTCCGGCGCTGGTTTGTCACTGACCTCCAGCAGAGCATACACCTTTGCTTCATCCAAACCCGTCACTTTCGCCGCTAATTTGGCCAATCGCTCATACGTATGGTTCCTCGTCTCATTTACGACGTTTGCATCGAAATACTCCTTTTGGGCCTTGAACAGGGCGTCGCTGAAATCCCAGAACTTGGAGGGTGCTAGTTTCAAGACCGCAAGTGCCGCTTCTTGGGTCAAGGTCGACGACGGGTGCCATGGTTGGACTTGCGGCCGGAAAACGACCTGGAGCTTCGGAGTATAGGTCTTTTGGATGATAGGGATGACGGAGGTGTAGAATGTGTGGAAGAGTTTTGCGGAGAACTGCTCAGCTCATGGTCAGCCAGGTCGAAATAGGTTCAATCCCACTCTGCCTCTGTAGAACTGAAATTTACCGGGCAGACATAGTCAAGATCTAGAAGAAGCAAACGTTCAGCTTTTGCCAATGATGTTGCGGCTACCTGCCAGGCCAAAGGAAGTATACTCACAGATCTCAAGGGTATGTCGCTGTTCCGCAATGCCCGAAGTAGCAAGCCGCAAACCCGAGTATTTTGGTGGGAGGGTCATGATGTCAAGTTTTAGCGTTATTGTCCACCACTTGATCACAACCGTAGACAGAATGTGCTTCAACTCTCAGTCATGTAAAAGCAATCAGGTTGATGAATTGGTTATAACACAATCCGATACCCCGCGTGGGCCATGTTGAGGTCGGCGACCTTGCGGTTGGGATCCTGGCAGTTGGTTACGTCACCACCACTGGAGCTCAGATACGTGCGCCAAGATGAAAGACAGATTTGTATACAATCGATTTCAGCTTCTCCTTAACTGCTGACACTGATTAAATCGTTGATTGCAGCAACGCCCAGACCGTATGCAGAGGTATCTATATGCAAAAAAACCCAGACTGATGCTTCGAAATCCCAGATCCAGAATCAAAAAAAAGATCGTAAAATGGGGCGAGAGTGCGAAGTCAGAACACATTCGAAGAAGCAGAAACGCCGAGCCCCGTTCCCCTTATAGTTCACCAAAACAATGGCAAGCGAAAATGTAAAGTGAAAGGTTCGGGATATCACGTACTCGTCGGGCTTTCCGGGACTCTAGGGCTAAGTGTTTTTAGCTTAAGCCGCAAACCGGTCCAGGACTTTTGGACAGGGTCATATATTCCGGTGGCACCAATCGTGCAGACTCCTCTTGAGCCCTTTAACCCGATCAATCCTCGTACGGCAAAGGAGCCCCGGGGGATAGACAAGCCATGAGACAAGTCGTTAAATATGGAATGGAAAATCTTTGTGACCACTAATAAATCAGGGTCTGGTTTGGGTGCGAAAGAAAGGAACGATTTGACGGTTGAATTTTCGTTGGAGTGGAGTTCTGAGGAGCTTTCAACTTTGGGAATGCTCTCCTGTAGGGAAGTACCTCGAGGATAGTTTGACTGATTGTGCGGCAAAGCTGTCCTGCTTTGCGGAGTTCCAGGTTCAAACGAAGACGGCAAGCCCTGGCGGGAGCCGATTCCCTGTCCCCCTTCTTGAGGTCGATTTGAATTACCACCCAAAAATGATTTGAGTCTGGCCATCTTGAGCTCGAAAAACGCCAACCCTGCTCCGAGTATAGCAAAAAAGAGGGGCGTTGGGAGCACGATATCGCGGAACCGACCTCCTTCTTCTAAAGGAAGTCGCCGTATAACTGCGTCGACACTGCCATCGTCCAGAAACTCGAACCTGGTAAGCAGATAAAGGTATTAGTACAGGGCATTCGCAAACAAGTAGCAATATAGACATACCCAAGTTGGTCGTATTCCGGGGGTGCTCTGCTCGGGAACACAGGTGTAAGTATGGCTTGATTGACCGAAATGGGTTGTCCCATTTGTTTGGACAGATCCGGGTCCTTTGCGAGTGCCGACTGCACTAGGTCCGCAAGTTCAACTATATGACTATTAGTCACGATCAAGATTCTTCATTAATCAGAAATGATTTTCTCGTACGCTTCAATTTCTCCAAGAACTTCTTATCGTTGGAAATCTTGATGAAGTTCTGCCACTCTGGGTCGTCTCGAGAGTATAAGTCTCCCTTGACGGGGCTGGGCATAGCCAAGGGGACGAAGAGTGGATCATCTTCATCCTCATCCTTAGTATTGGTGAGCTCCCGTCCGGGTTCATGTTCCTCTTCCAACGTTTCTTCCTCCTCTGCTTCTTGGAGTACGAAAGTGATAAAAGGGGTCCAAACGAATTTATCCCACACGGTATAAGCGCAAAAGCCAAACATGCAGTTAAATAGGAATTTCCTTGTATAACTATCAGTAAAGCCCGTGTGCAGGAATTCTAATATGACGAGAATCTACCTTAGGGCCGGGCTTTTCTTAAACCTGACTCTGTGGACATCCACCAAACCACTCTGGCGCTGTAACGGCCGCCGGAATAGCGGAGAGATTAGAGGCCGACGCCGAACGAGTTGTTGGCGGATATTGGCACCTCGCATAAGACGCGGAATCATCTGGCTGGATTGCGATGTAGATATTGCATATTGGGAGAGAAGGAAGAGGTACTGGCGCGGGGAGGACTGTAGTCTGCCTGAAAAACAACAAATGAGAGCGACAGGGACTAACAACGAAGAGGATAGTTTGTAGAATTGCTCTTTGTGAAAGCAAATCGAATGAGCGAGGGCGTAGAGAAAAGACCGAGATTGCCTGGAGTGCGAGTGAGAAAGCAAAGTCAAGCTGAGATGAGATCGCCTTTGGCCGCCGCGCCAAGCCCCGACCTCATCGCTCACCAAGAGCTCGCAAGGACATCAGCCAGCAATGATATCCGTCTATATTTGAACAGAACAACTCACGCAGCGGGTGCTAGCTACCCTTCTAAAGCTCGTTTAAGCAGTCATAGTCGACTCTTTGTGACCTTCTTACATTCCCTCTGCACCTACATGCCGGGGCGGGTTAGTGACCCCGGGTCCCTGCCAGCATGAAGCAGTTCCTCTCCTACCTCACGATAGGCCTTGCTGCGGCAACTACTTCTGTCGCCTCCGACGATGTAACGATTTTTATACCTGAGATTACACCTGCTTCCAAGCATTCAGATGGCCGGCAGATCTCTCCGGATATTGCGAGATGGATACTCGCAAGGCGATTAGGATGGCCGGGCACCTCGTTACGTGGAGACATTGACGAGGAGGTTTTGCAGGGCCTGGATGAATTCGGGGGGCAGCAGCCTGTAGCCTTTGGGGATTCGAATCTAAAGCAACCGTCTCATAAACTACTTGTCGTGTTGCAAGGATTTGACCAGGCCAAAGGTGTGTGATTCATGGCAGATTCTCCTCAAAAGATAGCGGCCCCTAATAGCTTCTCCCATTTCTAGATGCTCAATCAAAGCTCGGCCGTGTTACAGTAACTGAGGCTTTACCCGATTTTATAGAGGCCTCGTTTCTCAACGGCCTCCTCTCAGAACCCTCCCCCCGAAGGCCAAACTCCCGCCTATGCTCATATCATTGGGAGTGGGACCCAGTGGTAGCGGCTGATTTGGTGTTTCGAAACACGGTACGACAATTATGAGCGCGTTTTTGGATTGTTGTCTAACGGGGCTACAGAACGGATTAGATTGCCCTTCGGAAGCACCCTTTCTAAACGAGTTCAAAGACGCGTTTTCTGAAGAACGTGGCGATATCGAATCCCTTCGGAGAGTTGTCCAGACCCATTTTGGGGGTACGCCGTTTGAGCCTGGGCAACACGTCTCTGCTATTCTCCGACTCAGCCCTCAGGTCCAAGTCAGTTACTGTTGCTTTTTTCTTCCGTTTGATAAAAATCTAACTACATATCCCGCAGGAAAAGCCAGTTTCGTCCGATAGATATTTGTCCCCAATCCTCACCTCAGCGGAAGCCTCGATAGTGGATACCACCGTCGTTGTTCTACCCGGAAACCGCTGGAAATCGTCATCATTCTCAAAGTCAGAACCCTCCATCCAATCTTCAGGATATTCACACAGACGCCATTCATCACACCTTCCCCCAATGTTTCCTCGCGACTCCAACATGACGAAACCTAATAACACCCTCTCCACCCTCCTCCCCGTTTGTTACGCCACGAACGACACCTGTACCACCCGCACTAACTCCTGCTCCGGCCACGGTTACTGCTACCTCAAGCGCCAAGGAGCCGCCAAAGGAGGTGAATGCTATGCTTGCAAATGCCTTCGCACAGTTGACTATACCGATCCCGACAAAAATACGACCAAAACCATCCAGTGGGGCGGACCGGCGTGCCAGAAGAAAGACGTAAGCATGCCGTTTTGGCTATTGGGCGGGTTTTCGCTACTGTTGGTTGTGGGAATCTGGTTCGCAATCGGGCTGTTGTGGCAGATGGGCCAGGAAGAATTGCCGAGTGTTTTGAGCGCTGGTGTTACGGCACCCAGAGCACAGAAGTGATTTTTGCTTTTGGGTTTCTTTTCCCCAGTCTATGGAGTTACCGCCTTGTATACTCCATGCAGAGGGATAGAACAGTAGGTTTCCTGATTGACTATGGTCTCAATTACTTTCTCTGGGTATTCAGATTTGCATCTAGCACCTTATGGGGACTATTTTTATTGTATAACAAGTGGTATGTCAGTTGTGAATATTTCTCAATTTCACTTCGCATTGGAATAATGAGGGCATGTTTCGGTAGATTTGCTAATCCTTCTGTGAAATGAGAACCTATCTTGTTGATATGAAAGAATCCATTTAATTGTTCCCCTTTCCTATTATTGTCGATGGATAGAACCCCAGAGAGAAACCACTAGCAAGATTGTTCCATAACTACATACATCAAAACCACCCTATAAACAAAAATAACATACTTTCCATATATCCATCCTACAATAAATAAAATGCACCCACCAAACACAAATGGATAAAGAGATAATGCTAAGATACTCGAAAACTAGCCCACGAATAGCAGCTATGTCATGGGGTATCACAGATGGAGACAGATAATTTAAAAAAAGAGGTGGCTTCATGCAGACAAATATCACGTCGTGAGGATTGAGAAGTGGGAGTTGAGAGCAGATCCACAAAAGTACCTTTTTTTGGAAGACGCTCACGCATAGCATGATTTTAGCCAGTCAGCTTGCTTGCGTTCCTGAAGAACCGGGTACCTGGACTGAAAAGGGAACTCCTGGCGCCGCGCTGGAGCATAAGCACATGGGATAACATCAAAGGAAAGCAACAGAACATGCACCATCTTAAACCACAAGTCCAAATCACCAGTCAAGGGTCAAATATAAACAGGCTAATCGTAGAATTAAGTATGATGAGATATAAGCAGTGGTTGGAAACCGTAATAGGGGTGCTGGATGAGGGTGAGACAAGAGCGGGAAAAGAGAGCGGTAAGAAATTGGCGAGTCGAAATAGCTTTACCAGAGCTGCATCATTTGATGCCAACTGGAACAATTGGGACGGTCATGCGATGGCGTAAACGGTGAAAATGGAGAATATTATCACCTTGTGCCGGATTCGAGTTGGTTAGGAGTGGGTTCAGTGTTCTGTCCACTGGTATCCGGCGCACGTGACCTGCTAAGCGACGGGAGGTTAATCCGCGCAGCAGCCAACGGAGGCAATCTTGATCTCCACGATGACCATGGCGAGGTACCCTGATGTGAAGTAGTATTCGGAGTATCTCTAGGAGCGGTTGGACGTCGGCTAGATCGAGTTTCCCCAGTCGTGCGGGAGTTCTGCCGATCGGCTGATGGCGCAATTGAGATGAAGCGCCCTGGAAGTACCATCCTTGTTGAAAACGGACGTAGGCGGCCGCCGATTAATGCCGGCTCTGGCTCTGCTGGATTGTTGTTTCGTCGACCATGCTCCTGGTTGCCATCAGACCCATCAGGTCGAGGTTTAGGAACATAGTAATCCGCTTTGCATAGCGGGCAACACGCTCGGCGGCTGGTAAGCCAAGGGTCGAGACAAGAAGCATGAAAAGCATGGCCGCACGCCAATCCGCGAATATAATCATCGTCTTCAATGACGTCTAAGCAGATAGCGCAGGAATCACCAGGGTTCGCAAGTAGCTCAGCAGGCACGGCTGCATGGATCGGATCATCATGATCGTCATCATCATCATCATCTAGGTGGCTTCCGTCCATGGCTGTGGCTTTTGCTGGTAGTTCTTTTGGATGCTCTGCAGGCGTCCTAATATCCAAAGGCTTTTGCAATGTCTCCTTCTCGGACTTGCCCTCTTTGGTTTCTGATTCTTCGGGGACAATAGTAGACGGCTCTGCGCGATTCGCAATTGTTTGACTGTCAGTTGCATCAGTAAAGGCCCCAGAGGCACGCTTCAGGCTCGCAGGCCTGCTTCCGGATGGCGCCTCGATCCCACCGGCAGTAGGCAGTCCTTCGTCCGCTCGCGATGCACGCCATGTTTTGTACTTTATGAGTGGAAATCGATTGTTGACCTCGTCCATGGTCATCAGTTTCTTTTCCCTCCGTCGTCTGTGGGTTCTTGGGACAGCCATGAGATCAATTGGGTCGCCTGTCTCTTCGTTTCGGAGTTGTCTATGGCGCTGGTTGTAGCGAAAACAGTATTTCACGCCGACGATGATCCTGAGCAATTAGGGCTTTGGAATTAGTAAAATCCGATCCAGTACTATGTTTCTGGAAAAGGTGTTGTCCTCAGTTAGGGCATTGAGGGTTGGGCGTACCAAAGATTAGTGAAGACCACGCCAAACCCCAAGGCGACGAAGAATAACAGTGGTTGGCTGTTACTACCAGAGCCAGTACCATTATTGGGATCCGGTGTAGATGTCGGCGAAGCAACCGACATTTTGAACGATAAATTGGGCAAATGTGGTTATATTTTCCTGCACAGTGAAGGCAGAAAAGCCGTCAACCTCCTTCTGCCTGCTTCACCTGCGACTGCAACGATGAGAGTCCAGTCAAAGGTTCGCCCAGAATCGCATGGAATAGACGCGTTAGAAAGAATGCATTCACTCAAAACAAAAGCGCCGGGGTCAATCACACAGCATTCAGCGTTGGGGAAAAGTGGTAACGGAACGGCGTCGACGGGATTAAGCGAGAGGATGAATATGACAAATAGAATTCGCTCCAAGCCTAGGGCAGACGGCAGCGTCAACCATGGAAGAGGGACAGGTTGAATAAAGTCATGGCCGGGCCATGAACCAGCACGAGTGTTGTGGTGTGTTGTTTCAAGGACGAGTGACGTTTATATCGGAAGGCTGGGAACCGGATGAAACAGAGTTTTGGAACAAGCGGGAGGGCCGGAGTTTGTACACAGAGGCGGCGAGGCAGGCGATGAGAGTCTCGCGACGGGCGAATTGGCGATGAAAGGACAGGCCGTTCACACGAGTCGAGAGACGATGGTCGAGTGCGATGGCGATGTTGGTGGTGGAAAGCGGAGGTGGAGGATGAAGTGGTGGACACTGATTCGAGGGAGTCGCCCGGCGAGCACTGTGACAGCACCAAGACGCCAGTGAATTACGCGCTTTACCCAGTTCGGCCGCCAAATGCCTAGTTGGGCTTAGTGCGCTGGCTGGTTGTGTGGAAATCGGCCGGTCACCTTGCCGTATAGAGCCTAGCGCTGTTTGGGGGTTTCAACATGTAATTTTGGTGTTTCCCCTCAGACGATCAACTGTCTATCAGTCTATCAGATCCCTCGATCCCTACGCAACACGCCGCGAGACTACATGCTCGTGGCAGGATATCCGCCTTTGGGAGATGATGCTGTGACCGCTACACACAAACTCACTTGGGGAAGAGGTTACATTCGTCCTGGGACCCGGCCACCCGGATGCTCAACAAGGATAGAACAGCCACAATGGACGCGAAGCTCAAAGGACAACTCAACAATGCGAGTGTCAGCGGGTAATGCCGGCAGCAAACAAAGCACAAAAATGCCCCAGATTAAAGATGGATAATCGATGGCTTCTGGCTTCGCTACAACTCGTCTCTTTTCCCAAGGCACATGTATCGTGTTTCGAATCTGCTCTTGGCAACAATGCTTGGGAGTCGATCGACAGTTCGAAACAGAAAAAAAGCAAAATAAAAAAGGGTTCCATTTTGTTTGACATTGACAGTTTCAAACAGAAAACAATTTTTGCCTGTGAAGACAAGCCAAGCGGCATTTCCATGGAGTCGCTCCTCGGGTTTGATAGAACGACAACCTCTGATTTTCTGTCTGCCATGCTGCCGTATATCTTGCAATAATCGATACTAAATCGGAAAGAACTCCGAATATGGTTACTTCGTACATACATCTTCTCACAGAATAAACGGCCCATTTGTCAAAGCGAACACTTCAGCTTCAAGCTCCTCTTCATATTTGTCACCAAACGTACTATAATAGATAAACTCTTTCTTGTTAACGCTTCCATATGGCCAGAGTGCTCGGGTAAACTCCCAATACTCCGGTTTATATCCCGCATTTTCAAAATCGATGAGGCCATAAAGGCGTCCAGACCGAAGGAGCATATTTGACATATGCAGATCAGAATGCGTGAAAACAACTTCATGCTTCTTTTCATACAGAACAGAGAGCGGCCGTTCATTTTGCTCCCTTGAACATCTTGAAGGAGTCGATCAGTGAAATCTGAAATTGAATTGTATGGCCCCAAGCTTCTCCTTGGCCGTATCGATGATCGCTGATCGGGCCACCCAGAGTGTTAGCAATAAGGTAATTTGTTTGGTTTGGAATGCGCCGCAGTTGTTGAATCCATTCGGCCAGATCCTTCCCTATTTGCTCTCGCTCTTCGTATGTTGTCCGATAGAATACCAGATTCAAAGGGTTTCCGGTTATTGTTGTCATCAGAATGAAACCTGATTTGTTGTCACTCATGACAGAATCAATTAGCCTTGGTGCATTTATTGATGTATATCTCTCCACCAACAGCAATGCGTTTGCCTCATTTGCGGTATGTTCGCGACCTATCTTGAGACATAAGCCCAATGGAAGGAACTTGACATAGGCACCCCTTTGGTGGGATAAAAGTACTCGATTACCCGGTTGACAAATCTGTAAATAGATAACCGGGCAAGTTTTGGAAGGATAATCAATGCACTCCGGAGTAAAAGTCTTCCCCTCCGCCCAAGTGTTCTGGGTTCTAAGTCGTAGTCAGTAAAAACGCCAGGAAAATTCTTGGTTGAAGGTACGTGAGTATATACACATATACATACCTTGGGTGATCGGGGGCCAGCCATCTCGAATCTGCTGTTCTATAACGGAGAAATGTAGAGGGATTGAAATGATGCCTTGGATATTTAGCAGAACCCTTGCCGGTAATAGGTGAGTGTCGGGATTTGGCGTCGACGGCACCGTATAAAATGAGCCGTGGCCATCTAGAGTGAATGGTAGGCGACCAGTAGGTGGCACTGCCTGAATCTGCCACTATACACAGCTTTTTAACATCTTTAACATCCACGAAAATGGCCCCAAGAAAAGCTTACACCGTCATTCTTTACGTTTGGTATGCGAGCACTCGGCGTTTCTAAATAAGGCGGCTTGTGAATTTTGAAGCTCCCGTATCGGAAAGCAGTTCGTACTGGCTGGGCCATGAGCCAGAGATTTCGTAGCTCATTTCTTTGGTTGCGCTCCTTGAGCATTTCCAACATTTCTTCCACCTGCTTGCTAGAGACGAGGGCGTCTAAGAGAGGGCGCAAATAACCCTATACGGGAGTTGTCAAAGACGCTCAGTAAGCTCCAGATTCATAGCCGCAAACTCACCCCAGAGCGCAAGTCAGCGTCATGCACAACCGACGGAGCAACAATATATGTAGGTTTGACATCAGTGTCTGAGCCTGTGACACGGCAACGATGACCATCTCGTTCATTAAGAGCAGCTTTGATTTCACAAGGCACTTCATCGGGGCTCACTAGCTCAACAGTAAGTATGCTGCCTGAGATATAGAATCATTAGTTAAATGTCCTCGTACGTTTCAGTGCCAACGTCATCCAATCTTCCCGAATTGAACGCAAAGTCTCCTCTAGAGTACGCCGAGGGTTCTCGGATAACTGCTGGAGGACATAGCGACCAGCGTCATTTGGCACAACTGCGGAATGTACAAATGAAAAGAGTGCGGAAATCTCGATGGCAGGTAACTGCGCAGATTGTATCTTTTGCACGGCCGTGTGATACTGCTCCCCAAATATGCTCATGGCCGTGGAGATAGTTGGAAAGGAATAGAGGCAAATATTACCCAGGAAGAAACACCGGGCTAACAGTTACAGATGCCCCGGTGGTTCTCACATCAAGTGGCATCACGGCGTGCAAATATAAAAACTGAATAATAACGTAGCTAGTTAACAAGGAAACCTGTGTTTTGTCAGGGAGTGATCACTTTGGTTAACACCACTGTCTCCTCGGGCGATCCATGGCCCATCGTGCCAATATAACTAACTAGCTGTTCTGACCTATTAGTTATTAGCTATATTCCTTGAGAGTGAACTTCGGGATCTTCGCATAGTTACCAGCTTCCAGAAACACGGCAGCAGAAGGGAATGCACTCTGGGCGAAGAACATGCATTTCATGAAAGAGATTTTTTTGTGGTCTTTACGCAGCTATCTCACCAGCCTTTATGCCACCCGCCAATGTACAATAGGACCCGATGAAAGCAATGTACGTTGCGTTCGATGTCTCAGCATCTGAAGCATGCCCGCGAAATCTGCAGAGTTCCCTTGTGAGAATATTACTCTCATCACTATGCTGATAAGATGATAGTGAACGATCTTGATGGATGGATGTAATCCTCTAAAAAAATGATAGAGTTTGAGCAGACTCAACCAAACTACAGCAGTAACTGTCTCATTGTCATTGTGCCAATATAAGCTAAAAGATCGATGGAGCTAGCAGTCTCACTCATTTGATGCGATCGTTCTGTTGGTGATTTTCACATTCATATCTCGCTGGATCGTCAGCCCATAATTTTTCCACTTGAAGGGCTCGACCGGGTCAATCATCACAAAATCGAAACGCCGGAAAAGCTAAGAAGAATGCTTCAGTCAGTGAAAAGCGAGAATGGAGCCAAGAAATAGGTTCCCACCTCGAAGATCGTCTTTCCCATTTCCATATACGCCAACCGTTTTCCCAAGCACTCCCATCTGGAGCCCGTCGCGAACACCAGACCATGCGTCGCTTCCATTTCCCTGAGCCGGGCCGGCTGAGCGTCGATCCAGCGACGTGGCTCAAAGACACAAGCGTCCTCCCCAAAAACCGTTCGGTCCTTCATCATCGCCAATGGCACCCACGCGACCTGCGTCTTTGCTGGCACCCTGATCCCGCATATTTCATCATCTTTGTCGGATGTTTTCGGCATTAGCCCCATGATGGGGGGCCAGAGACGCAGCGTCTCTTTGATGCACGCTTGCAAATACGGGAGCGACTTTGCATGTTGATCAGCAATGACGGGGCGAGTGGCAGTTTCGGCCGCGATGTCAATTTCTGCTTGTAAAGCGTGGTACGCACTTGGATTAGTGCAAACATAGAAAATTATGTTTCGCAGCGCTGTGGCTGTTGTATCAGTTCCCGACAGCAGTTGAACAAGCGCTTCAACTTCAACTTCTGAACGAGTCAGACCAGAGTCGACAAAGGTTTGGAGCACATCGTCATTGCGGACCCTCTCGGGCTCGTAGCGAGTGTCAACATGTGCCTTTATCACGCCGAGAAGCTTGCCAACGCCATGGGTATCGGTCGGTTTGGGGACAAATGGCTTCATGATGTAGGTCTGGAGAAAGTCCACCACGGCGGGCATCATTGCAAGGAGATGGAATGGCAGGATCGTGGATTGGAAGGTTTTGAACAGGCCGAAGATATCGTTGTCGGCATCCAAATAGCCAGTGGGTTTACCAAACCCAACGGCGGTGATCACATCTTGAGTTAGGTACTGCATGGTCTGGTCCATCTTCAAGGGCTGCAACGCGCTCCGTGTGGAGATGTACTTGCGCCTGATTAGCGAGATGAGCTTCTCTACCTGCTCATCTACAAGCTGCTCCTGGTTGTTGATGCCTTTGCCTGCATAACCCCCCACCAAGTAGCCTCGCACCCGGTGATGTGCTTTGTTCTCGCATATGGTTAAGACGCTGTTTCTGGTTGGGTCTACTCGAATCGCTTTGTACCAGGACGAGCGGTAGTACCCAGAGTGTACACTCCAGATGCGCCGTATTTCCGAGGGGTCACTACATACGACATAATTGGGGCCAACTCGGACAAGGGGTCCTTGAGCGTACGAATGGACATCAATCAGTGCCAAAGATTCTAACAGCGTGGGAACAGGGGTCGCCTACCATAGGTGGCACAGACATCCTCGAGTTTATAACAGAGTCTTCCGGAGACGAAGTGGTGAAAGAGCCACAGTCTGCTCCATCCTAACCCGGTAGGTCCTGGAATATGACAAAGACGACGCCAGGTGGTAAAACGTACGATTACTGCGTATATCAGCAGCGCCACACCCCCGACGAGAAAGGTCGTGTTGCCGAACAGTGCCATGACAGCGGTGACTTATGTTGATGTCGATATGCTGCGCTTCTTGGAGGTTGAATGGCATTGGAAAGGTAGGTATTTTTGGGTTCCTTTTCTTCCCCCCCCCTTCCCCCCTTCTTTAATGAAGCGGCAGACGCAATGGATGACAACGCAGATTTGGCTCCAGCATGTTCCCGCATATACGCTGCAGCGGCGTGTTGGGTTTCGTCACCAAGAGGCCCGCGAGCTTCCAGCATCAATGTTGCAAGAAGGGACATGATGCAGATTCGGTTGGACGCGCGTTAGCCAATGACGAAGGGTCGGACCCGGGGGAATGGTCAACGCTAGCCGGATGAACTGGGCAATTGTTCGACACATGGCAGATGACATGCCCAATGCTGCAAGTTGGCTCGGTTCAGGGATGCGTGCAGGAAGGGATGGCGAACAGCTGCAGCAGTGGTTGATATTGCGCCTCTAGGATATAGATGCGAGTGATTGGCGGGCAACTTGCAGCTGCAGGTGATTTGGAATCGCTGCATTGTTGTTGCTGAGTCACGCGTTGGCATGGCCTCAGGAAAGAGCGCCCGAATAGGCAAGATGCTAGTGTTGCCATCCCGACTGCCGCTTCGGGCAGGCATGACCCCATGATGCAGCTTCCGCACTTGGGATGCATGCACCGGAGACGCGTTGTCCTTATCGCACCAATCAGCGGTGGCTGAGTGGGGACTTGTGGGCAGTGTAGCCAATAGATAGGAACGATAGCCGACAGGCTGCCAATTCGCGCCAAGCCCATTGGTGTCTTCAGTGAAAAGACCTTGGCTTGGATTGGGTATCAGCTTGTGTGCAGCATCATGATTACGCAAAACACAATAAAGCTCTTCTTCAGATTCAATATCCCCATGGGAATAAACCTAAGGCTTTGTTTTTGTTCCAATTCTCTTTGACCATTTCGTGTCGAGGCTGAAACAGATAATAAGCAGATATCAGTTTGCTTGACAGGTATGCTACACTTGGAATGTTTCCAACCATGCACGAATGTTTGCCTCGCCTGCTAACATCTAGGAATCAAAGGTTCAGGTTTCATGTTGGCAGCAACGCTGAGCTTGGGATTCTTGACGCATAAGTGACAGGGAATTAGTCCACATCGTCCTGTCGAAGAGGGCTTTCGAGCAAAACGCCAAAATGCCAAGGAAGAGGAAGATAAGTAATTCAAGGGCCAATAAGTAAACAGACAGTACTCTCAAGCCTTGATAACTCACCCTCGAGCATCTGTTCCCATGGTTTTGCTATCAGATCATCAGAATAAATGAATTTCCGTCTTATTACGGAATTCTGGCTGACCTGCGGACGATGTGGACAGGATAGGAGGGTATCGACATACCATCTAGCTGGTGAAGAGATTAGTCCTCCATGTAGTTAAAGCGATACTAGCAACCAATCAAGTGCTAGGAGCGACCATTAGTATTCAGCGAAGGCCTTCGGGGAGCATACAGACGCTCGTTCGAATGGTTTTACGACAGTTCCCAAGGCAGATCACTATCGCTCAAGCTTCAAAGTCTGATCCGCCGTCTGTGATGGTTTGTCCCAGGTTTGGAGAAGGACCTTATCCCAGACAAGCCGTTACGGGTTTAAATCGGCGGTGCGACTTCAAAATTCGACAGGCCTTCCATTATTGGTCCATTGTCAGCACGCCAGACACTCACCACAATGCGATCTCGTGGCTCAGTGGTTTGGAAGAAGGAGCCTGAGGATCCGCGGCCGCTGAAACCTAGCAAAATTTCTGGAACTTTGGTTGAAAAAGACCCAAAAATCACGAGGTTTCAGGGAGGAAAAAGTAAAAGGTAAGTATACTATCACGGGAAAAGGGCAGTTACTCGCTCAAAGGTTCTTTAGCCGTTTTCGCCCTCCCGAGCTACGGGATGAACCTCGAACGGGATTGGGCTGGAACCGCAGTTTTCATCCGTCTCTAGCTCAAACATCACGCTAGGGGTTATCAGCCCTTTGCAGACGCGGTCCATGCAGAACTCCCATCCCCGCCGGTTGCGCATGCCCAAGGCAAGATTACAAAACCAGCTATTCGCGATCGCTCGTTGACGGGGAGATGTCGAAACCTTTGGCAGCGTCCATAGGGAAACTTTGGGCATTTGCGTTGCCCAATTCGACGCTTTCTATATATCGCACTCCGTACATTGACCGAAAAACTGACAACGGAGCTCCCAGGAACACTTGAAGCAGCTTGCGGGTGAAAACAAAACCGTGAGGCCAGCCGGTACGTTTGGTTCAGCGGTTCGGGCTGTGAATCGAACTATCATGCGTTTGCGGGTGACAGTTGCAGTTTGGCAAAACACAGCGCTCGGCTCTTCTTGCGATGCCCACCCCTTCCTGCATTGCCCCTGGTGCCACGATGCGACGTGCAGGGTGTGATGTTGCTCGCAAACCAAACGTGACGTTGGAAGAAACGTCTGGCGCTACGCTGAATGCGGCTTAGCGCAGCCATCCCCGGGTTTGAAGTTGGTTAGTCAGCAGCGCGAAGGATCAACTTCCTTCAACCTCAAACCGACGAGAGCTGTCTGACGCCCCGGTTGATTGCTGTCAAAGTGCTTGGTTTGGTTTGGCGACTTGGACTCCGCACGTTTATCTTGTTGCTCTCCTTGTTCGGAGCCGGGGTGACTCCCTTCGAAACCCCCTGGGTACAGCTTCATACTTTTGCTGTCCGCAATGGTTCCCGAAACCTATCGGTCGAGCCTTTTGCCTCTCCCAGGAGGCCAGTTGCAACTTGATGAAGGCTTTCTGAATCGACCCGAGGTTTCTGATGATGACTCTTCCACTGAGATCATCGGCTAAAAGGGACATATCCCTTCTAGCCTTCTTTTGGGTTGGTCTTCTCGCCATCGTGCGACTGCGTAGCGCTGTGGATATGGAGAACCGTAGCTTTCCATCCCACCTTGTTCTCCATATAGCCTGCACTGCTCACCAAACTTTGTGATGCGGAGACAGCTGAGACGTCTGGAGTTGGAACTCATTGTCCAGTTGCTTTCCATCAGCAGGATAGACGGGAAAGGCGCCTCGGAAAACGCTTCCTCACATGTCTCTTCTTTCCTTCTATCCAGTTATAAGAGGTGTGGCAAGCCTCATCTTGGGGATGAGTTTGCATTGTCCAGCCTCAACCGACAAAACCAACGTCCTGTCGGGACCAGCTCGTCTTCTATTTCATTCAATTCTTAGCTTTGATAGCACGCCAAGGAAGGCAGGTCTTTCCCAGCTTTTCGCAATATGAGGTTTACGAATCCCTCTCTTCTTGTCGCGCTGCTGGCAGCTGCAGACTTCGCTGCTGGCCATGGTGCGATCGTCAGCGCCACTGGAGATCAAGGAGGGCAAGGAAGCGCTATTGGAAGTGAGACGCTCTGTAGCCTAGGTTCCCCGCGATATCCAGACTAATATCACTGTACAGTCGACCAAAACACTCCCCGCGATGGAACAAGGAGGACACCGTTCCAACAAGATACTACTCGTTTCCGCGGGGCCAATAGAGACACATGCGGCGAGACGTTGTTGGTAAGGCCAACCATTGTTTACTGAATTCGGAGAGGGCAGGTCTAACGTTATTTCAAAGAATGGTGACAATGACATCGAGGCCGGTACTGAACAAGTCATGTCAGACAATGGTGGAACACTGCCACAGGTTTCACCGGGCGGTACCCTTGAAATGACTCTACATCAAGTCAACGCCGACGGTGGTGGTCCGTACAAATGTATGATTGACTCCACTGGAACTGGAACAAACTGGCAAAATATCGAAGTCACCCAGAATGTTCCCGGTCGGTTGGGCATCAACCTCCGTGGCCGCAAATCTGACTTTGTATGTTTAACGCGCTTACCTACTTCCTAACGCACTAGCTAATACCCGTTACTAGAGTTTAACTGCCCAAATGCCTGCCAATCAGGAATGCACTGGGACTGTTGCCGGTCAAGAAAATGTGTGCATGGTCCGCTGCCAAAATCCAGCGCTTGCGGGACCTTTTGGAGGCTGTGTCCCTGTGCAGATGGCTGGAGCGTCTGGTGGTAATCAAGGAAATACCAATGGTACCGATGGCAACAATGGCGGTAACAACGGCGGCAACAATGGCGGTAACAACGGCGGCAACAGA